TTTTTTTATATAGATTTATTTTTATACAATTGAAAATTTGGATGGGCAATTACTTAATGTTTGGGAGAGACAACTGCTCTAATTATAAAAAAAATAATCCATGGTGCAGATTACATCACGTATGTTTTCAGTGCCCTTTCAAACAATTTCTAACACAATGTTTTGTCCAAATTATGCACACATATCAGATTGGAGTAATTATTAGTTTTAAAGCAATTGTTAGTAATCACCTGTATGAGACTAATTATGAGTTTGGTCATGCAGCTCGGACAGGCTATATTGTGCAGCCTTACTTCGAAGGGGCTAAGGTAAATTTCATGATTATGTGGGTGGACAAGCAGACAAAGCGCTTAGGTGAGCAGAGCTAAATAATATTGGAGATCCACCCCTCCCTCCCTCCTGTCACCCTCACGACAAGGAATAAGTAAAGCTATTATATACAAAGTAGTAACTGGAACTCATCAATGCATCAAAACTATGCTGTGCTCGTCTTCTGCTTGAAATTTCGTAGTTACATTTTCATACTTTGACTACGGTGGTTTGGCATTTTGTTTCCATCATTTAAACGGGCCTTCACACAGCATTTCTATTCAACGCAAAATGTTAAAGACCTTGACATAAGAAATATTCACCCTTTAAAAACAGGGTATGAAACTGGATTTTGCTTTCACCTCACATGGGACAAATAAACAACACTGATCTTCAAATGTTCATTTTGTTCAGTCAATTTGGTCAGCTCAGCTTTAGGGCATGTCTCCAGCCTCCTGTAGTTCAAAGGGACTTCATATTGAGTCAGGTAAACCCAAATCTTCCAATTAAAGTAGTCTTGGTGTTACTCAAGACTGGCTTTAGATATACCTAACATCCTATCACAGCTCAAAGAAGATGTAGAAAAACAACAGATATCCAATAGTTGTAGTGGTATAAATGTTGACTACACTTCAAACTTAAAAATATAATTACATAATAGATAACAGCCAAATAAATGCTAGCTCTCTCTAGAATGACATTTAGTGACATTTTTTTCCTTCTTCTGTGAGCAGTGATCTATCAAACACATCCCCTCCACCTCAGGCAGTAGTAAGATGGTATAAATATCGTTTCACCCCAGGTTTAAAAAAAAAAAAAAAAAAAAAAAAAAAGACTAAGGTTGCCATTATGGATCCTTTTGATTGTAATGGCCAAAGCTTGTTCATGGGGGACAAATAAACGTTCTTGTCACAGATGAGCTTGTGTTGGAGGATGAGGTGGTTTTGGTTCAGCTGACAGGGCACACAGTCTTGGATGGATTCTTGAAGGATGATGGTGAATGGCAGCCCTGTTTGGTTGTTACTTACTTATAGCCCTGCTGGTTCCAGCCCTGGCTGTACATGTTGTAGGTGGGGACCTGCTGCCACCCGTTGGGGACGTACTGACTGATCTGGGGCCCGTTTCCGTACCACTGGCCCCACTGGCCATAGGGCTGGGCCGCCGCATAGCCCACCTTGTTTTGCTGCAAGACACAATCCAGTAGAAGTAAATATACTGTATAAACTGCATGCCAGGGTATGCCTGTATAAACTGTGATTTAAAAAATTATATATCTATCTATATCTCTATCTCTATATAAAAAAATATATATATAATATATATAATTTTTTTGTGTGTGTAAGTATTATCAAACTCATGCTAAAGTAAGTGGCACATCATTTTCTATATTTCAGACTCAGAGTCAAGGCATTTTAATTTTCTATCACCATCTACCTAATTTAACAAAAAAATTAAAGGTAAAAACATTTAAACTATATTTCACCATAAACAATACACAACAAGCTTAAGTGCTACTACAGTTACTAGTGCTTGTACCTGTGGCATGGGCATCTGCTGCATGGAGTTCATCATGTCTGGGGTCTCTTTGCCCCAATAACACTTGACTGTGTGGCCTTCTATAGACGAGCCATTCACCGCCACAATGGCATGGGCTGCTGACTCGTGAGAGTTAAACCTGGACAAAAAGGTACAGGAAAATGGCAAAAGGTCTGAAAAGTGTAACTGTAACGTAAATACAATGGTATCTACTCACTGCTACAGAGCAAACAATGATAAAACCCCATTTAACACTGAAAGTTTTTTAGATAATAATATTTCTCAATACCTGACAAATGAATAGCCTTTGTCTGGGAACACTCGGATTTCCATGATTTGGCCAAAGGTGGAGAAGGTCTGTCTCATCAGTTGATCTAAACAGTGAACACAATAATGATTTTTGAATGTTATTTAAGATAAGACCACAAACTTTAGATTTTGAAATTCCAAGTACACGTCAAGCAATTATATTTAACACTTCAGTGCCACAAACCTGTAAGTCCTGAGCTGACGCCGCCACAGTATACTGTGCAGTTACTGGGGCTGGACTGGCACATAACCTCGTCAAAGTTTAGGTGTTTTGTGTTATCTGAACATAAAAAAGTACATGAAAACAAAGAACAAAATTGAACAAACATCTCACATAGACTATATCTACATAAAATTTACATAATCTATATAAAAAAGAAATATCTATAACAGGTTGCAATAATCAATAACTAGCTAACAACTCACTCTCGTGGCTGCTTTTGGGGGCAGGGGGCTTCCTCGTGGCCCAGTTAGTCCGGATTGGTCTGCCTCCTAACCACTGTCCATTCATGTGCTGGATGGCATTCTCGGCATCCTAAAAGAAAAATTCACTAATGTGATTCAGTTCTTAGAGCAAATCATCACAGCTTTGATTTCACCATCTTTACCCATTTGTTGAAGAACGACACAAAGCCGTAGCCTTTGGATTTGCCTGTGGCCATGTCTTTGACAACACGAGCATCTCTGAAAAGGAGAAAAGGAGGAGAAGTGGAAAGTTGTTGGTTATGGTGCATTTGCCAATACCACAGTGCTTTTTCAATTTAGAGGTGATCTGATTGTGTACTTACGATATCCTGCCAAAGGGCGCAAAGGCAGCTTTGACATCTTCTGTTGTTATTTCTGGGCTCAGGTCTCCAACAAAGACATGAAAGTGATCTACAGCACAAAACAAAATTAATTATATTCAAGCATTAATTCATATGACAAAGTAGATATTTAGTGAGGATCTTTATATACTCACTACTTGTGTCTTTTTTCTGGGTTGTTGGCGTCGTTGCCCAGTTAACTTTAACCTCCTGAAAAAGAACAAACAAAAAAACAGTTGGGGTTCATTATTAATTGCAGACACTGAATTTAAACTATATGAGCTGCAGTTGGGCTTTATTTTTTTATAGCACAAATGATCTACGTTAATAATTATGTGTTACATCTTTTGAGACTTTATTTTTTCCTAAATGTCTAAATTTAAGGAGGTAGTGTATTTGCAGCTCTTCCCGTACCCAGAGCCCACCCGTCCCCACTCACCCTTTAGATACGATAGCTTACCTTACCCAAAATTTTCCTTCCATTCATTGCTGCCAAAGCTGCGGCAGCATGTCTGTTTTCATAGAACTCCACAAAGCAGTAAGGGTCATTCCCCGTGGGCTGGAAATGCACAGTAAAACTTTAGCACAGCTGGATTTCTACATAATATCATAGAGGCCTGATTAAATTAAACCAAGGTCTAAAGGTTAAATAGACTTATTTCATACTCACGTCTATTATCATTTTACAGCTTTTGCAGGGTCCTATCTGTGTGAAGACCTGGACAATGAGGGGCTCTGTAACATCCCTGGACAGGTTTCCCACATACCTGCGAACAAGGAAACAGAAGAACTAAATGCGCCTTTGTCGAACAGGAAGTAGCAGCCAGACAAAGGCCGGTTAGCCTTAAGCTACACCTATTTTTATTTTTCATATATACAAGGCCTATCCAGTCCAAATCAATAGTATGTGTTCACAGAGGCATCCGGGGTCAGTCCGAGCGGTCACATTTAACCGAGCCGTACTAGGCCCATTCAGCGTTGACGTGGCTGCTCTGCGCCTGCTACTAGGCTAAAGAGAATGCTAGCCGGGTACACGGGCCTTGCTTTGTATGAAAACACTTATTTTAACAGGAAAAACTCCCTTCGCGGCTACGCGATGCTCTTACAATACGGTCCCGTTCATTTTCACAGCACGGACATATTGAGACCATTCAATCCCGTCCAAAGAGCTGCCACAGATGCTCGCCTGCCACAGAATGCTAACAATAGTTAGCATGAAATAGCTAGCAACTCAGTTACATTTGAGAAGACACTTTGTTACATCTGGTGACATAGAAAACACGTGTTGTTGTCCTGTTGTAAGTCACACTCATACATTTAATGGAAAATTACACTGAAAATATAAACACTAATGGATTGGCAGAACGTTTATTAAACACCGATGCAGCATCTAACGTGATGCTACTGTCTGCTAGCATTTGTTAGCCCTCGTTTCATTTAACACTTGAATCTTTGGAAAATCAGTCATCTTCGCTGTTTACTTTCATTTTCGCGGCGCCACAGCCCTAGTCTCATTTCGACCGGGGCTTAAAAGCGCATTTGTGCTCTAAAACGGTGCCCGGTTTTTCACACACAAACAACGTGGAAAGACGGGAGCCGCGCCGTCCTCCTCATCCCCGCTCCGGCGCACACACGCAAATACTCACAGTGTTTTGGGCGATTCGTCTTCCATGGTCGAGCTGCAGTGGTCACGTCCTGAGAGCGCTTATTCCAAAGACATAAAAAGAGTTAAATCTGTACAGAAAAGCACACGGTGTCTTATGTACAGGCCGGAGTGTATCAGAGCTGCTCTCACAGACAGAGACAGCCCCAGTCTGAGCCAAACAATAGGAAGTGGAAGATGGCGGAGGAGCGGCGTCAGCAGCGTCAATCTGCGGCGAAATGTGGCCAAATCAAAGCGTTCTTTCCTCCCACACACAAAGATACACCTCCCCGTGATGCACCGTCAGATCACACATCCAGTAAACCTACAAACTTGAGATACAATTGAGTAATAGTTAGTATTTTGTATTACCCTGTTATAAATGCAACGAGAACAAGAATGCACATGGATGTTTGTACATATGTTTGACGGGATACGTTTTATCCCAATGATTTGCCAGTATCTATGATATATACATGTTCCGTTTTTGTTTTTTTTTTTTTTTTTTTTTTTTTAACATCACATATTAACTGTGTGATTTTAAGTGTCTTGTTGATTAGCGATAAGAACAAAACGCGTGCGCCGCCCGGGAATCGAACCCGGGTCGCAAGAATGGGAATCTTGCATGATACCACTACACCAGCGGCGCAGTGAGTAAAAGCGCTACCGTAAGTGATTAAGACCCCCCGAAATAGTATAGTAAATAGTAAATAGTACAAGACTTGAATTGTGAGTTCCAAAAGCACTTGTACAGTACTTATTACTTACTAGATGTATTCGTTATGACTTGCTTTGAAAGTGAAATTGGAAGAATAGAACACATAAATCTACGACCCCTGTTTTTGTATTTAGAGTTCAAAAGAAACTGACACTAGAGTGACTCATGCTTGCTGTTGTGCATCTGAGTCATGTGAAGCTGACTATATCCTGACTTCATTTTCTTTGATGGCATTTTCGAATTAACTGTCCTCATTAAAATTTAAAATATTGCCTGTGTAATCTAGTTTTGTTGTAGAAATGTTAAACAAAGCAATCCTTTAAATGACCATTACAAATAAAACTGAAGGCATATTATTTCAATGAAAATGTCTTTTAATTATGCTGTTTTTTATTCTAGCTATAGCATTTAAAGTCCCGGTAGATGACGATAAGATACAGGTTTGTAGATTTTAAATGGTAAAGATGAACCTTAAAAATGTTGTGTCTTGTTTTCTTGGAAATGTTATTGCTTTGTCTAGAATGTCCCATAATATGGCATTAAACTTATCTATTTCCATGGCGACAAGGCCACCATGTCTCCATGCCAAGTTACAGGTCAGATCTGTGGAGAGGTGAGCTCACTCGCAGTAGCAATGTAGCAATTTCCTAGTATTTTTGAGCAGTAATTGAATACATGTAACATAGATGAGTGTAATGCCCCTACTGTGCTAATACTGTGAAACCTTTCAGGCAAAGCAATAATATCTTAATGGAAACATGTTTTTGGCGGACCCCCTACCAGGAAAGTTACACAGTGCACCTTTAAATGCAATGCTGCCATTATTATATGTTTAAATTGTATAATTTCCTCTTGTACTGTTTCTCTTTTTAATTTATTTCGTTTGTATGGTGCTGCTTGATTATTTCATTCTGTGAAGTTATTTATTTTGCCACTTTGATTACTTGAAATTAATGGTAAAAAGTTATGTTTAATCCAATCAAAACCAAAAATTAAATACAAAAAATACATTAAAAAACAAAACAAAAAAACAATTCAAAGTTTTACCAAAGTTGCCAAATGTGAATATTTTATCTAATCACATTAATTGGTGTTTAAAGGGTATCCATATACAAAATCTGCCAATCTAGTACTTCAATCCAGTTAATATAAATGAATAAACTAAAGCTAAATAAAATAAATAACATTTAATGGCATTTGTTCACAATACAATATCCAAGGAGTACACTCTCAGCCCTCATGTTTACTTCTCTTGTGCTGGAAACTGGTCGCAAGATCTGGCAACCGCGACCGTTGTGGAGAAGCCAGGGAAGTAGCTTTTGTAGCATTAGCAGCACACAAAAATGGCTTCATCTACAGGCTGTGAACATTATGTGCGCAGTTGCTTGTTAAAAGTAAGTCGTAAGTTCAAATTTGTAATGTCTCTTCACCCTTAACTTGTTGATTGTCTCGTTTCTACCCCGTTTAGGAACTGTTGGCTAACACGAAGCTAAAGCATGCACGTTTGACAGCCTATCACTTTTTATTGTGGATATGTCATAATAGCTGTAGATCGATCTCTGGTGTTTTGTTTTTTTAATGGCGATGTGTTTAAATGAATGAAGGTCGTATCTCCCCTCTTGATTTTTGTGTTGCTTATTTTCTGTATGTTCTTTCTTGAAGGCACCTTGCTGTGGAAAGCTGTACGTGTGCAGATTGTGCCATGATGCGGAGGAAAACCACCAAATGGACAGATTTAAAGTGAAAGAAGTGCAATGCTCACATTGTCTCACGATACAGAAGGTACGTGTAAAACATATGGAATTTATTTATCAAATCTGTACAATATATATATATTCATCATCTGTGTTTATAGGCCCAGCAAACGTGTGAAAAGTGTAGTGTACAGTTTGGAGAATATTACTGTGATATTTGCCATTTATTTGACAAAGATAAGAAGCAGTATCATTGTCAGCCATGTGGGATTTGCAGGTAAGCGGTCATAACAATGTAATGCATGTTATTCTGGATGTCAGTTATTTGCTATTGACTCTTCTGGAAGTAATGCAGTATTTATTTTTTCAGGATTGGCCCCAGGGATGAATACTTCCACTGCGATAAGTGCAATTTGTGTTTAGCCCGAGCGCTAGAAGGAAAGCATAAGGTGAACACAATTAAAATGTATCTTTTTTTGGTTTGTTTTGTCACATTTTATATGGCACTGTTCCACCTTCAAGGCATTTAAAGCGCCTTGAATTGAGATGAGATCAGAGGCAAATCTTAATCTTATCTTGTTTAGCATGAAGTTATTATTATTATTATTGTTATTAGTAGTAGTAGTAGTAGTAGTACCATTATTTATTTATTTTTTGTCTTTTCTAGTGTGTTGAAAATGTCTCGAGACAGAACTGTCCAGTGTGTATGGAGGTAGGCAATTGCTTATAAAAATATTACATAACATTTTCAAGATTGTTCTAATAATGTTGATTTCACAGGATATTCACACATCAAGGATTGGGGCTCATGTTCTTCCATGTGGTCACCTTCTGCACAAGTAAGACTCCATTGTGTGTTTTTCAAGTTATTTTTGATACAACAGTAAAACAAATGGAACTGAATGCATGCACATTAGATCAGATAAATCTGGGCAAAAAAACATCACCATGTCACAAACTGGTGATGTACCCCCCCATCAGAAAAGTTACATAGTGCCTTAGATTTTTATAACTGATCAAATATGATAATGACTTGCCCCATTGTATGGTTGTCAAACTATTGTCTATATGCTATTGTGTCAGTAAAATAAGGTGAAAATTAATATTATTTCACCTGAGTTTAGATCATGGTAATAATTTAAAATATTTTTTGGGGGGTTCTCGTCTGCTGACATTAAATTGAGCCATATAATCAGGTGTAATAATGATTTGTTATCTTACAGGACCTGCTTTGACGATATGCTCAGAAACTGGTATGTTCTATCTGCTTCTTTCTATTTTTACTGCCAAAAATACTTTTTGTTCATCTTTTTTTGATAACCTTTTTCACCCCCATCATTTGTTTATTCTAGTGCATATCGCTGTCCATTATGTATGCACTCAGCCTTGGAAATGCAGAATCACTGGGAGGAGATGGACCAAGAGATCGCCCAGTCACCAATGCCCATTGAGTACAGGAATACAACTGTTAGGGTATCAGTTCTCTTTTTTTTTTTTTTTTGTTCCAGAGATAATTATTTGGTTCTCTTTACCACATGATTTATATATATACACGCACACACACACACACGACATAGGTAAAGTTGTGGATAAAGTCACAGTATGTTAACTTAGCAGAGTAACTTTTTTTCTTTAGTTTATTGAGCTAAAAATGCACAGCATTTAGCAAAAAAAAAAAAAAAAAAACGAGAAAAAAAAAAGCAAAACAAAAATACACAAATCCTTACTGTGAGCAGGTTTGCATCTCCACACACCTGACTTTTAATTGGCCTGGAGGAGCGCCTCCATCTGCTTATTTCTATGGAAATATTTTCCCTTGGCTATAATCATCCTCATAATAATAATGATTTAACCTTATCTACGTCTGTGGAGAATGTCCCGAAGTATGGTTATAACTAACTTCCACAATATCAGGCTAGTAAATAAAAGTTATATAAAGTATTATATTAAACTACATTTAGAGATTGTTTATGTAGGTGATTTTGCTTTGTCCCACCCGCTCCTATAAGCAACCCTCTGCACAAGAATCATGATAAAATTTAAATTATAAAGTACATTCTCTTTTTCCCCCAAAGTGAAATATCCTTTCAGTTGCATCTGTAATCTGTAGCATAGTAAAAATTACTACACAGTCTTGGGAACACATACAGATAAGTTATGTGAACCTTGAATCTAAAATGGACTTTTTGTTTACAGATAATGTGTAATGACTGTCAGGCCCATTCCATGGCTTCTTTCCATGTTCTGGGGATGAAATGTGGCAACTGTGGCTCGTACAACACGGCACAAGATGGAGGTCTAATTCAAAATAACAATATGGATCAACCCGAGGAACATCACGAGAACAGTGACACAGAGCCAGAGACTGACACCGAATCAGAGCAGCCCAACCAGGAAGAAGAAGAACAAGAAGAGGAGGAGGAGGAGCAGCCAACTGTCCAATAGGAATTACTCTATAAATCATAAATGGCTTTCTGCAAACATTGTCCAGTCAAACCCCTTTTAGCAGATGAAGCAACACATTTCAACAATATTATAAGCCATGTATTGTACACACACTGAAGGTACAGTTACAGCAGCACTATAGGCACTGTTCATGCTTACATCACAAACCAGGAAGACGTTGCATGCATTGACAACTTCTGGTGTAGTTCCTGACACTGGGCTCACCGACCGACTGTGATCAAACCAACTAAAGTAAATGTGATCAGCGGTAAAATGAAAACTGCATACGTATGTGCTGTTTGTAATCATCTTGAATTTGGCCCCTCATCTCTTCTAATCACATGTACCCAGTGCGCTCGGAGTTGTGCGTCAATGAGGAAATGATGAAAACTGAGGTATGGTTGTAATTGTTAATTAGCTGAACATAACGGAACACTGCAGTGACATGTAGATGAAGAAAATTGGGCTAATCCACATTTTTCTCTCTACATAACTCTGTAGTCTGTTCCTAGCCATTTTTTTAAGTAACTTTCATTCAAAGTAGGTACATTTGCAACTTTCTGGTCAAAAACTCCTAAATCTTAAGTTTGTGCTGCCTTCAGTGGCCTCTATGATTTCAAGTACTTGGTGAAATCACACAAGACTGCCCTGTTTACAGCCAAGTGTTTCTAAAGACACTACCACCTGACTGCAGGAGTGGAGTTTGAAGTGAGGATACCTGTTCGACCAATCACACTGTTCCTTATACCTCTAGACTCCACCCCTCATTTCCCCTCACTCTTTTCTTTAGTCCTCCAGGTACTGCCCAGTTTAACCGCTCTGTTTGAAATGTGGTTGTGGGAGGAGTTTAGGTGTTTAGTCTCATTTAAATTACAAAGTGACTCAACCCCAATAAAAAAAATAAATACTAGTATACACTAGTATAGTAGGCCAAAGATAGAAAAATATATACTTATTAATCGAAATTATTCACTTCAAAGTAATAAAGTTGGGTATAACATTTGTCATAGCTCTACTAGTATACCGCTGGAAATCAGGATAAGTGGCTCTGTACTGTACCTCTATCTTTGTGCCACTAGATGGAGCAATGCACACAAAAGTGCTGTGTACACTTAAGCATCATTGTTTCTGAATTTGCTTACTAATAATTTAATATTTGGGTCTCAATGACAACTGTATCCCCTGAAAATGTACTCTGCACCATTGAATGCAGTTTTATATAGTTTTCTAATGCTTCTATTGTACATAATTGTAAGTCCAAAGTTCAGAAAAGTAATAGAAAGTTTATTGGGAAGGATGCTGTATTTAAGACGTCTCTACAAGACTGACTAATGTATGACCCTTTATGACTGCTTTATGATTGCTAATGCTAAAATGAATGGGGAATTTCCAAGTGTCTTAATAAAAAGCTGTCAACACACTTTTAAATCTGCTGTTTATGTCTTTTTTTCTCTATTCAAAAGTTTGAAGATAGAATTGCTTATTATAAACATGGAAACCTGTATGGCCATACAGTAAACTGATGAATCTCCATGGAGACTTGCAAGCTAAATCACAGGTTATATTTGTGAAGAGGCGACCCCCACTCACAGTAAGAATTACGATAATATTTTTAAAGATATTTTTGAGCAATTAAAAAGACCTGTAGTTGAATAAATGCAAGACAGTAGTTTAATATCATACTGTGGACAAATGAAACCAAAGCATCTCCATGAAGGTTACAGACTCTCCAAAAAAGTTACACAGTGCACCCTTAAATATCCCTACTTCAAACATTGATCAGTTTTCTTCAAAGCCTTGGTCAGAAGTACTTCGGGCCCTAACCACACATGGGGAGAACATATAAACTTCATACAGGAATGAAACTGAGGTCATTGCAGTGAGCTGAGAACACTACCACCCATCACAAATGAAGATGTAACAATATCAAAATCCCTTTTCATGATATGCATCTCACAGTTCAATATTTATTGTCATATTTTGTGGAGGCTTTCAAAATTGTGAATATGTTACTGTTTCCTTTTAAAAGTCTTAGAAAAGCCCTGAAAAGCCTTTGGTGCTATTATAAAATGAAGAGTTAAGGGTTAGGGTTATGTAAAAGTGCTTATGTAGTCTGCACTGACAACACCAAAGGATCATGATCTGTGTAGTTCCCTCTGTTTTTTAGCTATTGCTGCACCATGAGAAGACAAGTTAATTCAAAGTGCTTTACAGAATAAGAAACACATTAAAATCACAAAGAAAGACATTAGAATCACCATAACTTTTCATTTAAGCAAAGAGTCTTGTAATTCGTTATATTGTGGTACTGTGAGAATTTTGATATTATATCACGATATTTAGGTTATTGTTACATCCCTACTGACAACACAAAGGATCATGGTCTATGTAGTTCCCTCTTTTTTGCACCATGGAAAAGCAAGGTGAGTTTATTTGTATAGCAGAGTTCTTAAACAAAGTAATTCAAAGTGCTTTACAGAATAAGAAACACATTAAAATCACAAAGAAAGACATTAGAATCACCATAACTATTCATTTAAGCAAAGAAACTCATAATTCAATATACTGTGATGGCTTCCGATATTATTGTGAGACTTTTGACGATGACATATTATATTTTGATTGATAGCATTTATATAGCGCCTTTCAAGATACCCAAAGCGCTTTACAGTTCATTATTCAGTCACTCCACACTCAGTGGTGGTAAGATATTTTGGTTGTTTTCATATTGCTAATCACAAATGTGAATGCATAAATAAAACGAGTCACACAAGGTCATGAGAATAAAAATCTTTATTAGTGTTTTATGAAGTCTGCATAATATGCCACACGCCTGAGAAGCTTATAGTCAGAAAAAAAAGAACTGCTCTATCAATACCGCCCCCTACTGGTAAAACAACTGCAACATCTACTGTACTGACTGCTTTGCAAAAGATAACTATTAAATACACACATACTGTACTACTGTTATGTATATGAACATCTGGTCCACGTCAGTTTTTGTAATGCATTTTTTTAAACTTCACATTCATATGTTGTAGTAGGCCAAAGATAGAAACAATGTAATACTAGACCCCGCCCACAGGTGGCAGCGCCCGCCCGAGATCCAACCTCACTAGTTGCACTTTAAGTACAATCGCTAGTGCCAGTATTTATAGTAAACAACATTTACATCAAAATAGGAGCGCGGGGACATGTTCAAACAGCCACGTAATGACAAGGATGGCAGAGTTTAAGCTAGAATAATAAGTCTTTGTTGTACATACTGTTATTTTATAGACAGAACAAATACAATACGAACATTAATACTTGATGTCCCTGTGTGCAGATCAGGCACATTCACCATTCATTTCTATCAGTTATTATTATTCATGGAAGAAAAGTGGTTTTACTCCCATGTTACAAAAAAAGCCAATAGTTCAAGAGTTGACCTTATAAACCCGCTAAAGTTAAGCACCAAAATGCTCTTAGAGGTCACACGTGTTCTTCAAAATAAACGCTATATAAAGAGATGAATGGAATCGTTGCCACCTTTTTAAAACGAGCCTACAGTACAAGATCCGTAAAAGCATCAAATAACGATAGAGTTAAAAGGTGCACTGTGTAGCTTTTTGGTTGGGGAGTCCATCTGTCACCGGTTTGCTTTTATGGATATGTCATTGCTCTGCTTGGAATGTTCCACAGTGTTACATTAAACAGCTCTGCCTTATATTCACTCAATTACAGGTGGTTTTATATCTCAAGAATACCTAGAAAAACAGGTATTCTTACTGTGAGTAGGGTCGCCTTTCCACTGATCTGACCTGTAACTTAGTCTGGTTTGGTCTCCAAAAATAAACAAGTTTAATACTGTGAAACATTCAAGACAAAGCAATAACATCTCCATGGAGAAAAGCATTTGACGGACCCTCCATCAGAAAAGTTACACACTACAGCTTTAAGAGATTCAGGTACATTGCTTGGTTTGGGCACTTTAAAGGAGAAGTTGATGCATGTCTGAAGAGACGATAGTATTTTTGTGTAATTGTCCAGTTTTATTGAATGGGTGAAATTTGAGAAAGTTAAGGTGCGATGTGCTTCCTGTGGCATATTTATATTTTGTACAATAAACTTAAATTTTTGGAGATTTCTGTAAATGGGTCTACAGTAGAAATAACAAAAAGCTGGTAATAGCTCTCAGTTTGGTTATTGCTGGGACATTTTATAGGCCAATAATATTTAATACATATGGTTAGGGGGATAGACACATAGCTGGTTCAATTGTTGTTTTATAAGTTCCAATAAAGTAAGTGTTAAAATGTTTCTAATACAATTTTAATACTTATTTTCTCTATGATTTTAAGAAGAAAGTTTAAAAAGGACGTGTACCTGATTTTTTTTTTTTTTTTACAAAAATTTGCCTTGCCCCAGTAGCTTTTATGGTAATAAAATTCTAATTCTAATTGTAATCTAATTAGAAAGCTTTTTTTAACATCCGATACTCAGGAAATGCGCAATAGCATGCTAGTTGTTAAGCCGTTAGCTTTACATGAGAGACCTGCACTCCCGCAGCCCTCCCATGGGACTCGACGCAAAACAGTGGCATGGGCAAGAGTGGGACTGCACAATGTGGGAGTGTGCGGGCGGGATGATAAACTGCAGTCCCGCAAACTAAGGCCCTGTCCACACTAGTACGTATTTGACTCGTTTTCGTTGCAGATGCAGTGTTCGTCCACACTAATCCAAAAAAACGACTCCAGAGACGGAACGATCTGGTACCGTGTGGACACCTGAAAACGCTGATATGCTGATGTAGTTCTATGCACCGCGAAGTAGCTAATTCACCGCCAAAACGCTAAAAGGCAAGTATATATTCATATATACGGTCTATGTGTATGACCTGCAGATGTATGACGTTTATGCAAATTAGCCATGCAGTTTTAAATATGCTCAAAGCTGTGTGGATAAGAAAGGATTTTGGACACAGAAACGACGTGTATGGACGCAGATCGTTTCCGATATGGTTTCCGTATGGTTTGCCCATACCTCATTTGTGCTCGATATTTTATTTAGCATTAATAAAAACATTTTAAGCAGCCTAAACTTGCAGATGTAGTCTAATCTCGCGCACATTTAAGACAATCTTCTGCTTCTCCATGTTTGATAGAGCTTAAGAAAGCGAACGTCTCTATCTTGAGGGATTTGCAGGCTGGAGCAGGACAAAATATTGCAGACGAAGGTGGGAGCAGGAATGAAAATTACAAATCTTTGAGAGTGCGGGCAGAAGTGGGACTGAAAATTCTGTCCACCACCGAGCTCTACTTTACACTGTGGTCTCAAAGTTGTGAAAAGTGCTTAGAAACATATTGCGGTGAATAATTTAATTTAAAAAGCTCAGAATGCATATGGTAAGAGAGGAAAAACCTTTGGCTTTAGAAGACAGTAAAAATCAGGTACAGAGTCTTATATGTTTTGCTATGAGTGTGTCTATACAGTGGAGCTATCAATTTACAATTTATGGATTTTTAAACCACAAGCAGGGTAGTAAATGGAACGGGGGACAAAGGGGAGTGTTGTCCCGGGCCACAAGGTTTTTAGGGGCCCAGAACTGGACCCTTTTCCTATTCATTTATATTAGGCCCATTTGAGGCTTCTTGCCCTGGGCCCCCAAATTTCTGTCAACGGGCCTGACCACAAGCACAAAGCACCTTTAGCTTACGTTGGTTACCAGTGGTTGAATTATTTGTACTTGAATGAGGTAAATGAGCTTCAAACTCTTACAGCTTTGGTTCACAGCAAATACAATGCTGAGTGCAAAACCTATAGTGAAAGGTTCACAAGATGACAAACTTCTCCTTTAAAATCCACAGTAATTCTTTGGAAAAACAAAGCAGAGGGAGGCTACACACACTCAGTACAGGGCAGTGATATCTTTGAAAAACAGAGAGACAAAAAACGTGTGAAATGAACGGAACTGAACCCATCGGGTGAAACGAGGAATGGTCCTTGCCCTCCACTTTTTAGAACAGCTGTGGTCTTTTTTTAAAATATTACTTTTAATAATAAAAAGTGAACGACAGAAAGTATTTAAGTATATTTATATATAAAAATACATGAGAATACAAAAAGTAGCAAAACAATGGGGATATAGGCTAAGAACAAGATGAATTTGTTGATACCTTCAATATCTCTAATGCGTCACCCCCCAGTGTCGTCAAAGAAAAGAGCTGATCTTTCTGGTCCCTGCCCAGCGCATCCTAAAGCCAGGCTAATTCAAGATTTAAAGTGCATATGACAGGTTAAATTACACATTTCACATAGTAATAATTACATTTAAGATTTGCCTAGTTTTTCTGGTTTTGTAATTTCGGTGAAGTTAATATAATTTCACTTCCAGTTGGACATGAGCAGCAGATGTGACGCAAGTTGAAGTTAAGTTACCTAACAACCAAGGGCTAAACCTGGTGTAAATTAAACAATAGTTATGATATGACAAATAAAAATTAATGTCAACACTTATTTTGCTAAAGGTGCATTGTGTAACTTTTCTGGTGGAGGGTCCGTCAAATTGAGATGTTATTGCTTCGTCTGGAATGTTTCACAGTATGGTATTAAACCTTTCCATCACCATGGAAACTAAACCAAATCAAGTTACAGGTCAGATCTGTGGAAAGGAAACCCCGCTCACAGTGAGAACACTTTTTGTAGGCATTTTTGAGCTTTAAATCCACCTGTAATTGAATAAATGTAAGGTAAAGCCGTTTAATGTCATACTGTGCAACATTCCAGGCAGAGCAGTGACGTATCCATAGAAACAAGCAGGTGACAGGCCGCAAACCAAAAAGTTACACAGCACATCTTTAAATCAGCAGTCAGAAAAATGCATAAATTGTCTCACCATTCACCAAAGCCTCTACTTTCTGTATTTTCCAACTTTTTGTTTTCTACGTTTCTGCACAAACTGCCACTTAACTGATGTAAAACTATGATAAATATTTACCACAGGAACTATCCTACCAAACCAAGTCATAATTTGAAATATATCTGAATCTGTCAAATGCACTTTAAGTTTTCAAACCAGGCTTTCTCCGTCCGGGATGCAAATCAACTAAACTAGAAGGTCGTGACTAGTGCCATATAATGACAGAGTACTAAACTGCAGCCAGGCTCAGTTTGTCTTATTTCAATTTAAGATTTTTGATTTCTTAAACTAACATTCCTATTTGTCCATTTAAGCTGTATGTCCTATAACGACACACTTCGACAAGTTTCTTAAAAAAGCCGTAATGGCGAAATCAAAACAAAAAAAAGGAAAAAATAAAAATAAAAAAAGAAACAAACAGAGTCCTTTCCACAACCTAATTTCATATAAACATCATTGTGGTAATTCTTTCAAAAGGCCACCAAAGGCAATCGTCATCAAGCTAACTCCCTCACACACAAAATATGGGGCAAAGATTATCTAAAAATTAACTAAAACTCAAAAGCTAGAACAACAATGGTTAAGTTGGGCAAAGAACATATCGTTTTTAAGCTTGTTTTACTCATACAAGCTATCTTCAAGACTGAGAAACTATTCACATATTTTTGGTATTCCCCCTAATTATTGGACTAAAAATTAAGGTAACACTTAAGTTTCGGGACCAAATATTAATAGCTAGGGATGGGACACGATCTCGAGACAAAATTGCCACAAGACTACGCACACATGAGGAAAACGATCTCCTGAGAATTTTTTCCTCATATTTTTACATTTACCGTGGATAAAAAGGGGATTAACTTTGCCGAGTAACTCGTCTCGAGAAGCTGCAATTCCAAAAAGCAGTGCTACAATGACAGCAAAACTAAAATGAAATATTGTGAAGTCAAAACTGTGAACTGAATGGCACAATTCGTTTACTAAAAATTATCTCAAAAGCTCGTCTTGTCTCGTTTTCGGGAGCCAAATCTCTTGTCATGTCTCGTCTTGTAAGAACTTGTGTCTCGTCCCATCCCTATTAATCGCTAGTTAATAGTAAAATGTATTATAAGTGCTTAATTACATCTTTGTTAGTATTTATAAAGTACTTTCCATGCATTTCCGTCTTAAGGCCGTATTTTAGTAGTAAACCAATAACTACTTTCTTCCCATTAAAGTAGTGGGGATTACAATAGATGTTTCTGTACATACACTGAAATCTTTATAAGCATTAATAAGTGTTTGATAAATACCAACTAACAGCTAAGTAACAGCTAATTACTAGAGATGGTACAAGATCTCATGCAACAAGATCTCGAGAGACAAAATTGCCACAAAATTGTGCACACATGAGAAAAATTATCTCGTGAGATTTTTTCCATGTGTTTATATTTGGATTGGATGAGAAAGGTTCACGTGATCTTTTATAGTTTCAGAAAGCGGAAGTAGAATGGAAACAAAAATATGAAATCAAATAAATACAAAACTGTGAGGCCAAAATTATGAAATGTATATTAGAATTCATTACCGTATTTTTCGAACTGAATGGATTTAGTGATTTGGAGTGAGATCGTGAGTTTGGTAAACTTATTTTATGTTGATTATGCTATAATTATATGAATAACTGTTAATATGTTACATTAACATATTACTGCCTATTCAGTCTGTTGTTTTCTGTTTTATTGTTATTACTAGAACTTGCCTTTCAAGGTGAAATGTCGGTTCCTGGTCTCTGATTTTATAAAATACATTTCCCCAAAAAGTGCGATTTACATGTTTTTTTCCTCTTCATTGCGCATTTTTTGGCTGGTGCAACTTATACTCCGGAGCGACTTATAGTTAAGAAAATACGGTATGTTAAAATCTCGTCATGTCTCATTCTCATGGACCCAATCTCATATCTGGTCTCATCTTGTGGCAATTTCATCTCGTCCTATCCCTACTAATTAGCATACCATTTACCACTTCATTAGCAATTAATATGTGGCCCCTAAACTAAAGTGTTACCAAAACGCATATACATTTCATCTGTACCTCAAATAGAGATAATATTAAAAGATTTTTGGAGAAGGGGGAGAGCCATTTGAACAAGGTGCATGACATAAAAGGGGTAAGAAAGTGCCAAATTCTAAAATGTGTTCTTTTGTTTTGTTTCGTTTGAGTTTGAGTGCAAAAGAAGTGATTTTTATTTTTCGTAACTTTGTTAAAAGAGGGATGTGGAGCCAGGCCACACACACTATTGTCTTATTTTACAGGATTCTTGGGTTGACATGATTTCCAAAGAAAGGACTCGCAGTTTAAAAAGAGTCAGTCCAGTATTTTACGCTTTTTTGATATGCATTGAGATAGCTAGCTTCGTTTTAGTTTGCAACAGTTTAAAAAGTTTGGAGGAGCAGATAGGAGTGTTAGCACTGCCAATTTAGTTCAAGGCATGGTCAGCTATGGATTTTTTTTCTTTTTTGCAGATACCAATATTCAGTATTTGTTTTGCTATCGTGGCCGAGCACAGATATTCACCAAAACTGATATTAAGCTTTTAAAATCTATCCACCTTATTCCGCCACCACAAATAAGGTGCGCTTTTTTGTGGTGGAACTTCCGGTTAATCAGGGATCCCATTCATGTCATGGCATAAAGTCGGTTGTTCAGTTTTTATGTGCACCGACAAATCACACTGTACTGATTCTTTGAGGGGCTTTAAAACGCTTTTATCGTCTGTACAGAACTTATTTATTGTTAAGATACAAAATAATACAAACCGAATCATGATGGCGGCGCCCTGGAACTTCCGGAATAAGGCGAGTAACAGACCAAATTTATGTTAACTTACAGTGAAGTTTATAAATGAATGCTTTTGTAAAAATAATAATACATTTATCTGGTATTTAATTCAAATTTTCTCTTATTTAGTCTGCTCAAAAAGACAGATCCAGTGCACAGAGGTCTAACAGGGTATAACACATGAGCACACAGATAATAGGAAAGAGCAGAAAAAAATATTGGTGCCAAATATCGGCAACATTTTCGATATCAGACCTATAACTGATATACCATCTAATACATTCCCATTGTTATTTTCCTTAATGACAGGAGTAATGCAAAATACTAAATGTTTTTTGCATCAGTGGTAAGAAGAGCATATGTTCACAATTTAATCTTTAAATTTGAACTGTTTTAGCCTTAGTTCATAATTGATGTAATCCCAGTATAATCTTTATGGTAAATAAAAACTTTACTTGATTTTTAGTACAATTTAAAATTCATCTATAGTAAACGGGCCCTTAAAAGATTCTATATGAAATTCTATACATCATATTTTAAACTTGCACGCCTTCCTATGTTAAAAAACGTTAATATCCTCTATGGGCATTACATGTAAAGCTCCACTATGTAACTTTTCTGGGGCACAGTCCGCCACTTGTTAATCTCCATGGAGATGTTACTGCTTTGTTTGGAATGTTCCTCAGTATGCCATTAAACTTACCCATTTCATTTATTCCAGTACAGGTGGGTTTATTGTCAAAAAATACCTAGACAAACATGCATTGTAACTGTAAAGACAGCCACTTCTACACAGATCTGACTTGTAATTTGGCCTGATAGCAGCATGCTTGTCTCCATGGTGATAGACAAGTTAAAAGGCATATAGAGGCAAACCAATAACATCTTAATGGAGGAAGAAAAGCTACACAGTGAAGTTTTAAAATGGGACTTGGGAAAGCTCAAGTTTTTAAACACGCTTAATAGCACTGTTTTGGCTTTGCATCTCTGCTCCGGACTGCTTCTCCAAACCAAGAAAGCCAGTTTCAGTGTGGGAAACAATAGCTCCGTCCAGATTAGGACAATAATGTATCATAAAAAACACAAAATACTGTACTGTCCCTTTAAGAATTGGTAAAATCTTTGTATCAGGCTGCGTTTTTGGGTGTTTCCGTAGCTGTTTAGGACATACTGGTGCAGAGGCCAGACGGGGTGCCCATCTGGGTCAGAACCTTGTCCAGCCACTGCAGAGGGCCATTTAAGTGAAGCTCGATCCAACATGGAGTGCTTGTGACCGTCTGCCGCCTATGGAGAAGAATACAAGAGAATAATAGAGTTGGAGAAGAATACATGAGAATATTAGAGCTGGACAGGACGCAAAAAAAGAGCCTTAAAGATGCACTGTGTAACTTTTTGGTTGAGTTCAGTCACTCGCTTGTTTCTATGGAGATGTCACTGCTCTACCTGGAATGCTCCACAGTATGACATTAAACAGCTCTACCTTTTTTATTCAATGACAGGTAATTTAATAGCTCAAAAATACCCAGAAAAACAGGTGTTCTGCTGTGAGTGGGAGTGCCTTTCCACAGATCTGACCTGTAACTTGGTCTGCTTTGGTCTGCTTGAAAGTAGAAAGGTTTAATGCCATACTGTGAAATATTCCAGATGAAGCAACATCAGCATCTCCATGAGGAAAAGTATTTAACTGACCCTCCAAAGTTACACAATGCAGCTTTAAGGAATTTTATTAGTCACAAAAAAGTACAGTTTTGCAGTATTTACAGCTTGAAACTCAGTGGTAAGAGTATGTTTGAGAAGTAGAAGAAATGTTTTGATAAACTTTTTTTAAATATATATGTGTAAGTATATACCTTCAATGTCCTAACTTTATAGCAGTAGATAAAGTATATTATAAAAAATATATATAACAGAGGTGAAAAAGAAAAAAAAAAACATGAGATGTCAGCTATTAAAAGCATCATTTCATCATCATCAACTGTTATCATTAACAGGACTACAGAGACTCCAAAACACATGCAAAAAATATATCATGAAGAAGTGGCATTATTTAATCAAAAACTAAATAAACAATCTGTTTTTCACTATTCCCATATAATCTGTATCTACAAGTCTTCAGTCAACTTTCATATTCATTTAGTTATACTTATGTAAATGTATTTAACAAATATCTGTGATGAAGACTGCATGAAGCAATCTTTTTTTAGTACTTTATGAATATTCATTTAAAAAATCCCAAATGATATGTGTGTGATGAATTGTGAAAATAAAAATAAAAAATGAGAGAATTAATTGATAGTGGGCTAAAATATTTCTAATTTCTCTAAATGTGAAAAGTTTTGAGGTAAATATTTGCCTCACTACAGCCACAGAAGGATTTATTAACAGCAAAGATCTACTTGAACAACTAATATTTGACTGTAACATCAATCAAATTCAGTTTGTGCGTGACTACAACACCACCTGGCAGCAAATAAATCAAGTTGTTTTGTTGTAGTTGTCAGGCATTGATTTGCATGGCCTCACCTGTACTCTGCTCCCCAGCCTTTGACAAAACTCATGCGAATGGTGCACATCCTGGTCAGCTGGTACACCGCCTCGAAGCCCTGATTCACCGACTGAGCCAGAAGAGCTGCAAACTCCTGGTTGTTGAAGATTTTCAGATTACAGCCTGAGGAGTTAAAACAGATGTTAGCAAATGTTGCGTGATTTTTTTCCCCCCCAAAGCCCAATTTCCCCCCCAAACAACAGACACAGATACAGAATATCCTATGCCCTCAGTCATCTCTATTGGGCTTGTAAAAAATATAAGTGTATATAATAAATTGAAGTAGCCTGAGAGTTTGAAAAGGAGGCATGGGGCTGGAGTTTTAATGCTGGAGAAGTTTATTTACATCAGTGCAGGACCCAGAACCTGGAGACATGAATGAGATTGTGATAGTATTGTCCTTTCCAGTCTAGGCCAAGATAACAAGGGCTAAGCACAATGTGAGACTCTGCCAACTCATTCCCATAACATTTCCTACTCACAAACACAATGCCACAAGAAAACCATTGCTAAAGGGCAAAAAGCATGAACTAAAATGTACAAGTGGCATGCAAAGTGGCATGCAAAGTTGCATGCAAAGGCCTGGAAATTTGTAATGGAACTGACAGTACTAGAAAATAGTCTTTATCTTTAAATATACTTAAGAAACCTCAAAGGCTGTGCAAGAATAATCGAGTACAAACAAGTATGTTATAAATATATATATAAAACATTTCAAAAATACAATTATGAGACCATGTGTTAAAAAAGTACACATTTTTCTTATGATTGTGATATTAAAACTGGTTTAGGGTGTTGAGTCTTCCCCTTAGTATCAAAATAGAGTACGATTTAGATCTGTGAAAAAACCCACATATACAGAAGAAGTTGTATTGTTACATTTCTACCATACAAAAAAATTAGCAGAAGATTTCTGTGCACTGACCTTATAAATATGCATTTCTAAAACTAACAATCCAAAAATGTGTTATAGGTAGAATTATCAGCGAGGATAAATTACAGTTAACAGTAATAATAAATTGTAGAGAAAAACAAAACAGCTTCACTAGAATGTGACATTGTTTGAAATTTGTTACCTGGAGGTATTTTACACACTGTTGCTGGATGCCAACCGTACCGCTGGTTGCAGTTTGGACTTTGGACAAAGATGGCGCTATCACTCAGGCACTCTGCAAACACCTCTCCTCCAATGTAGTAAAGCCTAACACCTCTTCCTGTCAAAACGAGTGACACAAAAAGGTAAGAGATAAAAGGAACATCTGACTAATAGTAATGTAATTGTTTTAATTTTTAAAAAGTCTAGCCTTTCAACTTCCTCTTGTCTCTATGGAGATGTTGTTGCTCTGCCTGGAATGTTTCACAGTATGGCATTAAACTTAAACAACTAGTCCAAGATCAAATTAGTGGATAGGTGATCTTGTTCACAATAAGTTGATCCAAGTATTTTTGGCAATAAACATACCCCACTGAGATAGACAAATTTAATGCCATACTGTGGAACATTCTAGGCAAAGCAGTTCCATGATGCAGCTACAAGTCCAAGATTTTAAGCAACTAATTAATACCAAGATGTTAAGCCCAAAACTATAAATTTTGTTCAATCACGTTTGCACTCCCCCATTAGCTTTTTTTTTTACTATGAAGACTGTCAACCTATTGAAACTTTGCAGTGACATCACGCTGGAGAGTCCTGCATGTATGTCTATGGCAGAATGTTTAGCAGTTACCATAGTGACAGAATGCACAAAAAAATACAAAATGGATTTAAGACAACACATTTTCAGGAGCCTAGGCTCAAAAGTTATGCTTAGAAGTTTGATTTTGAGCAAAAAGGGGAAGAGTGAGAAACTAAAAACTGCACAAAACAAAACTCCAGTTCAGTCAAATTGTGATAAAACAAAGATCAGATTACAGTCTAACTTGAGTAACAGAGCTTCAGACAGAGCAGTGCTTTCAGTTAGCATCACACACCCAGAGAATGTTAATGACATCAGCTGCAATATACGAATTGTAAAAGTATAAAAAGTATACAGAAAACCATACTACAACTACGGCTGTACCAAAAGCAAAACCCTTACAGAGAAAGAGTATAAAAACAAATTCAAAAAAAGTTTAAAATTTACAATCCTCTAATTTATGGCCAGACTTATAAAAGGTGGAGGTAATGACAGGTGGAGGAGGTGGCTGACCTATGTGTCTCCTGGTCATCTCCACCGTGGCGTTCCTGTTGACATTGGAGAGAAGGCCCAGACAGAAGCGCTCAGAGTTGGAGGGGTCCGTGAAGCCGTCCACGGTGAGCGAGGGCTGCGAGGCGTGGAACGTCTCCCCCACGCGCTGGTTCAGCTCGTAGTATGCTATCGAACACCAGAAAGCCGGCTCCGAGTAGGTCACCGGCTGGAGGTCTGGAGAACAAAAACAGGATCATTTGGCGACATTATTTTCAGATCAAGCCTTTCTAAAACTGACAGCCTCTCCAGCTCCTTCCAAGTAGCTCGCCAAGGGTTTTCTGAATTAAACATATTGTGCTGAATAACTCTGAATACATCTGATGAATTAAATGCCTCTTACCACTGTCAGTGTATAATTTTGATGCCTAATGTTGTGCACTAATGAATGGTTAATGGATTATGTTTTATAGGCATCAAACTGTACCCCATCTAAGGCTTGCCATTAATCTCAATTTCTTGTGACTGCTAAAATAAGTAGCTCTCTGGCTTTTTCTTTTGTAAAGATAGCTCACATATTATGGTTTCGTTTTTGACGCTACGAATCACCCCCTCCCTTTACTTCTCGCGTCACTCTCCCTTCAGAGCGCTATCACAACACAATCAGCATGTATTCTGCCGATGGAAGCTTTTTGTATTTTGTATCATACTTGTGAATATTTACGGAAAATGGATAGGACCGTATTGTTAACCAGAATGAGTGTTTGAATAGGGCTTGAGAGAGATCGATAGATTACTCAAACATGCATGGATGACATCTTTATGCATGTTTTTGTGTAATAATTTAACCCAACAAAAGCCAAATTGATATTATAGCATTAGTAAAATGCTCTGTAATATCTGAATGGCACCCAATTTGTCAGAAAACCGGAATGATTTTTAGTGGAGTTTTGGAAAATCTCGGCAATTACAAAAATAAAAAAAAAGTTTCTGCTTGAATGTTTAGCATCATACCTATCACTGTTACCCATGCCACCTTGATAGCAGCTATTTAAAAAAAGTTGTGGATCTGAACGGATGAGTGGATCTGTACAAGATGGATTTCTGTGTGTTCAGAAACTCAAATCTCGTGACAGTAACAGTAACTAGTTCCTCTTCAAAATAACAAATAAAAAAACATAATATTTAGAAATGGTCTGGTATTTATCTGAGATGCAATACAATTTTATGATGACCCTGATCCTTTTGTTGTTCAGCCACCCCTTTAACTTCATTGCACTTCCATTTCCATTTCATCTCAGGAGTCTGTTTAAAAAAAGACTTGAAGTACTACAGAAAACATGCACATTACTGATACCAATATTAACACCAATATACAGGCTATCTTTACACCATAACTCACCCAACAAAGGTTTTCGTGTGTGTTCTTACCCATGCTATGATTGACAGGAGAAAGAGTGCTTGGGGACAGTTCTGCTGGAGAACCTGAGAGGAACAAAACAATATTTATTCAGAATTATCAGTCACATGATCAAATCTTATCGTGCTAGTTAAAGGCCCATATTACGGATTCCTCATCAAAAACATACCTGGAGTTGTGTTTTGTTTCATTCACACATGTTTAACACACAAACCCTGCATATTTAGTCTGAATTCTTCTCTTAAACTGAAAACACTCACTCCACTTTGAGGATTTTGAGCATTTGAGATGGACACAGACTAATAATGCAGGATTACTGAAACATCTGTGAATGAAACAAAACACATTTTGGGTTCATTTTTGATGAGGTAACACCATTCTAACTTCTCACAGCTCAAAGCTCACAGGAGTCTATATCGCATAATATAGGACCTTTAATTAGTAAACATAAAAAAAGTACTCCATGTTATAGTTTGGGTTTGTTAGTTGTGGGTTAGTAGACCATAACAAAAATGAGGAGATTAGGTTTGAAAAAAAAAGGCAGAATTGAAGACAATGCGGTTTTCAAGTACACAAAAGGAGTGATTGTCAGTCTGTTATAAGGACACTAAGCTAAGGAACAAGGGAACAAGGAGATAGGACGCAGGAGGAAGGAAGCAGGAGCTAGTCTAGAATACCTGTGTCCATACTTTGATTCATCTGCTGATCACTGGCCTCTCCATCCTCACTGATGTATCCGGGGGGAGGCGTTTCTGGACAAACAAAAAAACCACACATAAAAAAAATAAATAAATCACCCACTAAAAATAAAAACATCTGAAATTCCCAGGATGTAACAATATCAGACACTTTTTTCTTTCCTACCACAATGTCATCAAATCTCTTGTCTGCAGTCTGGTTTAGCTGCATGTTTCACTGACCTGGTATGTAGTTGCTCGGGGGTTCAATTCCTGCGGGGAAATTTGTGTTCTCAGGGATGGAGTGAGTGTAGTCGTCCAGAGGGGGGCGCTCAGTCAGGATCTCTGCCTGGTGCCTGGGCACTAGAACAGCAGGCAGCACTGGAAAGTACAGGAACAGGAGTTAGGAATTGTAAGCGGATACATAAAAAATTAGAGTGGCAACTTAAGTTAATTCCAATATGTGGTATATGATAGTGGAGTCAAATGCTTTGACCCAAGACATTAGCAGCAGTGATGCTTGGTCTCACCTGGGGTCTCCACCCTCTGGTAGTGGTAAGGGTTGATGCAAACCTCATCTTTCTTCAGGTGGAAGGAGTACTCACAGGCCTCGATGGCCCTGAGCTCGTGGTGACTGTGCAGGTCAGGCCACCTCCACAGACGGCAGTAGATCACATGAGGAGGGGTCTTTCTGTGGGACACCTGGAGAAGTCCATCTAGGGATCTGGTTCAATCACAATCACAACATTATATTAGTTACTTAAAAAGGGAATTAATTGTAGTCAACATAACATACAGCTCACCAGTGCACTCTTTCACTATATATACCAAATAGAGTCAAATTGGCAACTTGAATGTCACCCCTATACAAGGGGTCCCCAACTGGTGGACCTTGGTAAATAGCAGTAGTAACAGTAGTAAGAAACAGCACATATCAGTACTCACCTGGTTTGGTCAGGGTAGCTGTACAAGCCTGACGTGTCCCACTGCTCTATCGTATTTGGTGTGCTCAGGCCCCATATTTCAGAGCAATTACTGTGAACAGAGAAACAACAGCAGGGTCAGAACTGAATATGAAAAAACAACACACAATTTCCTTCACAAACTTACTCCGCATAAAGACTAGTTTAGATCTGTACAAACATGTTCTAAAATGTGATTCTTACAATTTGTCAGTTCATGTATCAGTTAGTCTCTGTCAGTTCTTCTGAATGTGTTTAGACTGTGATATTTTCCCCAAATCTGTCAGTCTGTCAATCTATATACTTATTGTTCAATAAAGTGAAACAAATGCAGGCAAAGCTAAAGATAAACCAGAACTAGTTCTGTGTTTACGCTAGCTCTTGTCACATCTCAAAGCACCAAAGACTTCAAATTATTAGATGTCTGTTTGTGGATCGCTAAGATCTGTCGAATTCTTAAAGGTGCATTTTGTAAATTTTCTGGTGGAGGGTCTGTCAAATGCTTGTCTCCATAGAAATGTTATTGCTTTGTCTGGAATGTTTCACAGTATGGTATTAAACCTTTCTATCATCATGGAGACCAAACCAGACCAAGTTACATGTCAGATCTGTGGAGAGGCAACCCTGCTCACAGTATTTTTGAGCTATAAAACCACCCATAATTGAATAAATAAGTTAAGGTTGAGCTGTTTCATGTCATACTGTGGAATATTCCAGGAAGAGTAATGACATATCCATGGAAACAATTAGGTGACGAACCATCCAAACCAAAAAAAGTCACACAGTGCACCTTTAAGAGTATAATTTGGATACAATTTGGATTTGATTATTAAGAAAACATGAGAGTTATGGCAGACATTTTAAATCTATATAAGTGACAAAATGGTGTACCTGCCCTGGCGTGTAATCACTTGGGAGGAACCCGCAGTGATCTTACAATTAATCCTGAATTTGAGAGCAATAATTATGTATTAAGCAATAATTAAACCTGTCTCAATCACTTTTTCAGACTATAATCATTCTGAGAGCCACTTCTGAGGCAATAAACAGGTCTACAGACATGCAAGTATTCTCAAACACAATGTTCCCTTTCAACAGTGAGTTAATTTAGTCCAGGATGAAATGTGATAAGGAGGACATCTTTTACAACCCCTGAAACTAATACAGCAAATTAAGATGGGTTGGCTGTATATTTTTTAAGGCAAATAGTGTTGTTATAGTGAAAAGTGCAGAAACAATTTACACTATTTAAGGAATTTTAGAATATTTAAAAAGGTGCACTGTGTAACTTTTCTGGTGGAGGGTACATCGCCAGTTTTTCTCCATGCCGATGTTGCCTGGAATGACCCATAGCACGGAATTACACTTATTTATCTGCTGTAGGGCCAAGTTACATGTCATATCTGTGGAGAGGCGAACCCACTCACAGTAAGAACTCAAGTTAAGTCAATAAAAACCCGTGTTATCGAGTAAATGCAAGATGGAAATGCTTAATGCCATACCGTGATATTCCAGACAAAACAACATCTCCATGGAAAAAGCAGATGGCAGACACCTCATCAGAAAATTTACACAGTGCATCATTAAGACATTTTTCTGGTAGTTAAAACCTTCATTTACCAAAAAGATGTTGCAATTTCTTTTTATTTGTCTAATCATCATTATTGTGTAATTTGGTAACATTATGGCTGCCAGATAACAGTTATGGAATTACCTCTCTACGTACGTCACATCTGCAGCTAAACTTTGCCAAAATCAAAAAACTACGGGGAAAAAACTAAGCAAGATTTGTAGTGAAATCGTAAATGTAATTATTAGGGATGGGACGAGACACAATTTCCACAAGGCAAGACAAGACATGACATTAGGTCCACGAGAACGAGACAAGATGAGTTTTTTACATATTTTTGACATATAAATAGTCCGATTTAATTCCCCAAGTTCGCAGTTGAATTTGTATTTACTTTGTTGAATATTTTCGTTGTCATTATAGCAGTGATTTTTTGAACAACAGCTTCTCAAAAGATGCAGCTCACCAGCACTTACCCCTTTTTTGTCCAATCCAAATGGGAAATTTTCTAATGTGTGTACAATCTTGTGGCAATTTTGTCTCATGAGATTTTGTCCCATCCTTAATAATTATTTCGACCACGTTCTGGTGTAATAAAATACATAAGGCAGGTAGACTACTTAAGATAAAACTGCCTAGGGTGTTCACTGTAATGGCACAATTTCAGTATGCAATCTGATATGGTCATTTTCATAAACGCAAAACATCCCGAGAAATTCCAGACCAAACTGAAATCATTGTATGTTGATGTAATGAACTGAATTCCTGAAAATCTACCATGTTGGAAGTTAACAAAGGTAGCATGAGGTCCACGTAAGTGCCATGGGTTGTGTACATGTTGTTTTGAGCAAATTAGCCATCTGCTTCAATTTAGCGCAGCATGGTTTGCATCTACTACTACTAGACTTCCTGTAGCATGCCATTATTTGTATGATTTCTCCTGATGCATGGAAAAGGAAAGGTCAACAGCTGAAAAGGTTCTACACAACACTGGCACAAACCTGTAACAGCATTGTGTAACTTTTCTGGTGGACAGTCTGTCAAATTCTTTTCTCCACGGAGATGTTATTCCTTTATCTGGAATATTTTGCAGTGTAGTATCAAAACTTTATATCATCATGAAGACCAAACCAGACCAAGTTACAGGTCAGATCTGTGGAAAGGCAACCCCATTCACAGTCAGAATGCCTGTTTTTCTGGGTATTTTTGAGCTATAAAACCACGTGTAATTGAATAAATGTAAGATAGAGCTGTTTAATGTCATACTGTGGAACATTCCAGGCAGAGCAATAACATATCTATAGAAACAAGCAGCTGACGGACCCCAAACCAAAAAGTCACCTAGTGCACCTTTAAATTCACTGTTCTCACAATTTAAAAAATGCAATAATTATATTTCATATAATTTTGTGGTTAATAATACATAACACTTGTATATCATTTTTCAAGATATTCAAAGACGCTTTACATGAAAAGACAAACAAAGGCAAACAAAAGGAATAAGAACAAATAAGAAGAAAGTTTAATATAATAGTTAATTTTTTTGTTGTTACTTTCATTTCTATTATGATTTCACTTATGTTATATGTTCCATTGTATATAAATGTAAATCTTTACTTGCCCAAAATAAATGCATAAATAAAAAAAAAAAAATTAAAAAATAATTTTAGAGAAATCGCAACATATCATCCATTGTTTTAGTATCGGGATATATCGAATTGTGGGACAAGATTCAATTTCCATGAGATGAGAAACGACAAGATTGTGACATTCTTTAGAATAAATAAATTGTACAATCCAGCTCCCAATTTTTGATGTACTTTATTTAATATTGCCACTCTCATCGTAAGAGTGCTTTTTAGGACTACAGCTTCTCATAAAATGTAACTCACCAGTACATAACTCCATTTTGTATCCAATCCAAACGTAAAAACATGGGGAAAAAAATCTCACAAGATCATTTTCAGCATGTGTGCACAATCCCGTGGGAATTTTGTCTCACGAGATTTTGTTCCATCCCTAATATGTATCGTATCATCAAACTCAAGGCAATGCACACCCCTATTTATTACTCATAGCCCTAGTGTGCAATTACTATTTACCATTATGCTGATTCAGAACTACAGAAAATAGCAGTCTACACTCTGCACCTTTTGTTAAATACTTAAGTCCTCCAAGTTTGTGGCACATTTGTGGTACAGTGTATTGTTTACATGGGGAACTGTCCACTACATCTAATCCATGTTTGTTCTTATCTACAGGTGGCAATCAGGGACGACCACAGCGCACCACTTGGGGATACTTCTCCATATCTACAGGTAAGTTCAAGGTCAGGAGTATTTAGCAGGGAGGTCTGCCCACAATCATTCTGCTGTTTAATTGTGGCATTCGTGATATGGTTTAAAAATATTTGCCACTTTGGATATGGTTGGTTAAATTTGTGGCACTTGATTATGGTAAGTTTCAGTATTTTCTGCACCACTTAGGGATACTTCTCCATATCTATAGGCAAGTTCGAAACCTACATAGCAAGTAGGTCTGTCCACTTTTCATTCAATAAATTCATAATGGAACAATCATTCTGCCATTTACTTATAACATTTGTGATATGGTTTAAAGATCTTTGCTTCTTTGGTTATGGTTGGTTGATTACTGCAGTAATGTGATATTTTATATACCGCACTTAAAGGGTCATTATGTAACTTTTCTGGTGGAGGGTCTGTCAAATGCTTTTCTCCATGGAGTTGTTATTGCTTTATCTGGAAAGTTTCACAGTATGGTATTAAAACGTTCTATTTTCATGACAACGTCACTGTCTGTGACGAGGTAACCACACTCACAGTCAAAATGCCTGTTTTTGTAGATATTTTTGAGCTATAAAACCTGTGATTGAAGAATTGTAAAGTGGAGCTGTTTAATATACTGTGGAACATCCCAGGCAGAGCAATGACATCTCCATGGAAACAAGTTTGTGGTGTACCTCCAACCAGAAAAGTAGGAGGAGGATTAGCTTAGTGAGTGCATGGTTAGATTACTGCATTTTCTTTCCTTAGCCTGAATTCACAATATACAGTACTAACTCATACAGACCAACTGAACAAAAACAGAATTTGGGAAAAGAAGTAATTAATTAGATGTCCTACTGCCTATGTAAAGGTGCACAGTGTAACTTTTTTGGTTGAGGGTCTGTCACCTGTTTGTTTCTATGAATATGTAATTGCTCTGCCTCGAATGTTCCACAGTACAACATTAAACAGCACTACCTTACATTTATTCAATTACAGGTGGTTTTACAGCTCAAAAATACCTTGAAATACAGGCATTCTGACAGAGAGTGGGGTTGCCTCTCCACAGATTTGACCTGTAACTTAGTCTAGTTTGGGCTCCATGAAGATAGAAATGTTTAATACCATACTGTGAAACATTCCAGACAAAGCAGCAACATCTCTATGGAGACAAGCATTTAACAGACACCCCACCAGAAAAGTTACATAATGCACCTTTAACATTTTAGGTTTTACTGAAACTCCAAGAAAAGGAGCAACTATTGGGAGCTTTCTAACACCTATTTGCACTAAACATCTAAATTTACCTGGGAATGGTGACACATTTGGTGTTGCAGTTCTGCGTGGCAATGGCCTTCTCCAGTTCGTCCAGCTGTCCCGTCTTCTTCAGCTTCTTCACCAGGATCTTGACGGCCTTCTCACACCATTTGTCCTCCTGACCATTCTGCTCCCCTCCACCAGCTCCGCCCGGGCCGCTGGACATCTTCTTCCACCCCAGCAGCCTCTTCACGACTGGAGGGGTGAACGGCAAGATGGAGGACATGTCTTCTCAAATGATGTCCAAGCTTGCTCAGGTGAAGGAGGAGTGATGCTTAAAAAAAAGCTCTGGGCCCTTGCTTTGAGGGGCCCGTCTACGTCTCAGAGGGTCACAGTGTGGAAGCCAGGGTTAGGAGGGACTCACTGTATACCTGAAGGAAGAGTGATGAACAGATTTAGTTAAAAGTTTAAAGCAACTATAGTGGACACTGCATAGTAGTAGTAGTAGTAGTAGTGGTAGTAGTGGTAGTAGTAGTAGTAGTAGTAGTAGTATTAATAGTAATAGTAGTAGTAACAGTAGCAGTTAGTGGTTTGGTTATCAAAAAGCAGGAAGCTAATCTCAAAATTAGTCAAGGCCTGATTTAATTTTGAGTAAAATTAATGCAATAAAATTGAAATAATGTTTCCAAAACAATATTTTCAACTTAATTACAACTTCAATTCATAATTACATTTCAAACTCAATTTGATACTAACAGAAAGGCTAACAAAGTAATCTCTTTTTTACTATGCTTACTAACCTGTGGGCTTTCATATCAGAACTAGAGTGTGATATGATAGAACTTTTATTTGTCTCACAATGGGGAAATTCAAGTGATCCATTGAGTTTAAGGACAGCAACTAGGCACTCAGAAATCATGATAAATGAATATAGATCAAGCCTAAGACCAAAACAAATCACGAAGTCTTATTTTGTCCCATTTAATGTGTTTTTCCTGTTTTTAAGACTTGCTCAAATGAGTATATAGTTTCACATATCTACCAACCTGTTGCCTTTTTTGAGTTTGAAAATCTTGATTGGCCAATCACTGCTTTTACTTAGAAGCCTCACAAGTTGCAGCATATTCACTTACAAAGACAAATGTCTGAGGTAAGTCTGACCATAATGAATTACTCCAACAAGTGGGAGCTGTCAAACATGTCAGGACCCTGTTATTATGTTGTGACACAGGCCTGCAGCACTTCAGTGACAAATGGACATTTGAACACTTCTTTTTCCATCTTTTTGTTACTCCTGCAGACCAATTTTAACTTACTTACATGTAGTTTTTATTTATACATTTACATGTTTTTACATGACACCGTAGTGCAAAAGCAACATGGAGAATATTTGATATCCATTATATTTTTGCATTGCCAAATTATTTTATCCTGGCCAGTGCACGGCTTACTTATTTGTAACTATAAATGCTATCCCCCTAGGGTTCAAGAAATAGTAGATAGTCTTTCTGATTCTAGCTCTGATTACCACCAACAGGCCGGGTGCTAGCTACAACAGTGGGGCTTTTTACCCTCAATCCTACTATTTTACCGGTGCTGGTCTGTTGCAACTACAGACGGCCACAAAAGAAGATAAATAACAAGACTGTGTACAATCGGAGGTATAGTTTTGGTCATTTTAAGAGCAGTGGAAGCGATACAAGGAGGGGTCATCAAGCGGCTAGTCCAGCTAAAATGGCGTTAGCTTGGGCTCGAAATTCCAGGCATTTCGCTCGGGGGCGGGGCTTAACGTCCTATGTCATTCGCTCAGTTGTTGATCATTACGTAACTTTAGAAAACTCTAAACATGATCAAGTAGATTGTCACGAGCATTAGATTAAGTTATTACGGAAGTGCAAGGCTATTTTTAATGGCAAATTAATTCACCTCAGGACAAAAGCTATAATTTAATGTCACTGTCTAAGACTATGTTCTATTGTTAATAGAGTATAATAATAAAAAATCAAAGTTCTACCACACCTTGCTGAATAACGTATTAATGAAACTAAAAGGCGTTTGTTGTATATGATTATGATGGCAATTATTTGTATTATTAGGCTATACAAACAGTGGGTTCTGGGGTTTAATCAGTAACTGAAAATACCAGGTTCAACATTTGTGAATTTACCTTTTGGATATTTCATGGTTAAGTACAATGTAAACAACGGGGAAATTTGGCCCTTACCCTTCATCTGAGACTATAATCTATAATCTGAAAACCACCAAGATATTAAGGATGCAATACAGACAACTGAAGAAATTCAAAGTCCTAAATAAAACATAACCCCAACTGAAGTGGTTTGTCCATTGTCCAAAACAATGTTTATGTTTTATCAAAGGGTTAGACAATGTGGTCACTGAATGTTACTTACAAAAACATATACTTTTAATGTCTTTACAACAAATGTTAGAAATGTCATTTGGGGGAAATATTATCTGCGATTTATTTATGAGCAATAGATTTTTAAACAATATAAGGAGAAAAAATTGCTGCTGAATAGACCATCCAGCTGATTTTTATTTCAATTTTTTTCTTTTTTTGAATTGACTGAGAAACTTTGACACTAGAAGGCCATCAGAGTCTTCTGTATAAATTGAAAGAAAAAGAAAAAAAACATAATTACTGTCTTGAATTTAGAAGCGATATAAATATCACAAAACAAATCACGAATGTTTACCAGTGGCCGTGATTAGCACGCCCACCGCGAACGAAATGCCTGGGTTTTTGCGAGTCCCGAGTTAGCTCCAGCTTGTTATCAAAATCCTTTTGTTGTGATCCACGAAAAACCTCCAGCGCGCATTTGACAGATCGGGCTCCTTCACCACGCATTGGCAGCTTGTCTATTCACACCAGTACATAGATGAACAGAAAATATATGTTAAATCGTTGTGAAAGTGTAAGCAGGAGCGGGTTATTTGAATGCGATTGTGAGTTTTAGGTGCAGAAACGAGTTAGCATCTCGGACTTCTAAGCAGGCTCCCGCTGGCTAACGAGGCTAACATGCAAAACAACATGATCAAAAGTCGTGGAAAAGAGGAGTGCGTTTCGATATTTACCGTATTTACGTGCTCATAAACTCCACCTTTTCATAGGCACGATGCAGCCCGTTCTGTGATTCCCATAAAAGTGAGTAGATTGTTTTGAATCACGGATAATTTTGACAAGGCTCTTCTCAAGTTGCTACAGGAGCTAGTTAGCTGTAGGTTTGGTAGACCGGAACAAAACAACAAACGTGCTGCCTACGTAGAAACTCTTGACTCCGCCCACATTTCAAAGTATTAATTATTTTCTGACAAAACCTATCAAATTAATATTTTACAATTTTCCAGCAATGTTGTGCCAATTGTTAAATAATCTTCTCTCATCTAAATGTAATATTATTTCCAAATTGTTATTATTAACCTAAAATTTTGGCCTTTCAAATGTTCCCTTTTTTTCATTTTTTTCCAGCCTTCTTATTATTTTAAATCAGGGTTCTCCATCCAGTAGCTCAGAAACTACCAGTAGCTCTTCACCCCATTCCAAGAAGCTCCCCAAGGGACTTCTGAACTTTACATATTATGTTGAGTATGTAAAATGTAATGAATTATTTTGATGCCTAACTTTTTGCTCTAATAAATGGATAATGGTTTATGTTTTCTAGGTATCTAACTGTTCCCATTCAAGGTTGTAGATCTTATATTTACTCAGTTTCTTGTAACCGCTAAAATAAGTAGCTCTTTGGCATTATCGTTTTTGTAGCTCCACGGAGGAAAAGGTTTGGCGAACTCTGCTTTAAATTTTGTTTAAATATTGAGCTGGACTGCAGTTAATAATTCAGAATTTATCTAAACTGTCAAAATGCAGATGTTTTGAAAAGACACACAATTAATATGGTATTTTTGGACCTAACCAAATCATGTAGGTCTTTGTGTTCTTTTTTATTTTTCTATTTTTAAATCCAAAATTTAAATCAAATAGCAACCACATTATCCTTTTACGCTAAAGAAAATGTTGACAGGCCATTCTAAATAGACCCTTAGCCCCTCCCACTCATGTGTCAATCAATCAACCTGCATTGGAGTCACCTGTTACCTTATAAGTTCCTTTAGCAGCAGGTTAGTCCCTTTTGGTTTGTTTTATTTTTATTTGTAGCTATGAGATTAGTTTGTTTAATTTCTTTAGCCTTATTACAGCAATCAGGGCTGTTACAAGGTGAGACAAGTGGTTTAAAACTTGCCTTACTGTTTGTCCTGTGTTTCCAAATACTTTGTTATTCACCAAACACTATTTAACATAAAGTATCTTGCTATATGCAGTTATTTCTTCTGGGACGGCTCCATTGAAGTGTGGCAGAGGGTCCCAAGCCTGTGCCGATGGTTCAGAATGCATTTTATACAGCCATGTGTGTGATGGAGAGCCAGACTGCGAAGACGAATCTGATGAGGAAAACTGTGCTTCGGATTGTACTGAAGGTAACTGCAATTTTTACTGTATGGATTCAATGAAAATTTCAGGATTTAAAAAAATTCTTGACAAAACTAATATTCTATATAGAAATACTAGAGGATTGTCAAAAGCACTATCGGTCAGCCACTTCCTGTCTCTCTGAGCTTCTGTCTGTCCATCTTCCCAGTAGAACCTTGATCAGCAGACCAGATAAATTTAGATCTTCCAAGGTCCCAGTTAAAAACTAGAGGGCACTTGGCTTTCGCTGTAGTTCGTCTCAGACCCTGGAACAGTCTTCCTCTGGGTATTAGAATAGCCCAATAATTTAAAAACTTTGTTGAAAACTCATTCATATGCACTGGCTTTTAACACAAGCTGAGCGGAACATTTGTATTGTTGTTTTATTGTTTTTGTATGCATTAGATTTGCACCTTTGAATTGCCTTTGTACAGCACTTTGGACAGCTGTGGTAGTTTTTAAAATGTGCTTTATAAATAAACTACACTTGACACTATTCACAAATAGTATTAAAAAAGAACACGATGAAACTTTAACTGAAATATTGATACATACACTTGGACTTAGACAAAGTTTATTGATCTACAAGGGAAATTACTTGGACACAGGAGCTCGTATATCACCAATATAGAATAGTAACAAAGAGCCAAAAATATAAAATAGTCTAAATAAGCAGCAAAAATAGCAAGGCATAGTTGTATAAATGTATATGCACAAGTAAAAAATATGTATATGTACAAGTTAAAATAAAATAAAATGGAATAAAAAACACAATACACAAGAACCAAGATTAAGAAAAGTTGATTTCTCAGTGTTTATCAAGCTTCAAAACAACGGATTAACTGTGATAATCTGTGTGAAAAGAGGGGTGGAAAAAATGGGACTAAATATTTATTATTGGTATAATTCTAGCCCAGTTCCAGTGCGCTCACGGGAGGAAGTGTATCGATAAAGAGCAGGTGTGTGATGGAGAGTCCCAGTGCCAGGACCGGTCAGATGAGCTGCACTGTACAGCCACGAGTGACGGCTGTGTTCACCACTGTGACAACAAGAGCCGCTGTCTGCCTGCCAACTTCCTGTGTGACGGGGAGAGGGACTGCCTGGATGGGACCGATGAGGCAGCGTGTGGTAGTGTTTCAATGCTTGTGTTTGTATTTCTGTTATGCTAGACTTTATACCGATGTTAAAGATGCATTGTGTAACTTTTCCGGTAGAGGGACAGTCATCTTTTTATATAAATTTCATTAATGACACAGAACACATGCTGCCTTTTCTCATCCAGTAATAATCTTCCTTTTAACTGTATTTCAGTTTTGTATTTTTCTATTTTCACTCCCCCTTTCAGAGGATCAAGATGAAGAAACCGAAGACAAAAATATTATAACTGTATCTGCACCTCTGAGCTGCCCTCTAGCGTCCAAACCATGTAAAGACAACTCTGAGTGCGTCTCCTATAACCACGTTTGTGATGGGGAGGAGGACTGCAGGGACGGGTCAGATGAGGAAGACTGCCAATCAGAATGTTCTAAAGGTGAACACGTGCAGTGCGGTGGTTCTTGGGTTACAAATTTGACAATACTCAAGTGATATTTAGACAAACTTTTTTTTCTGTGTGACTAAAATGATGACAAGACTCGACTGAGAGCTTTACAGAAAAATATGATCAAACAATCACACAATAAATATCCAAAACCTATGTGTTCTATAAATGTATGTATGACACAAAATGACATGGATAAATGCGTAGATAAATAAGTACATAGATGTATTAAAGTAAAATAACTTGAGCAGCCAAAAAGCCATTAGACTCCTTTCCTTCACAGGAAAACTAAAATGGAAAGGAAAAAGGAAATCTTATTCAAGTAGAAATTCACACCAATTAATGTCAAGGCAGTCCATTGTCATTTTAAAAACAAAAACGAGACAACAATGTAAAATGGCCTTGTACAAATTCTCCTTTCAATGTTGATTGTCTAGCCCACTACCGTGATACTAGTCCAGACTGTACAGAATATGCTGGAATGATAAATTAAACACCTTTATCTAACTGATAACTCTGTCCTGTCAATCATCACTTCATCTTTGCACTGTTTTCTTTACGACCTTTTGTATATAACTGAGATATATATATTTTTAAATTTTATTTTTACATGAAGATTTTTATAATTGTGCCTTGTCTGACACCAGTCTCTTTACTATTTTTGAATTTATTATTACCATTTATATTTTTCCTATTTGCCATTATAATATATTGTGATGTGTGAGCTATTGCGGCAAAGTAATTTCCCTTGTAGATCAATAAAGTTTGTCGCGGTCTATCCATCTTCTTGTTAGTGGGCATTTTCTTAATCAAATGCTGTCCATCATACCACTTGTCTATTTGTAACATTTTCTGTGCTTATTGCAGATCAGTTTCAGTGTGGGCACGGGCGCAAGTGCATAGATCAGGCTCAGGTGTGTGACGGGGTCCCTCAGTGCCAGGACCGCTCAGATGAACTGGACTGCTCCGGGCTGGTGGAGGGCTGCGCTCACCAGTGTGATGCCCGCAGCCGCTGCGTGCCCTCCAGCTTCCTCTGCGACGGAGAGAGGGACTGCAAGGACGGAACTGATGAACTCAACTGTGGTATGGGGATTTTTAAGATTAAAGGGCCCATATTATGCTATTTTCTGAGTTATGTTGTAATGTTCTTTCCTTATCAAACATACCTGGAGTTTTGTTTCACTCACATGTTTAACACACAAACCCTGCATATTTAGGCAGGGTTTGACCCCCGCTCAGTCAGAATGGCATTTTTGAGCTGTAAAACCACCTATGATTTAGTAAATGTATGCAGGAAGGTAAAGCTGTTTAATGTCATACTGTGGAACGGTAGTGTAGCTGCACAAGGCCCTGGTGCAAGTATTCAATCCACACAATCTCAACCCATCCCTGTGCAACAAACCTAAATCCTCTATATATAGATATAGTATAATTTACATTTGTGTACGTGTCCTGTATGTTGACAGTTGTTTAGAGTCTGTACTGGGAGGGTGGCCAATCCTAGCCTGGGATGGGCCCTCAAAGCTCTGTGGGCCCTGGTGTGTGGCACCGGCTGCACCATTAAATGCTATGCCAGTGCTGTGGAACATTCTAGGCAGAACAATGACACATCCATAAAAACAAGCAAATAATTGACCCCCAACCAAAAAGTTATATAGTGTACTTTTGAACAGAATATCATTTTAAAAAGCAACAAAAATAAATTAAAACTTTGGGGTTATATTTGACTTTACACATCTCCCAGTTGGTGAAGCGTGCAGCCACGATGAGTTCCGGTGCAGCAGTGGTCAGTGTGTGGCGGCCTCCATGCGCTGTGACGGCCACCCAGACTGTATCGACCAATCAGACGAGGACCTCTGCGCCAAGCCTCCTGTGTGCACCACCAAACAGCGCTGCCCCCAGAGCCGAGAGTGCCTTGTGCAAGAGTGGGTCTGTGATGGGGACCAGGACTGCAGAGATGGCACAGATGAGGAGGTTTGGGTGTTGAATCTAATGAAACAGAAAACTCACAAAGTTCTTGTAGATGTGTAAATGCAAGAAGTAACAACTTAAAAGTGACAAAATGCATACTCAGATGGCCGATTTTAAGGTTCTTTGTGATTCAAGCATGCGAGAGAGAATGAAATTTGTTCCTCGAGGCCCAGTGATGAAAAGAGATAACGGTAAATAAGCAATATTAAAGAGTACATTAAGAGCATTTAGAAGTTCCAATTGACAAGTACAAGCAAAACCTGTAATTGTTAGTCCAAAAGATATTTTTCATTTTTAGATTTAGTTTTGGCAAAAAGTCTTCATCAGATAATGTTCTTGCTTACCATACCGTTATCCAAAGCTAGAAAAAAGATCTGATGAAGGCTGTTTGTGGAAATGTTATTTAAAAAATTAAAAGCTTTTCGGCCATCTGAGTTTTTTTTTTTTTTTCACTTTTAGGGTATATAACTATGAACTTTTTTGCTTGTAATTTTAAGATGTTACCAGTTGATTTTAATTTGTTCTATTCTTAGAATTGCCCAGTGACTTCAGTGTCATGTGGAGAGTTTCAGTGGACCTGTAAATCCAAAACAAAGTGCATCCCTGCATCATGGAGGTGTGACGGTTCCAAAGACTGTGAAGACGGCAGTGATGAGATGGAATGTGAGACAAATTTAATAAAAATTAAGCCTGAAAATGTAAGCCCAATCAAAGAATTCTGTACATAAGTCTGCCTTACATGTAATAAGAAAAAAATTATACCTAACAACCCGAGTAAAGTTTGTTTTTAATTGGGATATAATTGGGATTTATTATCCCCCAAAAATATATATTTTACAGGCAGCAACATAATAATACATAATGACATCAGTAATTCAGTTTATAGTTGCGGTTCATTTGGTTATTTACACCGAGCTTCTATGTATTTCCAGGTGATGTGCTGAAATGCCCCTCTCATCAGTTCCAGTGCCGGACATGGGGCTGTCTAGACCCTGATCTGTTCTGCAACAATGTTAGAGACTGTGTGGATGGTTCAGATGAAGGAGGGAGCTGTGGGGTCAAATGCACAGAAGAGGACCGCCGTGGCTGCTCCCAGACCTGCGTCAGCACACCACAGGGACCCGTGAGTACAAAGACTTGCAAAATGGTCAATTTACCATTTTGAATTCAAGTTATGATGGCACTTAATTTGGTGGTGATAATGAAAAGTACAGTTTTGGTTTGGTACTAATGTATTTTTATTTACATGCTAGTTGAGTTAAATGTTTGTTTACTTTACAGGTACCTGAACCAATTTAACAACTTGTATTCAATTTCAACTGAACAAGTATAGCAAATACAAAATACTAGGTGTGCATCCACTGGATTCACTATTACTATACCACAAATCCAGAAATAATTTGATCAGTAATTGAATATATACCGATGGATATTGTTTAAAATTTAGTATAACACACTGAATGCTCTTGTAGCGTTGCAGTTGTTCTGAAGGATACAGACTCCTGGAGGATGGAGTGACCTGTGAGGATGTGGATGAGTGTGAGGCCCGGACTCCTGTTTGCAGCCACATCTGCACTAATTTCCCCGGCTCCTTCACCTGTCACTGCCACCCAGGATATGTGATGGAGGCAAATAGGCAACACTGCAAGATCTCAGGTAAAATAAGCTGTAACATGTTTTTGTTTTGTGGAAATGGCAATAATATACAACAACTGTCCAACAACTGTACAACAACTCACCCATATGTAACAGATAACCCAATGTCCTGTCAAACATCATATCATCTTTGCACAGTTTTTCCTTACAACCTCTTGTATGTGGCTGATGTATTGTATTTATTATGTTACTATATTTCTATTTTTTGTACTTTATTTGTACATACACATTTATATAAGTATGCCTCATTTGACACCCGTCTGTTGCCATTTGATGTAGGGAGTATTATCTGTTACATAAGAGTGAGTTGTTGTACAGTTTCCATTTATGTTTTACTCTTTATTATATTATATTGTGATGTGTGAGCTGTGTGAACCAAATAATTTCCCTTGTGGATCAATAAAGTTTGTCAAAGTCTAATTTGATGTTCACTGTTCATTCCAGGTGAGCCACTGCTATTGTCATCTGTCTTGAGTGACCTGTTTGTGGTGGGGCTTCGTACTGGCAGTGTGGACGTGCTGGAGTCTTCTACCAAAAAGGCCATTCTTTCCGTGGACTATGACTGGAGAGAGCGCAGGGTCTACTGGGACAGCTTGGACTCTGACAGCATCAAGTGGTCTTCTCTGGACCACAAGGCCACTGGGACTCTCATCAAAGGTACCTAATAATGCACTTAAAGGTTCTATATTACACAACATTGACTCTTGTGAGCTTTAAGCCATGTTTATAATGCTGTTATCTCATCACAAACATACCTGGAGTTGTTTAGTTTCATTCACGTATGTTTGAGTAATCCTTTATTAGTCTGTCTAGATCACCAAAACTCAAAATGCTCCGTTCCACCTTGTTATCATGTTGTGGTAGTTTTCAAGTTAACAGCTCCTCTTTACTTTTTGTTCAGATTGTTCTGATTTGTTCAGATTGGCAATTCCAGGGCTAAAATAATCCAAATGATTCTAGTGAAGGTGTGCAGAGTTTAAAAATGACGTACTACCAGATGACATCACAAGGTAGAACAGAGTGTTTTCAGTCCGAAAGAAGAATTCAGCCTAAATATGCAGGATTTGTGTTAAAAGTGTGAATGAAACAAAACACAACTCCAGGTACATTATAACATACCAGTAGATCAGAAAATAATGTAATTTGCAACCTTTAATTTTGAAAGAACAAAGTCCACAATTTTTTTATTTTTTTTTTCTGAGGTGTTCGAGCTGATTCAGTGGCTGTGGACTGGCTCGGGAGGAACCTGTATTGGATTGATGGAGTAAAGAGTCAGATCTTTGCCATTCAGCTTCCATCAGCCACTGTGAAGAGTCCAGAATTCACAGTGATCCTGGACGAAGACCTGGACCAACCCAGATCTCTGGCTCTGCTCCCACAGAAAGGGTCTGTAGGATTTAAAGTGTCCAATACGTAACTTTCTGAAGGTTTATGTTATACTGTAGAACATTATAGCCCAAGGAACATTTCCATGAAAAACGAACAAGTGATGGTTGAAAAATTACATGCTGTGTATTTAAAGCTGCACTATGCAATAACATCTTCACAGAAAAAAAAAAGTTTTGAAATACCAAAGTTTACCAAAGTTTCATAGTGGCCCTTTAATTTAGACCATGGTTAGACCAGGTTTAACTGATTCCCTTGTCTTGGTTTAGACTTGATTCAGTACTGATTTACACTTACTCCTGGTTTAGAATTTTATACATTTTTTTGCCCTAGTAGCAGCATCTAAAAAACATTTCTGTCGGGATATGAAGTATGTATCACTCTCTAATTATTTATTTTAATATAAAATAAAAACTCACTTTGTTATTGGCGGGCCTATTCTATTGTGTTTTCTTTTTGACCAGGTTGATGTTCTGGACAGAGATTGGCTCCATGGTGAAGATCGAGCGTGCAGGGATGGACGGGTCAGAGAGGAGGGCTGTGGTGACCTCCAGTCTGGGGTGGCCTGTGGGAGTGGCCTTGGATTCAATCTCCAACAGAGTCTATTGGACCGACCAGCGCCTCCGGGCCATAGGGTCTGCCACGCTGGACGGGGACGACATCCAGGTGTGTGTGCGTGCGCGCATGCGTGTGTGGGAAAAATAAATAAAAATTTAGAAGATGGAAGGTTTTAGAAATAACCTACAGCATAACTGTTAAATGCATCATTTGTCAAGGGCATATTTTTACTCACTAACATGAAATGAAAACAACATGAAAAGAAGTAATTACTAATATTACATATATTTTTGTAGGTATATATATATATATATATATATATATACTCTGATATAAGTACATATTTTAGCCCTCTTTGATATTTTTATTTTATTATAAAAAAAAATAAAATAAATCAATACACGGAAGGAACGAGTGGAGGATAGAACAGTTTCCATTTTTCAATCCCAGGGCCCCAAACCAGATACGTCTGTACATGTCCCATGAAGCAATCCAACAAAATTGAACATTTTATAATGAAAAATGTTTTCGAGTTGACAAAAAATTTTTATGGATTTAGCTGACTAAATTTGCATTACTGTTTTGACGACTAACAATAAAAATACTTATTTTACTCAATCTTGGCTAAAAAATAATTTGGTCACCAGACTAAAACAAATTTGTTCAAATTAATACTGAATTTTAAATGTGCATTGTGTAAATTTTCTGGTGGAGGGTCCGTCAAATGCTTTTCTCCATGGAGATGTTACTGCTTTGTCTGGAATGTTTCACAGTATGACATTAAACTTTCCATCTACATGGAGACCAAACCAGACCAATTTACATGTCAGATCTGTGGAGATTTGACCCCGCTCAGTCAGAATGCCTGTTTTTCCTCTATTTTTGAGCAATAAAACCACCAGTAATTTAATAAATGTAAGGTAGAGCTGTTTAATGTCATATTGTGGAACATTCCAGGCATAGCAATGACATCTTCATAGAAACAAGCAGATGACTGACCCCTCCTCCAAACTAAAAGGTTACATAATGCACCTTGTTGTGCAATTTGTTGTGGTGGATGGTCAATTCCTTTTAAATGGACAAAATGTGGTGTTTCAAAGCTGATAAAAATAATGTAATGTGTTCATATTTAGATCCTACAGATGAAGGAGACCACAAACCCTTTCTCTTTAGCAGTCTTCAATGACATGCTGTACTGGTCTGAAACAAAGAGAAGAGTGGTGCAGGGAGCCAATAAAGTCACAGGCAAAAACAGACAAGTGCTTCTCAAGAGGCCCAGACAGCCTTTTGGAGTAAAGGTGAGTGAAATCAATCCTAACACCTGCCAAAATGAAATGGAAAAATGTTGCTTATAATTTGCGTTTTCCTCCAAATACTACTCTTATGTGATATGGTAACAGTATGCGATGAATACAAAAGTACAGAGACTAAACCTCGACAAATTAAAGGTGCACTGTAACTTTTCTGGTGCAGTGTACGCCATGGTAAATGGAAAATTGTAAATTTTTTATAGTGCTTTTCCATCTTCAATGCACTCAAAGCTCTTTACATCAAGGAGCCACTCGCCCATTCACACACACACACACTCTTACACCAATATACGCAGACACTAGGGGCGAAGTGGGTTAAAAGACTTGCCAAAGGACATGACCGCATTCACTTACGGGAGCTGAAATCGCACCGCCGACCTGTGGATCAGTGGACAAACGCTCTATCAACTGAGCTACTGTCGCCCTGGAGTACGCAGTCTTATTGTCTTCATGGAGATCTTTTGTTTGTTTTTGTGAATAAAGGTCCACACAGTATAGCATTAAACTTAGCTATTTCCATGGTAAATGTTCTCAATTTAAGTAATTTGAACTTGCCCAAAAATGAAAGTCTAAATGTCTCTTGCTAGGTAATGCACCCGCTGCTGCAGACCTCCACAGAAGAACCCTGTGAGGATAAAGGCTGCTCCCACCTGTGTGTGCTGGCCCCGGGCCCCAGAGCCGTGTGCAAGTGCCCCTCTGGCCTCCTGCTGTCTGAGGATGGACTCACCTGCTCCAGTTCAGTCAACACAGCCCTTCTCCTCATGCTGGCTCCTTCTACTGTCACTCAGGTCATTTTAGAAAGTGGTTTGTTTGTCTCAATAGAGATGTTCATTTTCATTTTAATTTCTTCACAGTATGGTATTAAACTAATCTGTTTTGCATTTATTCAACTACAGGTTATTTAATGCTCAAAAATATCTGAAAAACATCCATTCTTACAATGATTGGGGTTGCCTCTCTACAAATTTCTAACCTCTTATTTAGCTTGGAAGTCTCCATGGAGATTAAGTTTATGGCTATACTGTGGAACATTCTAGGCACATCTCCATGAAGACAAGCTGATGACAGACCCTCCAGACAAGTTATACAGTGAACCCTTTTAAATGTACAATGTTTTGTTTTTTTCCCCTAGATCTACCTACAGTCACGACACACCACAACGGGACTGAAGGACTGGCCTGAACACTCCGCTCTCCAACTCTCTGGCATCAACCAGGCAGCCATTTTGGATTACAGCTTCAAAGACAACACTTTATTCATAACAGACGACAGCACAACGTCACTGAGCTACCTCAAAGTCAAAGATGGAGCCCTGAGTTCCCCCCACCAGCTGCTTAGAATCCTGGACGACACCATCACTGCTATGGCGTTGGACTGGATCACTTTAAATGTCTATTGGAGTAGCAGTAAACAGCAGAGAATACATGTGACTTCTACTACAAATGCGTATATGGCTGTAGTTATCAAAGACGGCATTGGGAGAGTGGACTCCATCGCGTTGCATCCTCAGAGCGGGTGCATTTGTTTTGCTAATCTGGTCGTGCAGGGCGGTGACTCTGAGGCCACCGTAGAATGTTCAGACATGGATGGAGGAGAGAGGAGAGTGGTGTGGAAAGATGCAATGACCCCAACCTCACTAGTCTTTACCAGCGATGGGAAATCGATCTACTGGGCAGATACTAGTGAGTAATGTTGGGCAACAGAGTGAACAAATCTGTAGTTTTGGTCAGGATTCTGATAATACTTTAATTCTTTTGCATTTGGAGATACACCACCTGCTTTTGTCATGATATGCCTTTGCTTGGGATTTTCCACAGTATGCCATTAAACGTAGTGTTTTTATTGAACAAAAATGCCTTGAAAAACAGGCTTTCTTATTATAAGCAAAGTCACCTCACCAAAGATCAGTTTTTATCTATTTCTATCAATCAGTCCCACTTTATTTGTTCTCGAGGGGCAATTTAAGCACATTCAGCAGTAACATAAAAGAAAGGAAAGCTCAAATGGGTCATCAGATCCAGTGTTGGCACAGTTTGAGGAGAGTAGTAGCCATCAGGACCAAAGTCTCCCTCTGTGTCCTGCAGCATAATGGCAGCTTCCAGGGGGAGGTAAACTCTAGAGACATAGAAAAGCCTCTTTAAGCCTTTGTCTTACTCCACACTGTTGTTTCAGGTGATGTTGAGACTGGTGTTTCCTCTGGACAGCTGCCATTTTTGGTGTAGAAAGCCTGTTGCATTGGTGTAGAAAGTAGCATTTCAGACCAAACCTGCCCTGATAGTCTCCATATCGATCGTTTAATGCCATACTGTGGAACACTGGTGTACAATTTGCCATAAAAGGCCACATTTTAGTAATTTAATTGCCTGCTTTTAAAAGTTCACTTTTTACTTAAGCCACTTTGAGCCTGACTGAGGTTGATCAATAGGAGAGGATGGGGAAAAGTATATGGCATGAGCGTGGTGACACAAACACTGTCTGCTTCAAAATAATCAGTTCTTTTGATTTTACTGGTATTATGTTGTTTATAGTTTAATGTTACCAGCTCAACACTAGTCACTCTGGCAAAACTCTAAACCAGTGCAGTGAATGTCTAAATATCCGTGTCTAGACTCTAAATAATCGCTGTTTCCATGCACAGGTTTGGGAACAATCAGCACTGTGCAGTTGGATGAGGTCACTTACACAGAGTGGAAAGTGGGTGATGGTTTGTCAGCTGTGACTTTGTATGACGATGTGCCACTATGGATGACCACTGGAGGTAATACAGAAGGTTATTTGTTATTAACTTAGCATTTAACTATTTTTTATAATTTTTTATTTTTTTTTGTATTAATTATTCTTCAGATAAGACCAGAGTTTGGTTCCAAGATGAGCAACAGCAAAACAAGATGTGGTTTGAAGTGGGTACGAAAGTGGTCAGTTTGAAGGTGTTCAGCAGAGCCAGCCACAAAGGTGGTAATTCTTAATTAAATGGCTATTAAACATATGTTGCCTTTTCTCTTAATTTTCCTTTCTATGTTGTTTTTCAAGTTGATTTTATTTTGGTGCTTCAAATTCCAGTATAGAATAAGTGAGACTTGGTATACAGAATAACAAACATTTGAGGGAGGATTGAGTAAAGCCATGTTTTTTATTCATTTTATTATGGGTTAATAACTGTTCTGTATTTTGTTTAAAGAGGTATAACATTTTTTTCAACCATTATAACGTTCAAGAAACATCCCTGAAGTGATTTTAGATGTCGTTCATGCATGTTTCAGTAATTTAGCCATCTAGCCCTATTTGAATCCTCCTTATGGTTAGCTGCAAGTTTCTGTGCAATGCTCAAACCGCAAGCCTACGTCACCCATACTTCAGCAGTTCTCCCGTAAATATACCAAACCATGATACAAAGCTGTACACAACAACTTGACATACCTGAAACTACTTGCAGTAGTTTATTTAGGGGATGCACGCTGATTGTGTTGTAATGGCAATCTGAAAGTGGAGTTGAGAAAGCAAATGGAGGGTAGACTCAGCATCAGAAACGAAAGTGAAACTTCTAATCTAAAGCATAGAAAACCTTGTCTACAAATATAGAATATATAATCTGTTAACAGTTAGTACGCCACTGAAGCAAATTACCCCCTCTTTAATATTTCTGTTAGGGCAAATTGCTTTGTACTTGAGCAGTATTTAAAGGTGCATTCATTGTGTAACTTTTCTGCTGGAGGTTCCGTCAAATTCTTTTCTCCATGGAGATGTAAATGGTTTGTCTGGAATGTTTCACAGTATGGCATTACATCGTTTAATCTTTATGGAGACCAAACCAGACCAACAGGTCAGATCTGTGGAGGGGTGACCCCACTCAGTCAGAATGTCTGTTTTTCTAGGTATTTTTGACCTATAAACCACCTGTAATTGAATAAATGGAAGATGGAGCTGTTTAATGTCACACTGTGGAACATTTACTTTATTACATGTGCATATTGTCTTGCTGTAGTTTTGTATTGCAGATAACACTGCCTTGCCTTCTTTCCAGGTTCAAACCAGTGCTCTGTGGACAATGGGGGCTGCTCTCAACTGTGCCTGCCCACTGCGGAGGGGCAGTCCTGCAGGTGCACCCATGACCACGCCCCCCTGAACTCCACCCACTGTCTTCCACGGCAACACTGTCCCACAGGAAGCAGGCTCTGTTTGGACCAGCTCTCCTGTCAGCCCATAGACAAGTTCTGCAACGGACACGTGGACTGCCCTGACCGCTCTGACGAAAACTGTAGGTCTTTACACAGACTAAATATACAATTTAGTTATTTACATTTGCTCACAGGTCTATGGCAAAAGGCGTTGGCTGTAATTGTTACTTCTCTTATCATGATTGATTACTGTACTAAATTGGGTGTATACTGAGAAGAACATAACATTAAACAAACCAAAATGTTTGAAGATGTACAGTGGGTTCAACTAGAAAGGCAATTCAGAACAGTCCTTTAATTTTTATTTTTTTCATGCCAGAGGTTCAAATTCAGTGCACTTGTATATGTTGCAATTTTAAATGAATGGGTATTACATTTATTGCGTACAATGTTTTTGTCCACTGGCCTTCATCATTGTGGACCCAAGTACTAACAATTCCCACTTTTGTAATTTTAGATTTTCTTTCAAATATACTAAACTATTTGATAATAAAATACACACTCTAAACATCATAGGCTTACAGAATGTTGTACATTGTGTAACATTTCTGGTGGAGGGGCATCAAATGCTTTTTGCCATGGAGATGTTGGAATGTTTCTCAGCATGGTATTAAGCCCCTTTTCTTGATGGAGAACAAACCAGATCAAGTCAAGGCTACCCCGCTCAGTCTGTGTCTGTTTTTCTAGTTATGTCTGAGCTGTAAAACCACCTGTGATTGAAATAAATGTAATGTAAAGCTGTTAAATGTCATACTGTGGAACATTCAAGTCAAAGCAATGACCTATCCATAGAAACGAGCAGGTGACAGGCCTCCAACCAAAATGTTACACAGTGCACCTTTAACTCTTTACCATGTCCTATTTAGGCCTCCCTGTAAATGAGAAGTCATCAGATATGGTTCCTGGCCCCACGCACCTCCAGAAATCTCCCCCATCTATGCCATCATTCCCCGATTTGCCCAAAAACAAGAGCTCCTCCCTGAACATCAGCGACGGACTTTGGACTCTGGACCTCGAGCAGTGCAGTTCCACCCGCTGCAGCGGTAGGGGGCGCTGTCTGGTGATCAATGGGGAAATGCAATGCGTCTGTTCTCTGCTGTACAGCGGTGAATCCTGTGAGGAGAACCTGCTGAAGAGCCTACAGGAGCCTCTGGTCTACGGGGCTGTGGGGCTGATCACACTTGTAGCGATCATTGTAGCATTGGTGTTTTTTAGGAGGAAAAGGAATGCTGAAACCAGGTGAGATCAACAGAGAAAAAGGTCACTATTGGTGGTTTTCCGATTGAGAACATTATACTTTCATGAATATCCAAAAGGTAAATTCCCAAATGCTGGACCTGATCATTTCTATTAGTGGCTAGAACCAAGAACTCACTGTGACCACTAAAATTTGCAGTTTAACATTATAAAATAGCTGCTCCCCCAGATGTATAACATTATTGGTCTAAAGAATGATGTGATGCCATCAGAATCCACAGCAGTTCTTCACATGGTTAGTGAATATTATAAATGATTATATATTATTTCTTAGTGACGTCCAGTCAAACTTTATTTCTGTAGCATCTAAAAATGCTGAACAGGCTGTAGTAGAATAGTTAACAAAATGTTTCTTCTTGTAATTTTATTTATTTGAGCCAGGTACACCAAGATTCAAAAACAATAACAAATTTAGTGATATGTACATGATATATTTGGGACCTGGTGCTCAAAAGGAGTAGGATGAAGTTTCAAAAACTTACGGATTTAATTAGAATTAAATTTGCAATTTGCAATGTTAACAGCACTTGATTTCATGAAAAAAAAAAAAAAAAAAAGATAGCAAATGTATAAAGATGTTGTAAACTGTGCGGTCATTTAAAAATTGATTTGCTTGAAAGGTAAGTGGTTAATTAGATCTGTAATATTTGTAAACGTTTTAATGACATTTTGGGCCATTTAATCATTTTAGGACTTTGAATTACTGTTCATTGGCATTATTTAAAATCTACAAGCAATAAATATCTATGTAGTCTGAATAACTTTGAACTAGCATCCCTATGAGCACTTCCTAAACACTTCCTGTCCCTAAACTAAAGTGTTACCATAAAATAATGATTAGCAAATCGTTTATAATCTTGATATAAAACTATTGTACAAAATGCCAATAAAATCGTGAGTCTTAAAGGTGCACTGACAATTTTCTGGAGGAGGGTCCACCACCTGCTTGTCTCCATGGAAGTGCTGTTCCTTTGTCTAGAATGTTCCACATGAATGAATAAATACTATATGGATATGTTTAATGTCATACCATGGAACATTCTAGGCAAAGCAATTACACCTCTATGGAGACAAGCAGGTAGCAGACTCTCCACCAGAAAAGTTACACAATGCACTATGGGTGGCAAGCATCAGCAGCTGTCAAATGATAAATCACGTGTAAAAATACATTTGTCTGTTGCAGTAGTGCAGATCCCCCGGTCGTAAAGGAAACAAGCTTGACAGAGATCGAGACCAAAGCCGAGCCCAGCCCCTCCACACAGACCTCCCCAACCGAACCGGACAAACCTGAGGTGAATAAAGTTGCAACCATAAATCAAATATGGCCGCGCTTCAATTCTGGTTCCTCGCTTCCTTCTCCTTGATTCCTCTCCTCAATCCTCCATTTTTCAGCTGTCAATCAAATGTCATATTAAGCAGTGTCCCAAAGAAAACCACAGAAGGAAGGAGGAAACGCAAGGGAGACTTCAGGAGCAATCATCAGATAAAAGAATCTAACTTTTATTGGTTTCAGTGAGGAGTTCATATCTCCTCGCCGTGTCTCCTCTGTGGGCAGGGCTTCCTCAACCATTTACTGCAGAATCGAGGAGACGAATCAAGGAGAAGGAAGCGGGGAAAGAGGAATGAGACACGGCCTTTGTACATGTCTGGAGGGGGTGTAACATGTGCATTTTCTCTTCCAGGAAGTGGTGACTCCTGTAAATTGACAGTGAATTGAGGGGTGGCTAATTTTAAATAAACAGTTTAAGAGTTTTTGCTGAGTGTCATTGTTGCGTTTTTGTCTTGATGGTATAAGAATAGTTTACATCCCAATGGAAATAATGTATGTGTGGTTTCCAGCTTTACATTGATGGGAAATGGGAGATCTGCCAAGTCACAAGCAGTGCTAATAAGTTTAAAGCTGCACTATGTAATTTTTTGGTTGCTTGTTTCTAGGGATTTTCTTCGGCTGTAATGCTCCACAGTATGACATTAAACAGCTCTACCTCACATTTAATCACAATTCCTCAAAAAATACCTAGAAAAACAGACATTCTCCACAGATCTGACCTGTAACTTGGTCTGTGAAAATGGAGAGGTTTAGTGCCATACTGTGAAACATTCCAGACAAAGCAACATCTCAATGGAGAAAAGCGTTTGACATCCTCAACCAGAAAAATTACACAATGCACCTTTCAGCTTGGGATAAATTTGGTAGCCCGACCCATTAGAAGTACTTTTCTGTAACTGAAATAACTCTATTCTGCAAAGTGTATACAATAATTCTGAGGAATGAACAAAACTATTCAACTATTTAAGTTTTGTAAATTTTTATAACACTGCAAAAAAGATCCTTAAAATGCTCATTCAGACAGCAGATAGAAAAAAATGGTCTCTTATAAAGTTTTCTGTGTGTATGGTTATAACTACTTGAATGGGCATGATCTTTAAAAATCCAGAATCAAAACTGGTCTTAAAATATCTGTGACCTTTTTGCAGATGAGTAAGTTTTATGTTTAAGTTGGTAGTGATTTTGAAAGTACAAATTGTAAATATGACATGCTTGGTCTTCATTGAGGATGTCTATTGGGCTACTAATGAAAACATGGCAATCATGTCCTGCTTGAAACTAGCTGGTGTCCTTTCTGCTCCTGGCACCACATACTAGTGTCAAAGACTCATTGTTTTTGAGATTATGGCATATTTGCACCATTGTAAGACATTTTATGGAGTATTTTAACATTTTGGATGAACTGAAAGGGCATATTTTGCTGCATCTTTTTTTTCATTGACACAAACTGCGTGTTTTGGAAAATTTCTTTTCTCAAACAGAAAACTCCCTGTTCCACCTTGTGATGCCACTTGGTATTAGAGGAAGTGTTCCATTGTGTTATATACACCCTTCACTAGAATAATTTGGATGATTTCAGATCAGAATTGCTAAACAAATCTGCTGAACAAAAGGTAAAAAAGCAGTTAACTTGAAAACCGTTTCATGACATCAGAAGGTGGAAGAGAGCATTTTGAGCTTTGGAGATGTACTAATAAAGAGTTACTCAAGTATGTGTGAATGAAACAAAACACAACTCCTGTTACGTTTTGGATGAGGTAACAACATTCCAACATGGCTAAAAACTCATAATAGTCAATTAGCTGTAATATAGGACCTTTTAATTTTGCCAAGATGGTGTTTTCACACTTTTTTTTCTTCAGACATTAGATTCATAGTTGCCGTCAAGTTTTGTGGGCAAAGTCGAGCATACCAAAGCAAGCTTGTCTTTTGAATTGCATGTCTTGAGGTTAAATGAGTTGTATTTAAAGCCCGGACAGATGCTTCCTATTGTTCATCCCCAAAGCCACAATAAGCATGTTTACTCTGTTTGAATAGGCCCTCTTGTCTTTTTCTATTACCCGCTGACAATTTTTAGCATAGTCTAATTTCAGAGTGTCTCAACCGTCCAAATGATACGGCTTTGTTAGAGAATGAGTTACTACCGTTTTTGTGCCCACACATCACATTGGCCTGTATATAAAGCCAAGCAAAACAGAAAGTTGGATTCATGTTGGGAGTTCGTCAGGTCGTGAAAGAACTTGGGTAAGTTGGTTAAAACTTAATTCTTGAATATTTGTCAACATGTACCAAGGTAAAGCTGTTTTTTTGCAGTATTAAAGATGGGTGCCAAAACGGTGAGACTTCTTTGGATGGTGATTGGCGTCCTGTTCCTGCTGACTGTTGTAACCTCTAAACCAGTAAGTTCAGGTTTAATATACTTCGACTGATTTCAACTGAAGTACTATTAGCTGTGATATATTGAGGTCAGTTCAGTTTATGTGCCATTTGTGGTATAAAATAGTGCACAGCATTCATACACCCATTTAAACCAATAAATTAAAACATTAAAAACACAAACCGCACAATATGAACAAAAGTAAGACGCCATTAAAACGTAATTTAGTCAAAACTAAAATAAATGCATGAATAAATAAATATAAAGTACCTACAGCAGTCTTAGTCCACTGAAGACACAAGCACAAGGGTTTTAATTTGTATCTGGCAACCCAAAGTACCTCATCGTGCTCTATGGTTGGACATTGGATTCAAGCAGTAAACTTGGCATTACCCTATATTATAAACAAAACAATAAATGTATATTGTCATTTTTTGCACTTTCCTATTACTTTTTTAAATATATTTTGCTTTGTTTTATCGATTATGCAAAATAATTTGGCATGAAAAATTAGTTTCCTATTTCCATACATGTCTTTCATAATTCCTTGGGCACTTGACACCCAAACTTTTACAAATAAAATTTGACATGCCTGTGATCTGCAACTGGAATTTTATTTATAATGCACTTTAAAAAAAATCTAAAAGAATCTAATCCAATAAAAACCGTCTAATAAAATGTCAGCATCTCAAACTGTGTCGAAGGCCAAAGTGAATAAGAGCCTTTTTAAGAAAAGATTTAAAGAGATTTGCAGAGGGAGATGAACTAGAGGGTAGCTGGTTCAAACCTTTTGTATATTGCTGAGATATTTTCATTTACTTATTTCTATTTTTATTTTATTTTAACTTGTATACATTTATATAATTATGCCTTATTTGACACCAGTCTCTTGCTATTTTTGCTACTTAATTAGAATTTATTGTCGCCATTTATATTTTTTCTCTTTGTCATTATAATGTATGGTTCAAATAATTTCCCTTGTGGATCAATAAAGTTTGTCTTATGCCCTTTATTTAAGGTTTAGGTTTATTTCTCCATTTTCAGATGTCATTAAACACAGCAGCAGATGAGTCTGATTCTGCTGAAGAATCAGACTCTGAAGAATCTGCAGTTCAAGAGGTGGAAGAAGCTGAAGAGGTAGAAGAACCAGAGATTCCAGAGGCTGCTGTGACTGAACCCACTGCCACAGAGGCCCCAATTATGGTGGAACCAACCCCCCCGCCAGCCACCGCCGCCTTGCCCGCTGCCGTAGACTCAACTGCTTTACCCTCTGCTGCTCTGGACCTTCAAACCGTGTTGCCTTCTGATGCTCTGGACCTTCAAACCGTGTTGCCTTCTGATGCTCTGGACCTTCAAACCGTGTTGCCTTCTGATGCTCTGGACCTTCAAACCGTGTTGCCTTCTGATGCTCTGGACCCTCAGACCTCCACAGATGGAATGCAGATGCTCCCTAAACAACCATCACAAACCCCTCTTGGCGTTGATGTTTCACAAGGCGTCCCTGAACCTGACCCTGCCCTCAGTGAGCCCAGTGTTCCGGACCAGCTTTCTACAAACAATGCTATGGAAGTTGCTACAGATTTGACACCACAAGCCAACAATGTGCAACAAGAGGTTCTCCCAACGCTGTCTACTCACAATGCTAAGAAGGCTTCTCGTATGGCTGTGGTTAAACCCGTGCCTGTGTATGTCAATTCTGGGGTTCCAGTTTGCTTTACGTTTCAGTATCCGCAGTATGCAGTGCCACACTACAACCTACCAAGAGGAGACAATTATTAAATGTAATTCTTTTGTTTTTTTACTGTCATGCTTTATGAATTTGTATACTTTCAACTTGACATTGTTGGGCTTATGTGTATGGCTTATTATTAGTTCTGTAGGCGAGGGGAGTTGATCAATAAAGGTGTGTCCATGCTCTGAACAGGCTTAGTTTGGCCACAGTAGTTGTAACTAAAATGGAATAGACTTAAAAAGTATAGATCAGCTGTTGAACCTCACTCTTTGTTGTATCATTTTTGCACATTCATTTTGACTGTTTGCATGCGCTTTGATTAAAATATGCGTAATGTAGTATGTCATTTTTGCATCTGAGTAGATTTAAAAGACAACTTTCTGCACTAGCTGTGGATAGGCTATGCAAAAATATTTTCCTACCTGATCTTATTAAATCTGCTTGATTTAAGTGTCAGGGCTTTTTCAAGCATATAGATACTGTGTTACTGTTTTGAAAATGTTAGTTTGTGTGTCTGAAATGAACTGAAGTCCCATTATTTCATTGTCATTTGTGCCCCTTTTCTTTGATGAAAGAAAAAATGCATTAAACAATCAAATCTAATTTTGTGCGGGTATGTGTTGCCAAATAAGACAAATTGAACTGATAAAACAATCTCTGTATGGAAAAGAAAAAATAAAGTACAGTTCCAAGACTGCAGCGAGACGAATCACTTATTACTCTTATTAATCAGTTAATCCATAATAATTACATGTAAATGACTAATAAAATGATCACTGATAAGCAGTGATAATGGTATTGGATTAATGGTAAACTGATTAATACCTTACAAACTAATTAACAACTGATAAACCGATCATCCGAACAATTAACAAATTAACTACTTGATAATTAACCCATTAAAAATATCAAACAAATCAACCCTTACTCCTCCAGGCCTCCATCATTTAAAAAAAAAAAAAGTTAAAGCTGCAGCCAGGGTAATCATGGGAGGAGTAAACTCACCATATGGCTTACAGCTAAAGTAAACAAGAAAAACAAAGATAAGATAACCATAGCCCATAATAGTCTATACATAGGCTCACTTATGCAGTAATAAAGATTAGATAACGGTCTTACTGCATAAAATAGCTCGGGTAGTGCAAGTGCACACAGAATTATGAGAATTATGTGGCTTGTTTTCAGTGACAAATCCTCCAGCACTGCACTAAAGGTCGCAAAGGCACAGCTGAAGAATAATAATATATATTAACAATAATATTCAATAAATGAATAAAAACTGATTAACACACATATAATTGCATTTTCAGTTAAACGGAAAAAAATGAAATGTGACCTAACCCTAAACAATATGCATTTCCAAAATTGCACACTGGGGGAAAAAAAAAATAATAATAATAATAATAATAATAATAATAATAATAATAAAATTAAAATTAAAATTAAAATTAAAATTAAAATTAAAATTAAAATTAAAATTAAAATTGATGGTTTCGCGGTTCGAAACTTTCAATCCCCTCCCACACCAGAAAACTTACGTAGTGCAAAGGTATTTGGTTAAGGTGTGCCAAGGTGAATACTGTGAGCTATACTTTCACCTAATGTGAATGTTTTGGTTAATGGTTATTGCTGAATGATAAAAATTAGGCCTCAGTGATGAAGAGCAGCTAGTGCGCACAAGGACGTGCAAAAGCAAAGAAAACGCACTCCACACAGCCAGGCCTTTGAGTTGGCAGACGGCGCCCTCTTCTGGACAGAATATCGCTGTGCCTCTAGAACTTTATTTAGCTGCAGAAATATTTTTCACATACTTGTGCAGTATTATAAACCAGGACAGGCCTGAATTAGGACTATTTCAGGTCTAAACTAACTAGTGCAAAGAGTCAACAATAAAGCCTGGACGTGGCCTACTTATATTATTTTTTTTATTTTTATTTTTATGCAGTCTATGAGCGGAATAGAAGTTGCTGAGAGTGAATTATAATTGTACAGATTTGAGTATGTGTTTAAATGACACATGCATTTATGTTGGTCGACACGTTTATTTTATTTCATGTTCGCATTAATTACTGGCAGATCAAAGAAGGTCAAACTTTCACACTCTACTGAGCCAAAGAAATCAACGTCACTTTCTTCTTCGCGCTTGCTAGTTTGACCACCTGCGGCCACTGTAGGCTACGTCAGACGAAAACACATGAAAGCTAATTGGGCTAGCACACTAGCCTCTAATCCGCCCTAGTAACAATCAAAATGGCTTTTACACTTTATTCTCTGATCCAGGCTGCGATTTTGTGCGTAAACGCCGTTGCTGTTCTACACGAAGAAAGATTTTTAAGTAAAAGTAAGACATTTTTACTGTGAAAGTGATTTGTATCCCATATAACCTAATGAAGGTAGTTCGCTAATGGCTAGTTTGACTACTTGGGTGATCGTTATTATTCAGATTGAAATGTTATGCCTGTTAATTGGTCAGTTTAACAAAATGCATGCAATTTTATTTTTATTTTTATATGATTGGATACAGATTGTAGAATGGTTAATTACTTGTTGATATGCTTGACCCGTACAATGAGTGAATTGGTGAGACTGTTGATTATAACAAAGCTTGTGTTGCTTTACAGTTGGCTGGGGGGCGGATCAGGGGGTCGGGGGCTTTGGGGATGAACCAGGAATCAAAACACAGATGATGAACCTGGTCCGCTCTGTCAGAACTGTCATGAGAGGTGAGTGGTTATGGCAAAAGATAAGAATCATTTATCCCATAATGGAAAAGTACATGTTATGACAGTGATTAAATATATAGGGCTGTGCAATTAATAAGACTTTAATCATTTTCTAATCCTTAGTAACAGTTTAGGTCTACAGCCAATACTATGTCAGTTAAAGTATGTGGTTAAATTATTAAAAAGTGTTTATTATTTCTCCATACTGTGTTTTGCTAGATTATTGGATATCTAAAGTCTTAGTGTCACCTATTGGAGCAGTTAGGTTTTTGAAAAACCTCTTCTTAAATCCCCAAATGTAGGAAATTACACCTATTTCAAACAAAAAAATTCTTGGGGCAGGACCCCCAAACCTCCTACATCTTTATAGCTTACCTGTATGATACATCTTTAGTGACAGTGTCCCATATTTTCTACTATAACACTAGACTCAGAAGTACCATTCAAATAAGAAGAATGAATCATTAACAGTTAATTACTTGCATATTTATAAGTCAGTGTAATTGGGTTTAGAATTCTCTGTCTAATTTGATACACAGATATTTCGGGTGAACTACATAACTAAATATAGTGTCTTTACGTTTGCCATAATTGTGGACTTATGGACAGGTATAGCCTTAGACTATATCTTTTTGTACATGCTGTGATTACATAGCTAAAAATGATCACAAGCTAAAGTGTGTGGGAACCCTGTACTTTAAATAAAACTAAAATACTAAATTGGGTAGAATAATGATATACAGTCTATAAGTAAAATTACAAGGGTAGAATTCTGTACAATAAGTGTCTATGATGAAGTACAGCACAGTGCAAGAAGATATTAACACATGCCTCTTTATTTCTACAGAAATTCTGTCTTGATTTGTTCTGTTGTTTGTTTAACTAACATTGCATTTCCTTTTCAGTGCCGTTGATCGGCGTGAACTCTGTCTGTATCGTGCTTTTACTTCTGTTTGGATGAAGGAGTGATCAGTGAAGAGCAGACTGATATCTTTGACCACTGGGGAATAGGCCTGCAACAAACTTTGTTATACATGACAATGAATGTTTTGAATAATAATTTAAATACAAATATTAAATGCAAAAATAAATGCTTTTGATAAACCTTTTCTCATTTGCATCTGTAAATAATGGACATTTGTGAATTACTGACTATCACTATTTGTAGTAAGCTAGGCTGGGGTCTCATTTCTAAAACTTTACATGTAACTGTCATACATGTACAGAGTATGTAATAGACAAAACATCAACTTCTTCAAACTCATTTCTCCTCTGTGAACCCAGAACACCTGTGCCCCTGAAAGCGCCCCAAACACAAGGTTCTGAGTTTTTGGATGAGGCTGTGCATTTCTTTGTCTTTTTGTAGATCACCAACTTAAAATAGAAAACACACTTTGATATTCTTTGGGTATTCAGGAAAATTCTATCACGCACAAACTCCATTATGTATTAGGCAAACAAATTTCACTGCCATTAAGAAACCCAAAATTTCTTTATTTTCACAACTAGTTCTGCCATAGATTGATTTGATTTTGACATACCATTTACAATGCCAGAAGTGATGAAGTGATGAACAACTAAACTAGAGCTCAAATAAAGTCTTTATTACAGTCTATCGCACATAGTTCTTGGGGAACAATTTGAAGAGTTTTCCATCTTGCGTTGGTTCAAATCCATATTTCTCCAACTGCTCTTTGTTGAAAGTTCCTGATTCAAAGTCTTTCTTGATTTGAGGGGCCACAGCTTCATCGAACAGGCTCTGTGCTGTGAGGGGCGGCTCCGTTCCCCTCGGGGCGCGGTAAGATACATATGGTCGTAGTTTAAATTCTTCCAAATTTGGGACCACAAACTCGGGAATCATCTGCCGTATGGACAAGAACTTTTTGCTGGAAAGATTTCGTCCAGTGGGTCTAGATCCTCGACCTTTGTTGTGAGTCCTTGAACCACGTTTGCTGGTGAACTCTGACATCCGGTCTGCTCCTCGTATTATTCCACGCATCAAAGTGGATAAGACGCCCATCGTTACTCAAGAGAGGGCACCTGGAAAAATAAAATAGTGTTAGTATTGCAAATAGAAAGTGAAGGCTTTTTAGGATTAATCTAGTTGAAATGTGTAAAAAGTAAGTAACCATTATAAAATCTACAAGAAACTATGTGCATCTGGTAGTAGTGCTTTAGATGCATAAGAGCAGCATCACAATTACATCCAAAGGTAATCTGCATTCTCTAATGGAATTATCATAGAATAAAGCTATTGTGGAAATTGTCCATAATAGCTTTAGCAAATAATATAAAGGTTATACTATTTTATAACCTACAGAATTAGACCTAAACCTTTTTCACCTTTTTTCTCTGCTGGCTCACATAAAGAGCTTAAAAATGTTGTCAACAATCAATGAATTAGAACATTTCATTAATTGAACTAACTGCAATCATGTGCAGAATAAGGAAAATCGAACTTTAGATATGTTTATTACCAATGGTGCACTAACCTTGGAAGGCCAGTCATTTGGAGATGTTATTGCTTTGCATGAAATGTTCCTTTGTATGCCTTTATAAGTCAAGTTGCAGGTTATATCTGTGTTAAGGCGAACCTGCTCATAGTAAGAATGTCGTTTCTTTAGATTAATGCCATACTGTGGCACATTCTAGGCGAAGTAATAACATGTAGGTGACGTATCCTCCACCAGACGTGTTACACAACAGTGCACGTTTAATGGTGATTGTTTTAAAATGGATAAAACAGGTATATCTTCCAAAATGCAATATCTTCATCAGGTCTTCTGCAGCACAATGATCCTAACATGATGTTTATGTGCCCAAGTTTAGCGCTCTCTGACGGCTGCCACATGTGTTAGTTAACCATCACAATATAATATGCAGCATTCACGTACGTGTTTAGTCCATAATTTAGTCTTTTGGATCATCAACAACATCGCATAACTAGTAGCATCCCTACAACAACTTTGTTATTAACCATTTGAGGCTAAATTTTCTATAAAAAGACTTGTCTCACCTTGAACGGTTCCTGGTGTTGGTAATGTGATGGGCTCCCCAAAATCGGAGCTGATAATTGGTCGGAAGGAATCACAGTTCACCAATAAAATTCTGAGATACTCACAAAGCCCCGCCCCTGCACCGTGCCCTGCATGTGTAAAGAATCGGAGTTAGAGGAATTTAAGTGAGTTTTTCTTCAAAATAAAACTAATATTATTAAAACATTCTAGGAAAACCTGTATTATTCTCATGGTAGAGAGGCATATAATATCCAAAAATATAAAATAAAGGATCACATCAATGCTAAATTATAGTAATTCATAAACAGATTGATAAAATTCACAAAATAATTACTTATCTGTGTGCATTTTGTAAACATTACTTTTATTTTGATAGCGCAAATGTTATCGATTGCCTAGTTGTTTCCGTGGGCTTTACGCTACTACGCGGCATGTATACACAAAAAGTTTGACAAATAAAGGTACGTGATCAGTGTTTTTGCTTATTTGTCTACGGAAAAACATGCCTTATTTAGTCGTTTTTGATTTCCCTCATGATTTGTGGCTGCTGTTAAGCTAAACGATTGCCTTTTGTCGCATTTAGTTGCATGTTGACAGTGTATATCGGAATGAAAGGGGAGACTTCGGGGTGCTGCGTAAGGTCAGACTCACCCATCGCTGATTTATTTTGGTGCACCTACAACTTTTGCATGAAATTTAGCATTGGATAAAAAAACAACATGTGTGAGTTTGATTTTAATGTTTTTATTACGTTTAGATGAAAGAAAGACGCCTGGTTTGTTTACAAAAAGAGGCCAGACCATGTTTGACCTACTCTATAACATGTAATCTATTAAGGGCAAGTAAAGAGTAAAAGTACTGACTATTTAATACCTCATTTATATATCACCCAGACAGCTTTGCACATTGGTTATTTATGGTTGTAGACTGAAGAATTTGGGTCTAAATTGCCCCCAGTAAAATGTCATTCGTAGGATTTGTGCTTTTGTATCAAATTGACCATGTTACTACCATGTGTACTACCTGAGTACTATTTAAAGGTTATATACATTTATGCAGTACATTTTCGAGAGGAACTAGATTTGAAATTTGAAAGACACTCAACCAGTTACAAATTTCATCCACCATCACGTCTGATTGATGCATAGATAGATAAATGGTTTGTTTATACCGAAGGAAATTAAGTTTTCAGCAGCAACAGTAATAATAATAATAATAATAATGATAATAATAATAATAATAATAATAATAATAATAATAATAATAATAATACAACCATTATACAGTAGTAATAGGGTTATTTATTTATTTCAGAAACAGTAATTTAATGCATTCAACTAAATGTACATCCTGTTTTTACCAGATGAGTTATGTGGTTTTTTAAATTATTTGTGTCAACTTCCAGTTAATGACAGTCAGCAATAAATCACAACTCACAAGACAATCTAATCACATGTTATCACAAGCTGTAAAGATACAGCACACTATATAATCCATAGGTGTAGAAAGATGAAAAATTAGGACCATTGCTCTAATAATATAACAATTAAAAATCAAATATTATATTTTTTTGAATGGTAAAAAGTATTGTCTGAAAAAATGTATCTGTATAGCACATTTAAAACAGCCAAAGCTTACCAAAGTGCTGAATAACATTTACAGTGGAATAAAATATACAATAAGCAAAACAGAATTATAATAATAAAAATAATACTAATAACATCAAGGTGCAATTTTACATATATCATAAAATTGCTCTTATTTCTGCTCTTTTTAATTCATCATTTCATATGTTTAATTTATGAAATTAGTAACTTATGATACTAATAAAAGAAGCCAAACAGAAGCCTAACAGCCCTGCCTATATGATAAAACCTCTTTTCATATACCATATCTTGTAGCCTATTTACAGTCAGTCTAGATAAATTCTTCTTTATCAATTAGAATAATTGTCAAAAATAATCAGATTAGTCATAGCAGCTCAACTGTAGTGTTTACGAGTAGTTATACAGGGCTTTACTAAGAGTCTATTGCTGGAGAGAGTCATGCTGTAGTGTCTGGTTACGACTATTGACCCCTTTTTTTCTTCTTGATCTTTGTCCCAGATTTTTCTTTCAGTTGTTCAGTGATTGTGTCTGATCTGATTAAACGATGGCAGACACTATAGAATTTATAATGAGATTAACCTAAACAATAATTTTAATTGTAGACTGAATAAAACAGATCCTAAGTTATTGTGTTTTTGAGCACAAATAGTGGATAAAACAATATATTTAGCTTGTGTTAGAATTCAAATAATATAATAACAGTGCTATAACTGTGTTTTTAGGTATGGACGACAGTGAAGATGAGGGGCTCAGCTGCATATATCCGGTAAATTATTTTGTCTTTTATTTTGTTTACAGTAACATAACTGGTAAATTTAATCTAAATCACAATTTCAAAAACTTTACACTGTCATTTAAGGTAAGGCTTTTTGGGCACAGGAATAAATGGGAAACTTAAACACCAATCCAAACAACTCATTAACAGACATAAATAGGTTCCACCACTTCATCCTCTTCTCACTTGTAGCTCTATATACTGTTATTATTTCCATAAATGTCGTTATTCTCAGTGTTGAGTAGATCCCCCAATATACTTTTAAAATCTAAGCATCACTATACACAAATTAGTCATTTATATTTACTGATGCCGAACCCTCACATTTTTTGATAAGATTATGTAATTTGTTGAAATTATTTGACATTAAGTGGTAGAACTGTTTAATGTCATAGTGTGGAACATTCCAGGCAGAGCAATGGCATAGCCATAGAAAGAAGCAGGTGACAGACCCTCCACCAGAAAAGTTACACAATGCACCTTCAAAAATATGTACTGTGGCTTTTTTTTTTTTTTTAGACAAATTTAGAAATATTGCAACTAAATAGTTTTCTAATTAAACTAATAATTAACCATTATAACAATGTATTACATTACCAGTGGAAGTACTCTGATCATCCAATTCCCTGAGTCAGATTATTTAGACAGGTCACAGGTGTGGTTGAACTGTACATTTTATTAGGCCCACATTAACACAAATGGTGATTGCATTGTTATGATAGCTGCTGTTGCGTTTAGCAGCCCATTATTTGTTCTCTTTGACTTTCTGACCTTTCTGACTTTTGACCTCCCATGCTGTGTGTTGCAGAGCATCTTCAGTGTGCCCCTCGGCAGTGAGCTTACCTCCAAGATGCAGGAGTTCATGGAGGAGAGGACTCAAGTTAATATGGTAATGTCTACACTTTTCCCAGGACCTGAAGAATTTATCTCTAGGAAAGGGGTGAGATGAGATTGGGTCCATGCGAATGAAAATTGCCATAATTTATAATTTAAAAAATTGCAGTTCAGGTCAAAATTTTGGCCTCAGTATTTTTGCTGTCATTCTAGCACTGTTATTTTAAACTACAAGAGGTGTAACTCTGCAGTTTAATTGCCTGGCAGGTCTAGAATGATATCTCTCACAAAGTTAATAATTTTTTTGTCCATGGCGAATGTAAACACAGGGGGGAAAAAATCACACAAAGTCGTGTTGAGCATGTGTTCACAATCTTGTGTACATTTTATTTTGCAAGATCTTGTCACATGAGATCTTATTTTAATAAATAAATTGTGAGGTTCAGTTCACAATTTTGGCCTTATTTATTTTTTATATTCGTTATAGTAGCCATGCTGTTTGGAACTACAGCTTCCCAATAGGTGTAACCCAGTTAAATTTACCCTATTTTGGTCCAGTCCAAATGTAAACACAGGGGAAAAACAAGATCATTTTCCACATGTGTGCGCAATTTTGTGGCAATTTTTATCTCATCCTTTTTGATACTTCATTAAAACTTATGCACTTTGAAAGGAGTTTTGCGTTGGGCTTTAAGAAGATTACAGATTACATGAAGTTAAATTACATTATGTCATTACTGCGTGTGAAAAATAATAAATAAATCTTTCTGTTTAGTGGACGTCTGTGCTGATCGCTGCTGTAACAGTCGTGTCCATCGTTGGGACTGTGGTGTTTCTGCTTTACAGGAAATACAAGAAGTCAAGTAAGTGACCTGTTGTTTACATGTTTCAATCCAACCAAGTTGAATATTTCGACTGTAAAAACAGACTTTTGTCAGTGTTCTTGTAAATGATCAATTTCTTATAATAAAATGTGTTGTATTTTTAGAGATGGAAGCTGGAGTACCTCACTACCGCTTCAGGAAAAGAGACAAAGTGATGTTTTATGGGCGAAAGATCATGAGAAAGGTGGGGATGTCATTTAGAATTAAATTAGATCAGCTATAACATCTGTTAATTGACTCTAATTTACATGTCCGTATTGACTGTGTAGCTTGTTTAATTAGTTTAATTTTTGTATGTCTAAAAAATAAGTGTAAAGAATATTTATAATGTAGCCCTCCTGCCTGAAGCATTAAGGTCTTAGGTTGATCCCTGGACTATGGGGAAGGGCATTCTGTGCAGTTTGCATTTACTTTATCACGTTGCACTGTACAAACAAGAGGCCCAAGACCCACATGTAAAAGATGATAGTCTCAGTATGACCCCTGTCTAAATATATAATACAAAATATGTAATAACAAATAGGGCTACAACTAACAAATATTTCAGAATTCAAAGAGTTAGCAATCATTTTTTGTTTTAATATTGTTTTTGAACTAGATGAAGATGGAAATACATTGATGAAAGGCTTTTATAATTACAAATTAAGTGTATCATTCATGAAAATCCCAACTTGTTTTGTCTTTTTATACCACTTGATATGATAATGCTGCTGTTATTGAAATATGACAGTGTTTTAGGACCTGTATAATCCAATTAACATAAAAGGTGCAGTGTGTAATTTTGCTGGTGGAGAACCTACCACTTGCCTCCATGGAATGTTATTATTTGCCTGGAATGTTACACAGTACAGCATTAAGCTTACCTCTCCATGGAAACAAACATGATGCCAACAAGCCATGTTGCTGGTTAAATGTGACGAGGTTTTTCAAGTTTTTCATAGTATTTTAGAGAAATAAATCGCCTATAATAAAATGGAATAAATGCAAGATGGATATGTTTAATGCCATACTGTGGAACATTCCAAAGCAAAACTATGCCATTTCTATGAAGGCAAGGCCATTTCTGTGAAAGTTACACAGGGCACCTTTAAAAATAGTCAGTGATTATTTCAGTAGTTGATTAGTTTTGATTATTCAGTTTAATTGTTGCAGCCCTGATAAGAAATATAAAGGTGTGTTTTGTTTTTCCAACAGGTTCAGACACTGTCCTCTCCACCTCCCTCCAACTCAAGTTCTGCATCTCGTCAAAAGATGAGGAAGAGGCCCAAAGTCTTAACAATAGCTCGGAAGTACGACCTTTTTTTATCACTTTTGACAACTATTAGCGGTTTGTAATAATGTGTCCCCAAGTGGAGTGTTTTAAGTTTTGTCTTTAGACCCACTTTTATTCTCAGTCTTTTTTTAAGCCAAATGTGCATTGTGTAACTTTTCTGGTGGAGGGCCTGTGAAACGCTGGTCTCCATGGAGATGTTATTGCTTTGTCAGGAATGTTACATAGTTCAAATGCTGTTTTTTCCAGGTATTTTTGAGCTATGAATTTACCTGTAATTTAATACATATAGGGTAGAGCTGTTTAATGTCATATTGTGGAACATTTCAGTCAGAGCCATGACATATCCACGGAGAAAAACATTTGACAGACCCTTCACCAGAAAAGTTGGAGCACCTTTAATTTTAAATTCGCTTTCATTCATTTTATAGTTCTAACAATATTTTCTTTTTTACTTTTTATTTCTGCTTTTTGGAGGTTTAATAAACATACATAAAAGAACACACGATCTAGGGTTCTACAAAAAAAACAACAACATTATACTAGTGCTGTCAAGCGATAATAAAAATTGAGAGATTAATTAATTATGATCTCTAATTAATTAATCTAATTAATCTCACCTAAAATTGCTGAGAAAAGCCTTCAACTTAATGTATTTTCATTTGAATTCATTTTTACATTATTTTCATACTATCATTAACGTTATCATTAACGTTTATATAAGTATCATCACTATTACTGTTACTAATCTGCATAAATAAACTCAACGTTACAACATATAAACCATCACCACATCAGCCCGTTTGACATTAGAATGTGTTTAAAGCAGCTTTGTGCAGGTCTCACAGAAACAAAACTTAAAACCGCATGGCCAATTTGCATAAACTAAGCAGAGAAAAAAAAAAAAAACGCTCTTGTATGCTGATGCGGTTCAGCTTCTACTAAAGGACACGACTCAGTGGAATATAGATGTTCTCTCTGTGACAGAGGGATGTTGATGGTGAAGGTGAGTCTGTTCTGTGTCTGTGTCGCGATGTTTTCAGAGATCATACATGTGCAGGTTTATGCGATGCGGCGAGAATGGGAATGAAAATTAGGATACAATTCTTTTTGGGAGCGAGAGGAGCAGGACTGCACAGTGCAGGACTGTGTCCTAACAACACATAAAAACAGATTTTATAATAAGGCAACTTGCATACAGAAACAGTAAAGTTAGAGATTAAAAATAAGATTAACGTGATTAAAAAACATAATGCACTAAATATGACTGTAATTAATTAATTGCAATTAACTCGATAATTTGATACCCCTACATTATACATTGAAATGGGCTTTGTAAATCAAAACCATTTTGGCAATTGCTTCTCAAATTTACCAGCTTTCAGTTATGATGATTTTTGGCCATACTATATGTATTTTTTAAATTTTTTTATGTATTGTTTTTATTTGTGATTTACTCTCTTTTATTGTCTTAATTTGTCTGTGCAGCACTGTCATGTTCATAAAATGTGCTATATAAATAAAGTGTATTGGATTGAAGCTCATTTTTACTGCTTTGAATGTTGTCAGGATCCTGCGCATAAGAAGGGAGCCCACCATCCTGCAGCCTAAAGAGCCCCCTCCATCTTTACTGGAGGCAGATCTGACCGAGTTTGATGTTCAGAACTCACACCTGCCCTCCGAGGTGCTCTACATGCTCAAGAATGTCCGGTCAGTGGTTGATTTACTTCAAAAAATTTGATCAACAGGGTGTAGTTTTTCAAATCCAACACCAATATCTGTAATAATAATCACTATTGCTATACATTTTCTGCACAAGAAGCTAAGGTTATATCCAATTTGACGGTCATTAAAGTTAAAGACATCCCTGTAACTTTTTATCTGCATTTGATTTGACCCATCTTACTCACAAGCTGTCAGATTACTCGTCTCTAGAGGTCTCATTTATGAAGCTTGCTTACACATTGCGTAGGCGCTCTGTACACCAACCACGGGATTTAAAAACCTGCTCCAAAGCACAATGATGGCAGGGTCCTAGCTGCCTAGCTCCTACCTCTGTGCACTCTGGAGGCATGGGGAAAAAGTGACACTCATGGAGAGAAACAGAAGTGAAGAGAGTTTGAAGAAGTGTTTGATCAGGAAATTATCTGAAAATTCATGTATATAAAAGAATTGCATTCAGATTTGTGCATTTAAGCAGAGCTTACCCCGAAACACGGAGAAGGGCTGTTTATTCCACTCACTGTTCTCTACACTATGGTACTTTGGAAACTACATGTTCTTGTGCACAAGCAACAGCAAAAACGCTAAAACTAACTAAAACTAACATCCACTCACTTTATTTAATTTGTCAAAATGTGTTTCAGGGTCCTTGGTCACTTTGAAAAGCCGCTTTTCCTGGAGTTGTGTCGTCACATGGTCTCCATCCAACTGCACCAGGGGGAGGTGCTGTTCAGGCCCGGGGACACTGATGACAGCATCTATGTGGTCCAAGATGGTCGCCTCGAGCTCTGTATCCATGAGAACGTAAGAGCTGCAAGAGTAAGGACATAATGACTTTTTGAACTGAACATGACGTATGAATGCGTTATCTTTGCAGGATGGTACAGACGCTGTGGTGAAGCACGTCTTAGCGGGAGACAGTGTCCACAGTTTGCTCAGTATACTGGACATCATCACTGTATGTCATATTAATTCTCTCTACTAATAAAAAGGCTATATTATTCATTATCAATAAAAAGGGGGTATTCCACTTCTCTGAGGTATAAATAATTAACACATATTTAGACAGCAATGTTATCTTTTATTTTTGAAAATGCTATCCTAGTTTTTGCTTAAAACAACATATTAAAATGTTTCATTCAACTGAGTTTCATTTTTGCCGCTCTGAGTCCCCAGTTCCCTTGCTCCCTGCACTAAGTCACCCTCCCTTCAGAGTGCTATCCACTAATGAAATTACTGCACATCACATCACACATCTTTTGTAGTGTATTGTTTCTTTTCTGCTTTTACATAATTTGCATAATACCCCCTGTTTAATATTTAGCTGTTTTCTTAAAACCTTTTCCTATATAATATTTATTGAGTACATACATATAGTTGTGATTGTAAACATGTGAGGTTCTTGTGAAGATTACTTACATTCTAAAAACATACAAAAGAATAATCTAGCCACAATATTTACTTATACTTATATACAATATATGTTTTTTTCTATGTGTCTCCAGGGTTACCCAGCTCCTTATAAGACTGTCTCTGCTCGAGCTGCTGCTCCCACCACGATCCTCCGCCTCCCCGCGATGGCCTTTCAGGCTGTTTTTGATAAGTATCCTGAGACGCTGGTGCGGGTCATTCAGGTAAAGACTCTTCTTATAGAATAATATTTAATCTTATACTGTATATTACTCTCATATATTCTCCTATTGTTGTCATCCTTCACATTACAGTTGTATTCATTTGGGTGTTGTGTCTCGTGCAGATCATAATGGTGCGTCTGCAAAGAGTCACATTTCTTGCCTTACACAATTACCTCGGGCTGACAACTGAGCTCTTTAACCCGGTAGGTTGAAATTTTTGAGCAGAAAAGCAGATTTTTGGTTTTGTTTTTAACTTCCGCTTGTCAGTTTGAAGATGTTACTGCTTTGCCGGGAATGTTTCATAGTATCACATTAAACTTCATCCATCTTGCATTCAAACTTTTTTTTTTTAATTCATACTTGCACATAGAGCACATTAAATGTGGCCTAAACTGAGATTCATTTTGGAACTAATCTAGACTAGAAGAGGACCAAACCAGGACTCAACAAGAAGCACTTATTTATTGAATTACTATGTGTACGAATTGTGTTATACAAATAAAGCCTTGCCTTATTACTCTAAATTGCCTTGAAAGACTGTGAATAACAGTGAATTACCTTGCCTCACCATAGATCTGACCTGTAAATTGTGTAGGAATTGTATGGGAAGTAAATTGGGAATAAGTTTTATGCCATACTGTAGATCTTCCTGACAAAGCTATATTTTTTTATGGAAAAAAGCTGGTGGTGGATCAGGAAAGTTTACACAAATGCATTCTTTCTGTCAAAGGAAAGTCAAGCCATTTCGCTGGTGTCCGTGGCTCATGTCCTGGGGGAGACTCACCCACACAAAGGGCTGCGTCGTCAACCATCACAACAAGACGAGACAATGGAGAAGAGTGACTCAGGTTTGAAACATTTCCACACAGTAATTTTTTTTTTACTTAAATAAACTTGGACCACTACTGTGTACTTCTACTTTCAAGCAAAAATACCTCTGGAGTGGCCTTTATTCCAGGGGTGACCAAAAGCATATTATTGACTCGTTTTTACAGAAAAGTCTAATAATTCAGAAATGGGGTCTGCAAAATACAGAAAACCTCGCTCTCTGTCCACACCTATGGCTGTTACAGGTACTTTTTCACACGCACTTGTCTTCTTGTTTTTAATATAAAGACAAAAATAATGATTATGTCATTGACCTAACTGTATCTGCAGATGACATGTCCGACACACTCAACAATGTGTATGAACGAAATCAAGCCTCCAAAGATGAGAACACGGCTTCAAGTCCCTTAAAGGTCTTTCCAAGTTTAATTATTTAAATATTTTATATTTTTAAAACATTCACTGTTAAAGTTATATCCACCTTAAAGCTAGGATATGCAACCTGTAGTCTTACTGATCTGACTCAGGCCTCATGTTAAAAATCAAAACCTCCAGAATTCCCTCACTGAGCTGCAGGCGCTGCACTAGCTCTGACTCATGACTGGCTGCAGATGCTGGGGTTTAGGTTGTGAGGTTTTTGTAATTAAGAATTGTAATTAAGAATAAATCAAATTATAATTGTTAACAAAATGCTGATAGTAATCAATACTAAACCTAGTATCAAAACTAAATACTCTTTTGAGCAGGTATTGATACTAAAAAGTCATATTCACAGGGCAGAAATGTTAATTTTAGAATGATCTTGAGCTGTATCAAGACAAGTTTAAGAGCACATAGACTAGTATACGTACACAGACCATCGTGGAACCTGCCTGACGACTGATTACACAGATATAAGATCGCATGGTAATATAAAAGAATATAAAAGAAAGCATTATGATTTAACATTGACAAAACATTCTATTCTCTAAAGAGTATCATCATGGTATCTGAATACAAGTCTATTCCTTAGGATCTAAATCGAGTTTGAAATGTTAGTATAATGAAAACACTAGCTATCAATAGTTTACCTGAAGTCATATTTTAAAAGCTTAAGTACAAATTCTACATACCCTACCTTTAACATAACGTAAAATGAAGTTACTAAGTGTTGTAGTAAATGTATTTAAAGGCAGAAGATGTTTAGATATCTGAAACAAATCATTGGATAGTCTCTCATGTGGTAGCTGTAAATGGTTTTCTTTACTTTTGTCTTTACTATCTTCAGTCTATATTGAAGAAGAGTGTGACGATGGCGCACACTCCCTCAGCTGTGTACCACTACGCAGAAACCGGAGGGGGACACAGCCAACAGAGTAAAGTCAGTGCCATTTTCCAAGCTGCAAAAAAGGACCTGCTCCAAGTCATTCAATTACAGGTACAAAGCTCCAATTGCGTACACATTATAGCAAATTTACAGTATGCCAGCACATACACACCACTGAATTATTTCAGGTAGAATATCTTTAACCATAACTTTAAATCATGTTTTTGATCTAATATTAAAGGAATTATATCATTTTGGTTCACATGAGGAGGCAGGTCCCTAAGTATTAAGTGTGTACAGATTTTAGTCCTCGCAGTGATACATGTCTTCTCATCATTTTTCCTATAAATAGATATTGATACTTTGCAGTGATATCATGCTGGGGGTGTTCTACATGTGTCTTTATGGTGGAATGTTCAGCAGTTACATGGTGACACAATGCACACATTATCAAACACTGTCAAAATGTTTTTATAAAGTTTGAAAACTCGAGAAAAGATACAAAATGGTTATTAAAGCCAGTATTCATGGTCATGTTTAGGACTTTGATTTTCACAAAAAAGGTGAAAGAGGCTAACTGAAAATCTACACAAATCATCTCACCTGTTGTAGTTCAAGCTAAATCAACTGTTTTTGGTCAGACTGTGTTAAAATAAAGCTCAGATTAAAGTCTAATATCATTTCTGACTGGGCAGTATGCTACAGTTAGCATCACACTCATGACATCAGCTGCAAAATATCAATATGGAAGCCTTACATTGTTGACTACTGACCAAGCCACTGAACTATAGAGGAATATAAAATGTACATGTATTCTGTTTTGGTATTTTTTGTGTGACTGGTCAAGCTATAATTGAATATGTTCATATTTTATGTATCAACAGGATGCCAACTTACTCGAGGGAAGAGTCAATCTACGACACGTTAGAGCCGGTACAACTGTAGCTCACCAAGGAGACCAGGTATGTCCCCAAACTTCCTACTTCACTTTTTACGACTATGTAAAAGAACTTTATTTTTAGCTCAAAACCTCAAGAAAAAGAGATAGATATCCATGGAATTAGCATATTTTTCTATTGAAACTAGTGCTAAATCTAGTGTGGCAGCAAAAATGACAAAAGACAAAAACTGAATTTCGATACTAAGGAAAAGGCCTGACACCCCAATGATACTAAACAATCTTTTTTTTTTTTTTTTTAGACAACAGAGTGTCATTTTCAAAACAAAATAATTTATTTCACATTACCACGTAAATGGTAAATGGTCACATTTTCATATAGCACTTTTCCACCTTTAAGGAATCACTCACCTATTCACACACACACTTTCATACACCAATGTACGCAGACACTGAGGGCAAGTTGGGTTAAGTATTAAGGATTTTTAAATTTTGGGTTAAGTGTCTTGCCCAAGGACACAACGACAGTTTCCATCTGTGGTATCTGGATTCGTTTCAAACTGCCAGCATGTTTTACTAGTTCAGATAAATGTCATGGCCATTCTAAAACTATTGAGGAGCGATCCATTTTTATTTTCAGTATCAATACCTGTTTAAGTGAGAATCTAGCTTTGATCAGAAAGCACTGAATGATGATGTTAGAATATTGCTTCCTCATTAAAAACATACCAGGAGTTGTGTTTTGTTTCATTCACACGTTTTTGAAATAATTTACTATTTTCTGTCTTCTACCTTGTGATGTCATGAAGTTGTAGTTTTCAAGTCAACAGCTCCTTTTACCTTTTGTTCAGTAGAGGTTGGCAATTCCAGGGCTCAGATTATCAAAATTATTCTAGTGAAGGTGTATGATGTTTAAAAACACAGTGAAACAAAACACAACTCCATGATGAGGAAACAGCATTATTATACATTAACATTATTATACATATCTATTACATAGATCAGAAAATCGTGTAATGTAGGTCCTTAAACAGAGTCCTAAAAGTTGTCTGGTCTATGGAAAACTACATTAGTCTGTTTGCAGGATGTGAGCGTGGCGTTTGTGATTTCCGGGTCGCTCCACGTATACCAGAGAATGATCGACCGTGAGAAGGAGTCCCTGCTGTTCGTTGCTCATGCCGGGGAGATGGTAGGGCATCTGGCTGTTCTCACCGGAGAGCCCCTCATCTTCAGTGTCAAAGCACACCGCGACTCCTCCTTCCTCTCCATCTCCAAGGCTCACTTCTATGAGTACGCATCATTTTGTATCTTTTCATTCATATATTTGGTTATGTGGATATGTGGATCAAAGTGAATTCTACCAAATAATAGCGACTGGTTAAATGATAAAAAGTACCTGCCTAGGGTCGAGCGAATGAATTCTAACACTGTGAAGTCAGCTGATGAATCAGGCTACACGATTGTAGTGCGGTCACACAAAAAATGCTGAAAGATATAAGATAAAATACTTTTCGATGCAGCAGCCCACAATAACAATACTGTATCACCAATTTATTTATTTTGACATTTTTGCACAGCCCTAGTAATAACCAGTTGGGGATGTAAAGTTATTCAAATTTTTTGGTACAATATTTTCACGATGTGCATCTCATGGTAACAAAATTGTGAATATACTACTTTAAAAATGCCTTTGGTTCTGTCAAGTTAAGATTTAAAAGTGCTTAATAACATTTAACAACAGTAAAAATTAAGTTAAGTTTGTTAAAATTGGACTTAATTAGAGCAAAGAATTATTGTATATGTAGTTCTCTTTTTTATTTTCGCTATTGCTGCACCATAACAATGAATTTTAGCAGATAGACTTGAGATTCGATATATTGTGATGGCCCACGATATTATTGAGAGACTATTGTCTCTCAGTTTTTTTCCTAAATTTTTTTTTCTTTTTACCAGTATTTTAGTCATACTGGTTTAGTTCATTGATTTGACATTATATTTGAGTAAGAGTTATTTGTACACTTCCGAAAATGTAAGAAAGCACAGCATATACATTCAAAACATGTTCATTTAACAAAAAAAGAGGATCTGACAGTATAATATGTTGACTTTTTCAGGATCATGCGCGAGGAGCCTAGAGTGGTTCTGAACGTAGCTCACACGGTGGTCAGGAGAGTTTCCCCTTTCGTCAGACAGATCGACTTTGCATTGGACTGGATGGCACTGGAGGCCGGGAGAGCTGTGTACAGGTCATTTGAACTATATTATTGTAGTAAGCATTAAAAAACAAGGAGCTTCGAGTTGTTTAATGTGCTTACACCACAACTACAAACTGAAATGTTTCACCTGTGAATCTCAAAACCACTGTCTGTAAATATCTCAAAATATCAGTTATTAATCTCTAAAATGGGAATTTGCAGATTTATGTGTTTATATGTGAATTTATAGTAATAATAATGTATTTTATTTTTAACCCACTTCCCATTTGGGCCCAAATTTGAAAGAGCTGCACAGAGAGTAAAATATAGAAGAATATTATAAAAGAGAATTTAGAATTTAAGAACTTCTTTAGACAGAACTATTTAATAATAATAAAAAACAGAGAAATTCATAGACTTCAATTAAATCAAAAATATTACATTGTTCTCTTAAAGTAGTTCTTTTACCATAAATCTTAAAGGTGCACTATGTAACTTTTTGGTTGGGGATCCGTCACCTTCTATGGAGATGTCATTGTTCTACCTGGAATGTTCCACAGTATGACATTAAACAGCTACCTTTTATTCAATTACAGGCAGTTTTATAGCTCAAAAATCTCTAGAAAAACAGGCATTCTGACTGTGAGCGGTGTTGCCTTTCCACAGATCTGACCTGTAACTTGGTCCGGTTTGGTCTTCATGATAGAAATGTTTAATACCATACTCCACCAGAAAAGTTTCACAATGCACCTTTAAATAAAACAATATTGCAGATACAAGATTTAAACTTTTCTTTCTATTTCAGACAGGGGGACAAGTCTGACAGCACCTTCATTGTCCTCAGTGGTCGGCTGAGATCAGTTATTGCAAAGGATGATGGGAAAAAAGAGTTGGCAGGAGAGTACGGCCGAGGGGATCTTATAGGTGTGGTGAGTGGACGGCCTTAAATCTTTAGACAGCTCTGACAACAATTCTTCATTCATTTAAAATGTGTAATTTGTAATTATATCACATGCACAAAATATTATCTTATTTTTTATTTTTTGTATCAGTAGATTTATTCAACACAAAAAAAGTGCTTAAAGGTGGACTATGTATCTTTTTGGTTGAGGGTCCGTCACCTGCTTGTTTCTATGGATATGTCATTGTTCTGCCTGGAATCCTCCACAGTATGACAGTATGACAGCTCTACATTGCATTTATTTAATTACAGGTGGATTTATAGCTCAAAAATACCCTGAAAAACAGCTCTGACCTGTAACTTGGTCTGGTTTGGCCTCCATGATGACAGAAAGGTTTAATGCCATACTGTGAAACATTCTAGACAAAGCAATAACATCTCCATGGAGAAAAGCATTTGACGGACCCTCCACCAGAAAAGTTACACAATGCACCTTTAAATGAATTACCTGATTTGTTTTCATGTAAACTGTGTTTGTAATTGTGCAATGAGGGAAAATTATTACAACTTTGAAGATTCTCATTATCTTATATCTTTCAGTCTCTTTTTTTCAATCTGTTTATTTATTTATTTTAGTTGATTTCATTCTTTTGTTATTTAATCTATTGAATTGCGATTTTTTTGTATTTTTTGTATCTATAATGTAATATAAAACACTTCTAAGGAACCTTGGAAGAAGAATCAAAAGATAAATGTTGTAACTGGCACTTATCATTTTAAAGGTGCATTGTGTAACTTTTCTGGTGGAAGGTCCAAAAAATGCTTTTCTTAATAGATACATGATTGCTTTGTCTGGAATGTTTCAATGTATTCATTAAGCCCTTCCATCTAGTGGAGACCAAGCCAGACCAAGCTACAGGTCTGATCTGTGGAGAGGCGATCCTGCTCACAGTCAGAATGCTTGTGTGTGTTTTCTTTAAGTATTTTTGAGCTATAAAACCACTTGTAATCAATTAAAAGTAAGGTAGAGCTGCCTAATGTTACACTGTGGAACATTCCAGGCAGAGGAGTGACATGTCCATAGAAACAAGCAGGTGACTGATCCCCATCCAAAAAGTTACACAGTGCACCTTCAACATACTTGTTGTTGTGTACTGTTTTCAGGTGGAGGCTCTGACCCACATGAACCGAGCCACCACAGTCCACGCGGTGAGGGACTCGGAGCTCGCCAAACTGCCTGAAGGAGCTCTCAACTCCATCAAACGCAGGTAAGTGTGCATATGACTTCTCTCTTCGCATTCATTGTTAATTTTAATGGTTATTTATAGGGATGGTACATGATCTCGTGAGAAAAAAAAATTGCCAAAAGATCGTGCACACAAACAAAAAATTATCTTGTGAGATTTTTTTTCCCATTTAGATTAGACAAAAAAGGATTTCATGTTGATGAGGTCATTGAAATCCTGGAAAAGTTTCAGGCCTCTAAAAGTCATGGAATTTTGCTAATTCAATGAAAGGTTTGGAAAAGTCATGGAATTTTAGTATCTCTTTCACGCAACTACGGCGTTCTCTTAAGTTATCATTAGGCTATTATGATTGGTATTATTGATATGAACATATGCGCCTTTTGTTTAAAAGAGATGACAATAAATGCACTGACAATATTTTTAACATTTTGAATGTTAAAAAATCTATATCAAAACTATAAGGTGAGTGGAAAGGGTTAACATTTCATGCTTGGCCCTAAAAGTATGATCAATTCTACACATGTAGGTTCTGTAAAGTCATGGAAAATTCACTTTAGATCATGAAAAAGTCTTGGAAAAGTTTTTGAAATTTTGTCAGTGAAAAAGAGTGGGAACCCTGAGTTCCAAAAGGCAGTACCAGAATGGAAACAAAACTATGAAATTAAATAAATAACAAAATTAGTGGCCAAAATTGGAAACTGAACTGTGAAATGTATAAATGTATCTCATGTCATCTTGTGGAAATTTTGTCTTGTCCCCTAATTATTTATGTTCTGATCTTTTTGTATTGTGATTTTCAAGTATTTCTTATTCTGTAAAGCACTTTGAATTACTTTGTGTACGAATTGTACTATACAAATAAACTTGCCTTGCTTTGCTTGGCCAGGTACCCTCAAGTGGTGACTCGGCTCATCCATCTCCTGGGCCAGAAGATCCTGGGGAACATGCAGCAAGTCAATGGACCCCTGGCTGGTAACAATGACACTGCTCCCAATTCCCTTTATCACTGTATTGCAATGGCATCACGCCAAGGGTGTTCTACATGTATCTCTTTCAGAAGAATGTTTAGCAGTTACCATGGTACACAGTTCACACACAACAACACAAACACAAACAAAAGAAGTTTTAAGATTGTCAAGAAAAAATACAAAATATTTAAACAATGTATTTTCAGTCTGTGATCAATTTGAGCGTTCATGGTCCTGTTTAGGAGTTTGATTTTCAACTAAAAGGTGAGCATGACTAACTGAAAAACTGTTGGTTAATATTAGCTTCACATTTGTCTTACTTGTGTTACTTTTGTTAATAAAGTGAATAGAAGTGATACAGTTATATACTTAAAGATGTACCGTATGACTTGGTTTTCTACCTGCTTGTCTCCATGGAGATATTCATGCCTTTCCTGGAATGTTCCACCTCACCTCAGATTCAACGCAAATTCTATCTTGCACTTATTCAAGGTCAGTGCAGCACAAAAATACATGCATTCTTACTGTGATCAAGATTGCCTCTCCACAAACCTGACATGTAAATTAGCCTGGTGGTATCAGGAGCTAGATAAGCTTAATGCAGTACTGTGAAATATTTTCGGAGGCAAAGCAATAACATTTCCATGGAGACAGGCAGGTTGAAGAGTTTTCTCATGTTTAAAATGTAGGTACTTTATTTTGTGTTTTCTTGGTTTTCAAAGTAAAACATAAAGACAGTTAATGGATTTAAGAATTCAAAACAAGAACTACCAATGGCAACTTCTTCTTTTACAGATGCTAGAAAAACCTAAATTTCTTGGTCTTTGAAACATATACGAATACAGATACAGGCATTTAATACTGTGTGGTCCCTGCAGCTCGGGGCCTGGGGCTCCACACTCCGTCCAGTAAATGGGACAGTGGGAATCCAGCTTCAAACCTGTCCACCGTGACCATCCTCCCGGTGTCTGACGAGGTCCCGCTCACCGCCTTCACTCTGGAGTTGTACCACGCGCTCAGTGGCATCGGTAACGCACACCTTAATGCTTACTTACATTTCCTTTAAAGTTCATATCATGGTTCATCATCCAAACGAACACCCAATGTCAAATGCAGACACAAGATTTTTCTAGGCTTGACTTGTCTGTTTTGTTAAATAGCAACTCCACTTATTTTTTGCAGGTTTGTACATAACTTTAAGACAAAAAAAAATAGACTACTATAAAAGCATGTTTTTTTCTGAAAAATATACAAAGAAAAAAATCTCCATTGTGAGGTTTCTTGTATCTCCACAAACCTGGAGAAGACCCTCCCCCTGCTTGTTTCTATGGAAATGCTGTTCCTTTGGCTATAATTTTCCACAGTATGACAAACAAATCTATTTCTATGGAAAATGTTCCAAAGTATGGTGTTAAATTTCTATTTCCATAAGATCAAGCAGGTGATGTGCCACCTCCAGAAAATGACATGTTGCTAAAGTGTTTTACTTGTACAGGTCCCATTCTTCTCTTGACCAGTGACACCATTAAACAGCGCCTGGGCTCCGCAGCTTTAGACAGGTGCTGTAACAATAATATTAAATGCACTGATATGTTTTGAATATTACATATTTAATATAATCTATGTTTCCCTGTGTAGTGTGCATGAGTATCGACTGTCCAGTTGGCTGGGGCAACAGGAGGACATTCACCGTATCGTTCTGTACCAGTCTGACCCCAGCCTGACCCCCTGGACCCAGCGCTGTATCCGCCAGGCCGACTGCATCCTCATCGTGGGGCTGGGGGAGCAGGAGCCCACTGTGGGAGAGGTCAGTGCGAAAGACACTAGCAAGAGCATCAGTATCAGAGGGCACGAAATAGTTTGCTTTTCATATCGCTTGTCTGATTGGGTGCTGTGGACTGTGCCTCTTGTCTCATTGGCTGCTGTGGACTGTCTCTTGTCTCATTGGCTGTGTTCTGTCCCTCAGTTGGAGCGTATGCTGGAGGGCAGTGCAGTGCGTGCTCAGAAGCAGCTGGTGTTACTGCACAGAGAGGACGGGCCTCCTCCTAAAGGCACAGCAGAGTGGCTCAACATGAGAAGCTGGATCTCCAGACACCACCACCTGTCCTGCCCTCGGAGGGTCTTCTCTCGACGCAGTCTGCCCAAACTGGTCAGCTCTGAAACTGACGTCTTGTTTACTGTACTTTAATGTTGCTTCTCCAGTAAAAATCTGTAAAATGTAAATTAGGGCTGCACAATTAGGGAAAAAAATTGTATTACAAATTGCTTCTTGATCATGGTAAAACTATAATTTATATTTTCAACAGGTATTATTGCACCAACTTAAGTCAAAATTATAGAATCGTCAAATCTGTCACATGCACTTTAGTAAGGTTTTGTGTTTTACAGAGGGAGTTGTACCAGCGTGTATTTGAAAAGTGTCCTGATCGTCACTCCGACTTTTCCCGATTGGCCAGGATCCTCACTGGGAACGGCATTGCTGTGGTGCTGGGAGGAGGTGGGGCCAGGTACTGCAGCTTTTGTCTCAGCTATTTGTGGAGTTTTTAATAATATTTAGCATTTACACAGACAAACGTATAATATTGACTTTTATCTTATTTGTGTTTCTCTTTATTGTTTTGTTGCAGCAGTGTCACAGGTAGGGATTTATTGTGCAGCTTTTGTTAGAGATTATCTGTTTATCTCTCCTATTTACATATTTGCCCGTCCCCATTTACTTATTTGAATCAAAACATCAAGCAGCACTAGTTTTAGAATGATTTTAGATACAGTAGTGGTGTGCTGTCTATGTGCTCTGCGTGCTATGTTTTTATAATATTCTCTTGTCAAAAACATACCTCAGATTGTATTTTGCTTAAAAGTGAAGTGTGTAACTTTTCTGGTGGAGGGTTAGTCACCTGCTTGTTTTCATAGATATGTCATTGGTCTGCCTGGAATGTTCCACAGTATGACATTAAACAGGTCTAATTTACATTTATTCTGTTACAGGTGGTTTTATAGCTCAAAAATGCCTAGAAAAACAGACATTCTGACTGTGAGAGGGGTTGCCTCTCCACAGATCTGACCTGTAACTTGCTCTGGTTTGGTCCAGACAAAGCAATAACATCTTCATGGAGAAAAGCATTTAAGTCGCTGTTTAAATTTTCTCAGATTATTACGTCCCAGTTATTCCTGCATTGTTTTTATGTCCATAAAACTTCGCCAGACTCGTTTTGAGCATTTCTACCATCAAATTGCATTCACTAGAGCTGTGTGCTTATATTAGCAAGTCAGTCACGTTACTTATGGCTAGTTTTTTTTCCATTGCTCATTCCCACTGTTGTCAGTAGATGGTGTGCAAACACAAAACTGAAAGGTTGTATGGAGGATTTTTTTTTTGTTTTTTTTGTTTCAAGTTGTCAATGATAGCATTATAGAGATGCAGTAGCCTTGTAATTATGATGACCAAAAAAAGAGAATAAAAATTCATCAACTCTGGACGTGGTGGGGCCAGCTAAACATTTGCCAATAGATAACGACACGGCCTCGTTATCTGTTAGCTGACAGGCTATCAATCAAACTCCCTACGTTTCTAGCGTAACTGACCTGCCTGCGCGCCGCCGGTACGTGGTTTACGTACGCCTGTCACGCAGTCCACAGACGCAAGACGCACAGACGCTGTTTACTCCACCAATGCAACAGTTCTTAGCGGCTTTTTTTGACCTATATCTTCCTCGCAGTTAGCACAAAGTTTGTTGCAATGGCAGACAAGAATCCAGGAGCAGTTAGCCGCAAAAGAAAGTCCGTTTTTGAGGTCGCTGAAAGAAGAAGACAAGGGGAAAAGCAGCGAAGCCAAACTAAGGTGATTCTTGTAGATTCATTCCAGCGATGGCGCGACTGAAGCAGACGCAGGGTCTAAAGACTGACGCATTGGTCGCCAAATTACTCCTGGACAGGTAACTTCTGCTTATTATGAAAACGTACTTTATTTCCAAGAGCTAGTCAAACGTTTTTCAGGACACGAAAGCGATATCCTATGTCTGAAAACGTAATTTTCAAGGCAAAGAAAGAGTCCGCTTGCTGCTGCGTGTTGTAGCTAGTTCATTCGCACTGAATCTCCGCGCAACCTTCTCTGCTCCCCTTTCCTACTCCTGTCCCCGCTGCCGTTCCGCTCTTCCCCCTGCTCCTCACTTCTACGGGCACGGAATCTCCGCGCACCGCTCCCTCTCCTCTCTCCTCTCTCCTCTCTCCCTGCTCCGCTTCTCCCTGCTCCTCACTTCTCGTCCGCGAACGAAATGTCCGCACACCGCTCCCCCGCTCCTCACTTCTCCGCCTTGCCTAACCAACACTGTAGTTAGTTGTTTACAAGTCATGTGCAGCTCACCGGCTGTAAACAAACCTGTTTCTGGCGTAGTGAGGAGGCGGGAGAAGGCGTTTCTACGTAGGGAGCTGTAGGGGAGGGGGGGTGTTTCACGCATGCGCAACATTTGAAAAAGGACAAACAGTCGCTGGAATTTCTCGTTCCTTGGAAAATCCTCTAAAACTTGAAGTAAGGAGATTGCAACTGATAATGTGTGTTTTGTAAATCTAGGCAATACTGTAATTTCTCAAGGCCGATAACAGTACAAACCATAATGTGTTCTTTAAGTTTAAAAGTTTATTGTGTAAGTTTTCTGGTGGAAGGTCCATCAAATGCTTTTTTTCCCAGGAGATGTTATTGCTTCGTCTGGAATGTTTCACAGTATGGCAGTAAACCTGTCTATCATCACAGAGTCCAAACCAAGTTACAGGTCAGATCTGCGGAGAGGCAACCCCACTCACAGTCAGAATGTCTGTTTTTCTAAGTATTGTTAGCGTGATCCGTGGAAAATGATGACTGGAATCGATCGATTAAAATCACAAAAGTTTATTCCCTATTCAATACAATTCTAATACAGAGCTCTGGGTCAAATCACTGTCCCTGATGGCCTACAGCTACACAGGACTTAAGTCAGCCAGTCTTAACACCTGTGTTTTCCCTCCACCTAGAAATATAAAACAACCACATGAATATGCAAATGATATGTTGACCAGGTTCACGCCTTGGATCCTCCCTGAAGTCTCTCCGTTTATGGAGATGACCACCATATTCAATTATAGGCATGGTCTATTTAGGCTTGGTGCCAGCCAGGATGACCCCACGTAATTTTTGAGCTATAAACCCACCTGTAATTTAATAAACATAGAGCTGTTTAATGTCATACTGTGGAACATTCCAGGCAGAGCAATAACATCTCCATAGAAACAAGAAGGTGAAGGACCCCCAACCAAAAAGTTGGGGGTACATAGTGCACCTTTGATTTAGGTTTATATTTTCTCTTCATATTGGTCTTACTGCTCTGCCTGTATCTGTGACCAGGGGCTGTTCTCAGGTGGGTATCCTGAGAGCACTGAACGAGGCGGGGATACCCATAGACCTGGTGGGGGGCACGTCCATCGGCTCGTTCATGGGGGCGCTGTACGCAGAGGAGAAGAGCAGCAGCCGGATGAGGGTCAGGGCACGAGAGTGGGCCATGGTGAGTGCCTTATTTATTTATTTGACCTTTATTTAACTTGAACAAACTTTACTGAGTCACAAGGGAAACTACTTGGACACAGTAGCTCACACATCACAATATATCATAATAACAAAACAGAAATGGTAATAATACATTCTAAGAGACTGGTGTCAAATAAGATGTATGTATAATTATATATTGTTCTAAATGAAGTAAATGTGTTCTACTTAATCTCAATTTTTTTTTTTTGTAGTTGTATAGGTGTACACTGTAGTGTTTTACTGTTCTGGCAAGAATTTTGCTAGCTCACGTCCGAACAGCCCCCACAGTGGAGTGTTTTAAGTCTCGTCTTAAGACCCACTTTTATTTTCTGGCTTTTAACACCGCATGAGTTGTGTGGTCCTCTGTTGTCTTTTATTTATTTTACTTACTTTTTGCTATTTCGTGATTCTTATGGTTTTCCTTTTATGTGATTTTTATTGGTTTTATTGTTTAAGGACTGGTATGATCAATTTTTTTGCAATTTACCTTTTGGTGTCTTAATTTTTTTCTTCTCTGTGCAGCACTTTGGAAACTACTTTGTTTGTAAAATGTGCTTTTGTGCTAGCTTTGTTGTTGGTTAGGGTGACCAGATGTCCTTATTGACCTGGGACAGTCAAAATTTTTTTTTCAATTTTGTGTCCCCTCTCCCATCAGATGTATACAAACCAGTGATTTGTCCCAGTTTTATACAAGAGATGTCCCAGGTGTCTTTATTTTTTGACCAATTTGATCTAAACTAGGGCTAAACCATGACTAAACCAGGACTATATCAGTTCTAAACCAGGACTAAAACAGGACTATCACAATTTTTGACCAATCTGATCCTTGCCAACAGTAAAGAGAAGCATAAATTGCCATTTTTTTAGCCAAAATACTGAAAACCGTGTTTGCAAATGACCATAAAGTCTCTCAAGTTTCGACTGACACGAGAATGCACAATGTTAAATGCTCTTTTCACAATGTATTTATACCAACCATCCCATCCCGGGTGTGTCCCTGTTTTGAATTGTGAAAATCTGGTCACCCTATTAGTGGTGGTTTTCAGATTCTACAATGTGACAACGTCATATTCCCAGATGAGGGGGCAAGACGCAGTTTTTCTGTAGAGTGTTGTGATGTCATCTGAAACCCAGCTATATGTTTTAGATAATCTTTTGAAGCCTGATGATGTTAACCAGGGACAGAAAGCAGAGAAAAAAAAACTGACCATATGAAATTATACTGTTGTAGCAAAGATTTCGGGGAAATTTGTCTACAGTGTATTTGTGAACATTGCATTACAGACATTGTATTATTCTCTTATTCTCTCTCTTTCTCAGGACATGACGTCTCTGTTCAAAAAGATAGTGGACCTGACATATCCGATCACCTCCATGTTTTCTGGAGCCTCCTTTAACTCTGGGATCAGCTCTGTCTTCAAGGGAAAACAAATAGAGGTAAGGTTGTTTTAAGTAAAAGTATGGATACCAGAGCAAAGAAATACCCAAAGTAAAAATATCACATGAAAAATCTCCATAAGTAAAAGTATTAAAGTACTTCAAGAGTATTAATTTAATTTATTATTAAATTATTTCATGCATATTCTGAGATCTAATAAGGCTTCAAATGTAGTGATTTTGATACAGATTTGTGCTGAATTTTGTTCACTGGAAACAATAAAATACATTTTTCTTGCTGTTTTTCTTTGTATGTTTTTGTTTGGTCAAATATGAACATGTTCAAATTAAACCTTCAGCCTTTTTAGCAGGTCTCACACAATAATAACAACAACAAAACTTTTACTTTTTAGTCCTGTTCAAAAATGTAGTAGAGTAGAAAGTACTGCTTTCCCTGCCCTCAGATGTAGTGAATTAAAGGTAAAAAGTATCTACCTGAGAATGTACACAAGTAAAGTACAGATACCTAAAGTTTATGCTTAAGTACAGTAATTTACTACTTTTATTTAGTTACATTCCACCACTGATAGTAACATATCTTGCCTTTATATAAAAAAGTACATTTATAGATGTGTATAAACTCTTACATTGGCCAAAGAGAACCGACTGGCCTTCTTAGATAATGCTGTAAAAAATGACAATACCTGCTTTTTAATTCAGATTATCCACTGTTTTCTTTTTTATTTTTATTTATTTATTTGCATTGATTTTTTTCCCAACTTTTAATAAAGCCAACTTCTATTAGCAGTATTGTTACATACAAGATGAAAAGTACTGTTCTGTGTTTATCATTTATGATGTTTCTTCCTTTAGGATTTGTGGCTGCCTTATTTTAATATTACCACTGACATCACTGCTTCTGCCATGAGAGTGCACACTGACGGTTTGTTCAGTACAATACTCGTTTCTAATGTTGATTACCAAATTATCTCATATATTATTATTATCATATTATATTTCTCTCAGGTTCCCTTTGGAGGTATGTCCGAGCCAGTATGTCCCTGTCTGGGTACCTGCCCCCTCTCTGTGACCCCAAAGACGGACACTTACTCATGGATGGGGGCTACATCAACAACCTGCCCGGTGAGTTTGACTAAGACCACTAAATGTAACACTAAATGTAACACTAAATGAAACATCATGATATCGTATCGTCAAAAGTCTCAATAATATCGTGGGCCATCACAATATATCGAATCTCAAGTCTCTTTGCTTAAATTCCGTGCTATGGTGAAGCAATAGCGAAAAGAAACAGAAGGAACTACATTTACAATAATTCTTTGCTTTGTTTCAGTCCAGTTTACACGATAAAATCACTTATTAAGCACTTTTAAATCTTAACTTGTCAAGGCATTTTTAAAGGTGCTCGAAGTAATTTTTTGGTTGGGGGTCCATCACCTGCTTGTTCCTATGGATATAACATTGCTCTGCCTGGAATGTCCCACAGTATGACATTACACAGTTCTACTTCACATTTATTAAATTACAAGTGGTTTTAGAGCTCAAAAATCCCTAGAAAAACACGCATTCTGAGTGCGTGGTCACCTCTCCACAGATCTGACCTGTAACTTGGTCTGGTTTCGTTAGAAAGATAGAAAGGTTTAATACCATACTATGAAACATTCCAGACAAAGCAATAACATCTCCATGGAGAAAAGTGTTTGATGGACCCTCCACCAGAGAAGTAACACAATTCATAGTCAATATTTTGTCGCATATTCACATTTTTGTTAGAATCTATCAAATATGCTACCGTGAGATGCATATCGTGAAAATATTGTACCGGGACATTTGGATATCGTTGCATCTCCACTCAACTTCTTTATTGTTTTCGAAGCTGACGTGGCTCGCTCAATGGGGGCGAAGGTGGTCATAGCCATCGACGTGGGCAGCAGAGATGAAACTGACCTGACAAACTACGGGGACTCTCTGAATGGATGGTGGCTGCTCTGGAAGAGGTTCAACCCACTGGCCGAGAGAGTAAAGGTACACTACCAGTCAAAAGTTTTAGAAGACCACACTTTTACATTTTTTTTTTTTTTACTGTTTACTGTTTACTGTTGACCAGAATATATTCTAAACTTTTGATTCATGAAAGTGTCCAGCTTTGGCAGATATAACAACTGAACACACTCGTGGCTTGTTCTTTTCACAACAGAAATTAAATATTCCTCAGAAGGTTCTTCCCAAGTCTGTTGCAGAAGTTCCCATAAATGTGTGGCACTTGTAGGTTGCTTCACTCTTCAGTCCAGTTCATCCCAAACCAACTCAATGGGGTTTAAGCTCTGAGACTGTGCCGGACACTCCATGTTTTCAAGCTTTACCTTTCTTTTTTTCGTTCTTTTTTCCTGAGGTAGTTTTGGCAGAGCTTGGGCTTGTATTTTGTTATCTTTTATCTTTTTTTTAACCTCTGGCCGTTCAGTTCTTACCTTTATATCATTTCAAGCTCTTCATTGGACTTGCACGACTTGAAGTGCAATAAATAAGTGGAAAAATTAGGGTGTTCTAAAACTTTTGACCGTTACTATAAAGCCATTTCAGAAATCGAGCTCAAAACCTTGTCTTCAAAGTTTATTACAAACACAATATTTTATCATGTTAAAGGTGCATTGTGTAACTTTTCTAGTGGAGGGTCCGTCAGATGCTTTTCTCCATTCTCCAAATGCAGACCATTAAGACCTGTGGAGAGACAACCCCACTCACAGTTAAAATGCCAATTTTTCTAGGTATTTTTGAGCTATACAACCACTTGTAACTGAATAAATGCGAGGTACAACTGTTTAATGTCATACTGTGGAACATTCCAGGCAGAGCAATGACATCTCCATAGAAACAAGCAGGTGACGTACCCCCAAACACAAATTTACATAGTGCACCTTTTAAGTGTAGGTGGCTATCACAGCAGAAACCATTAATTTAAGATTTTTTGTAGTATAAATTAGGCTAAATATTAATTGTTGGCTGTTTATTTTAAATTAACATACATACTTAATACAGAGGGTTGGATTCAATAAAGCTGATTACAGTAAATAAGGAATTAAAAATGTTTTGGCTTCACTAATTGTAAAAATGTGGTGTGGTGGTTTTTTGTAACTAAGCCTTTGGTGGTAGTATCATGTCTTTTTATAGAATACTTTTGTACTTGTAGTTTAATTAAACCCCTACAAACTTGATTCCTGTATTAGTTTATCAGTTCAGACTTAATTCTTCTCTAAAATGTGAATGCTCCAAATCCGAATCCTGCTTTTTAAAACATACTGAAAATATAATCACCATACAATCTCATTTAGCCCTTACCGTTTCCCTAACATCCTCACTAACTCATTATTTTACACTTAGTCACTACAGATATGTCGTTCTTTTTGTAGGTGCTGAACATGGCAGAGATCCAAACCCGCCTGGCGTACGTGTGCTGTGTGCGTCAAATGGAGCTGGTGAGAGACAGTGAATATTGCGAGTACATTCGCCCGCCCATCGACCACTACGGCACGCTGGAGTTTGGCAAGTTTGATGAGATCGCTGTAAGTGCTCCGGCTTTATTACATCTGCTTTATTTAGGTTTCTGAAAGGCGCATTGTGTAACTTTTCTGGTGGATAGTCCGTCACCTGCTTGTTTCTATAGAGATGTTATTGCTTTGTCTAGAATGTTTCACAGTATGACATTAAACAGCTCTACTTCACATTTACTCAATTACAGGTGGTTTTAGAGCTCAAAATACCTAGAAAACAGGCTTTCTGACTGTGAGTGGGGTCGCCTCTCCACAGATCTGACCTGTAACTTGGTCTGGTTTGGTCTCCATGAAGATAGAAAGGTTTAAGACCATACTGTGAAACATTCCAGACAAAGCAATAACATCTCCGTGGAGAAAAGCATCTGACGGACCCTCCACCAGAAAAGTTACGCAATATACCTTTAAAGGGCCAATATTTTCTGTTTTCTGAGGTGTGTTATAATGTTGTTTCCTCAACACAAACGTACCTGGAGTTGTGTTTTGTTTCATTCACATGTTTTGTGACAAACCCTGCATAGTTTTTGTCTTAAACAGAATGCACCTTGTTCTTGTTCCACCTTGTGATGTCATGGGGTAATACAGGAGGTGCTTCACTGTGTTTTTAACTCCATACACCTTCACTAGAATCATTTGGATGATTTCAGCCCTGGAATTCACAATCTCTACTGAACTAAAGTTAAAAGGTAGCTGTTAATGTGAAAACTACCACATGACATTACAAGGTGGAACAGAACATTTTGAGCTTTGGAGCTGTAGACAGACTAATAAAACCAGGGTTACTCAAACATGTGTGAGTGAGACAAAACACAATTCCAGGTCTGTTTTTGAGGAGGTAACAACATTATAACTCATCTTAAAGCTAACAAGAGTCAATTAATTTCCAGGCAACTTGAACCGATATGATGGAAATGTGCCTGATTAGCCTGATTGACTCTCCTTGTGGTTCTGGTTCTGGTTGCAGGAGGTGGGGTACCAGCACGGAAAGACTCTATTCGACGTGTGGCAGAGAAGTGGAGTGATCGACAGCATGCTCAAAGACAGGCATCAAGAAGAATTTCATAAAACCAAAACTGGACACGTGAGTACAGTGCAATCTAATCCATACAAAGCAATAACACAGTCCCAGCACATTTGACTGAGACTAATTATTTGTCTCTGTCAAATGTGTTAGGACTAGGCTAGTAACTTTAAAGGTGCACTATGTTACTTTTCTAGTAAGAGTGTTGCACCGGGTTGTGTTCATGGAGATTGCTGGGGAGATTGTTTTCACTGGAATGTAATCACAGTATATTTTCACAGTGTTTTTCGCAATAAAACAATACCTTAAACTATATGCATTCTACTGTAATTGTCCCACCTCTCCACAGATCAGACCTGTAAACTGGCATGGTGCTTGTCTCCATGGTAATAGATAAGTTTAATATCTTACTGTGAAAAATTCCAGGTAAAGCAACAACATATCCAAGGATGACAGACCCTCCACACGCAAAGTTGTACCTTTAAGGGAATTTTGAGTATTTTGATGGTAGCTTTGAGTGAACTTGTGGTTAAACATACAAATTTTCATTTAATTTATGTATTAATTTTGGGCAAGTAAGCATTTAGCATTTTACTTTCTTTTACAATGGAACAGAGTATTAGCCAAATTACATTAGTGTAATCATAACAACCGAAACAAAACAACAACAACAAAAAAATTGCCCAAAAAGAAGTGAGAAGAAGAAAAACTTATTTAATCCCACCCTCTTTTCTAATTTAACCTCAAGAGCTTTCTTTTGCATTCTTCAGACATTTTACATTCCCTATCTGTGTGCATTCCAGGTGGTGACGTGTCCAAATGCTTCCTTCACTGACTTGGCAGAGATCGTGTCCAGAATTGAACCTGTGAAATGTGCTCTCACAGAAGGTAAAAATAAATGTATATTTGGAGGTTTGATGCCACTTACTCTTAATCAGAGTTACTTTCACTTCAGTACTTTAAATTCTTTTGCATACATATTGATACTTTGCAGCTGATGTCATCCACTTTCCTTTAATCTGATCTTTATTTACACAATCTGACAATTAATAATAGTAATATTATTATATCATTTATGAAGTGCTTGTCCAGACACTCAAAGACACTTTAGAACAGGGGTGTCAAACTTAAATTTACAGAGAACCAAAATTAAAAACTGGGCCAAACTAAATATTCATTGAAAAATTTCAACAACATCTGCATGTTTTCTCTTCTTTTGAGATGTGTAATGTTAAACCTTTTCTGATTAAAATAAATGTTTAATAATAGTTTTGCTTAAACATTGAATCCAGCATGAGAATAATATAAAACAATAACAAAATTTGACATAAATCATGTCTCTATAGCCTGTAGCCAGCTCTAATACATGTTTAATATGATCTCGCAGGTCAAATATAATTATATCGCAGGCCAAATGTGGCTGCTGGGCCTGAGTTTGACATGTCTGCTTTAGAACACATGTTAAAACAGTCAAAAGAGCAATAAGCTAACAAAACAGTAAATATAAAAACAGTGAATCATACTGAGAAGAGTTTCACATTAAAAGCTATTCTAAATAAATAATTAAGAAATTATTTTGGTGGAACTATAACAGTTGAGCTGATTTTGTATGGTTTAACAAGTCTGTCTTAAATAACATTAATGTTACAGCATGGTTCTGTGTGTGTTTCTATTTTCAGACAATGTAAAAATGCTATGTGTTCAATACATTCATGGTAACTGCTGAACATTACTCTATAGACATACATGCAGTAGCCCCCTAGTGTGATGTCACTGAAATGTATCAATACATAAGTGAAAGCTATACAATATGAAATGCCAAAAGTAAATAGTAAAAATAAATATAATAAAAGAGTGACCTCACTGTTGTTGCTGTTTTAGGGGAACTCTCGGATGAGTACCAGACAGACTACGACGAGGAGACTGTGGAGAGCGCTCTGTCCGATTTTGAAGGTTTTCCAGCTGGCAGCGAGCACACAGAGGGAGAGGAGACCGGCGAAACTGTATGTAACAACTACTATATTCCGTACACAACACTGATAGCATCTCATAACAAGAAGGTCCCAGGTTCAATTCCCAGACCCTGCAGCGTATTATTTGTGTGGATTTTGCATTATTTTATTTTTGTATAAAGAAAATAAATGCTGTTTTCAGTCCCAGCACTGGTATCAGTTAATATCTGTAATTGGCAGATACTTAAAGCTATAGTATTGAAATAAGTATTGAAACTGAAATGCCTGCATCCCTAATGTTTATATATACTTTGACGCAGTTATGTTAAATTAAATTTGAGCTAAACTACTTAATTTTTGTTATTATGTATTTAATAGTCTTTAAAATAATCAAAACAGATCTTGGCTGCAGGTGCTGGGGTTTAGATAGTGAGGCTTAAGATCAGAGAGAGTCCTTTAAAGTTTAACTGGATTTCAGCATTGAACCTGGGTCAGTCCATATTCCTTTTTCAAGGAATCTCTCCTATGAGCCATCTCAGATTTGGCTGAAAAAAATTCAAAAAATTTCTAAAATTACCAGATGAAAGAATCTAAAATTTTTGCTCAATCCTTTCAGGCGTTCCTGAGTTATGGCCTGTTGAAATTTTGGGGCCATGCTCTCAAATATTCAGGTTCAACAGTTAATTTGCAAATATCTGCTTAGAGTAAATAGATCTTGGACCTCAAAAATTGAAAAAAAAAAAAAATTGAGCAGCAACTAAATTTGAGATTTATTTGCCGCACCTCCCTTAATAAAGATATCCAATATTTGACCCAATATTGAACAGATTTAGAATCTATGACCAAGAATCTACAATAATACAAATTCTCAGCTTCCTAGCTCTATTTTTTATGAAATGACGGTCTCTCAAATATGCTTATAAATTAAGGCTTCTGAAAAAGTGAGCATGGCCCCAAAATTTCAACAGGCCATAACTCAGGAACGACTCAAGGGATTGAGCTAAAATTTGAGATTCTTTCATTTGGTCATTTTAGAATTTTTGGGAATTGTTGTCAGCCAAATCTGAGATGGCTCATAGGGGAGGGCGGCTGATTTCCTATGGACTGACCCACCTAGCAACACAAATGAGAGATTCACATGAGGCTCATTCTGCTTTCTGATTGGATAATCGCAGAGAACCAAAACACCAAATTATAGCATAAACAACTAGTCCATCACATCAAATGTTGTAGCTATTAAGAATAAAGCAGCATTATAATAGTCATCAGTAAAAACTATATTTGATTTCAGCATGTTTACTTTATGGAATTGTAAAGCAAAATCTTACATACAGTTCCTTTAATCAAATTTTAAGTGAGATTCAGTCTTGGGGTCTAATGGAGAGTTCAACAGTCAACTTGGAGTTGACTGAAGAAATGTGACTGTTTTTTTGGTGTTAAATTGCCTATTTCATTAATTTTAAGTAAAATTAAATTGTGAATTCTCAGTTTCAGTGTTTATTATTATTTTTGTTTCTATTTTCCAGGATGAAGAGATCTATATTCGCCACAGATTAAAGAACACCAGCCAATAAACTTTGCCATAGCCTCTTTGCATAGGCTTTTATTTTTTCATTTGTGCTGCGAAACGTTTTGCCAACTTAATGTGAATACTTTTAAGCAATAATGTTCAGTTTTTAAAGGGAATTTTAGTCAAGCCTTTATACAGTATGACAAATACTGGATTTTTTTTTTTTTTTTTTTTATTTGCCAAAACGGTTTTACTAAATGCAGTGTCACTTTTGAAGCTACCACAAAACACTATTGGTTGGTTCTTTTTTTGTTTTTTTTGTTTCATAGGATATTTTTGCACACATTTCAGTTACAATAGACTTTTGAATGCACAGTATTAATATCCCATTTTCGGGAAAGGGAGTACACTTTGAACAGATGGACTGCATGTTTGTCTATTAACGGAATTTTCAGCAGTTACCATGGTGACACACATTAGCAAATAGCTTGATAAGTTTTTAGAAAAGCAAGCAAAAATGGATTTAAGCAACACATTTTCATACATTATTTTGAGACAGAATTGTTTAACAGCACCAATAAGCTCACTTGTTGTACTTCAGTTGTTTCTGATCAGATTCTGTGAAAATACAACTCAGGTTAACGTCTCACTTGAGTACGAAGCTTCAGACAGAGCAGTGCCTACAGTTAGCAGAGACAACCATTACACATATGGGCAGTTATTATGAAGTTATTGTTTTATTTTCAGTGTAAATGTTTAAATATATTTTAGTCCTGTTGGCAATAGGTCCTAGCTTTTCATTTTTCAAGTGTAATTTCCAAACTTCACTAATTTGAAGAAAAGGGAAAATATGGAAACAATTTAAATAAATAAAAAAAGTAAATACAACTTAGAAATCAAGGTTAATAGTTTCAATTTAAATCTTTAATTTAGGTAGAATTGTATTATTATTTGAAGTTTTGCCATAACTTTGATGAAATTCCCAGTCAAATATACTGTACTGTGATTTTTCAAGTAACAATGCAAATCGAGTAATGCTGTATTCATTGTTTTGTTATTGTTTTATTGTTTGTAATGTTAATGTGGTCCGAGAATTGAAGAGAAGAGTTCATTTAGAAGTCTATTTACCATCAGTACAGGACCCACCTCTCAAGACATCGTAATAGTGTTGTCCATTTTAGTCTAGCATGGTCCAGTCTGCCTATGCTTCCGTTGTAGGGAGTATTATACCTCTGATGACATAGGCCGAGATAACAAGGGCTGAGCTGGCAGCTGGAATTTCTCTAACAATGTGTAGTATTTTGTTTTTGTTTAGTTTTTTTGTCACTTAATTTCAGCAGAAAATTGTAAGTTCATCTGAAATTTTTACTGTATCTCTAAAAAAAAAAGTACTTTACTTCGATAAAGTACCTCAAAGCATGTCCATGATGAGTAAGTGCTAAAAAGAAGCTATGACAACACGTCCAGTTTTAAATATTTAAAACTACATGTTATTGATGAAACTGTGTGATTGTGATGTTTGTTTTAAAATAAGTTTACGTGTGATTGTGGTCAAATAAATCAAAAACATGTCTCAAAATTATTGTGTTTTTTTTGTATTATGAATTAAGTGCTATATTTGGGATCCTGTTTGTTTCTGTGTGTTTTTTAATTAATAAAGTAGTTTAAAGCTGCACTATGTAACTTTTCTGTTTGCCTTCATAGAGATGTGATTGCCTGACACTGCTAGGCCAGGTTGCAAGTAAGATCTGTGGAGAGGCAAGCATGCTCAACACACAGGCAAAGCAATATCTATATGGTGACAAGTGGCGGACTCTTCACCAGAAAAGTTACACAGTGCAGCTTTAATTTTAGTGTATCATTACCGATATGAAGTGAAAGAAAAAGTAAAAGTTGTGTGTTTGATTTTTGAGTCTGGCAATTTCTTGACTCCAGTGTTAGTCCCTTTATTAGTATAAGCAACCATGACAATAATGAACAAAGAAAACTATAAAAATGTTAATTTACTATTTAGCTAAAAGAAAGTTAAAGGAAATTTTTATTTGAATTTACATTGAAATCAAAATCTTTCCTGTTTCTGTCCAAATATTAGAAAGGTGATTCAAAATTTCTAAAAGATTAAGGATAAGATAAAGGTTCCTGCCTAAAATATTTGAGGCCAACAAATTTTTCCTCATTAGTGTCCTCAAGTCTTAATCGTAGACTAATTATAAAAGTAAAATAAAATAAGAGTTCATGACAAAAATTCATAGCCCTGCAGCCTATGCATTAAAGAAGATAAAACTCAAAAGAGGGTGTTTTTAGTGAATTAGCAATAACATAATGCATAACTAAATAATGTGCAATCATACAGTACCACTGGACATTGGAAACTCACTTACAGAGGTTCAGCAGGTGGTTGGCTCGCATACTTGGAGTGCATGATAACATATCATATGTTAAAAATAACTGCACTGATCCAGTCAAATCTGTTCTGTGAGAAGGAACTGAGAACTGGACCTCATCAAAGGCTTGAGTACATATATTATTATTCTAATACTGTAAAAAAAAATAAAAATAATACAAATAAATAAATAAATAATCATAATTCTGTAATTAAAAAGACGCATTTTAATGGGTCTATAAACATTCCTCTGAGCCTCCTCTGTGGTCAGGACTTCCTCACCCATTTCCTGCAGAATCGAGGAGAGGAATCAAGGAAGCGAGGAAAGGGAAATGAGCCGCGGACTCGGGCAGTTTTAACGCTGCTTATCTCTTATGGGCCACGCCAGCTCCCTTCTCTCCTCCTCCTTTACCATGGCGAAGTTGTTTTCTTAGTAGATATTCGACGGTCGTGTCGTTGGGAGTGCGTGCTTTATGCGCGCAGTGCGCTCATTGTTGTTTGACTTCCGCTCGGGCTGCGGATGACCCTGAATTTGTCACAGATTCTGTTCTCGGCCAACAGGTATGCCAACCATTTAAAGTCTGGTTTACGACTGGTTTATAGATCCGCATCGGCCCCACTCAGCTGAGAGCTGACGTCCTGACGCAGACTCGAACAGTACTAGCTTCTGCGGAGCTCATCGGGGTTCAGGTGCATCGTGGGAATGCAAACTATTTAACTTGAATTAAATTGTAGTTTTATTTGCTGTTAATAAATAAACAAGTACACGGCAATCACCGCAAGCTCTGATAGGCTTTCATGTGGGTCGGGGAGCTGTGCGGCACTTCCGAGTAGATTTGACGCAAAACTATAAACCAGTCTTTACTCTGTAGTTCTGTTTATTTCTGTATAGGCTGGTTTATAGTTCTGCATCAGGCCTCCGGAGAGATTTGACGCAGAATTATAGACCAACTTTAAATAATAGACCAACTTTAAATAATGCTCTTGTCCCCATCCAAAGGCACAAGGCACTCAGCCTGCAGCTCTTCTGTCTCCTAAAGGGCTGTTGTTTTGTCCTTTTTTTTTTTGGCACATCATGTCCATATCCTGGTCAAAGTACTAAGAACTTAGACGGACTATTTGCTCAAGTGCACTCTTTTGATAGCATAGTTTTTGATTTGGTTATTTCTGCATGGTCCGCAGTATTTGTTTTGTAACGTATTTTTAGTACTATTCTGTCCAGTGCTCAACCCTCAAGCCTGTGTCTTCCCATTTTCCATAAATACACAAAGACATGATAAGACAATACACTGCAACTTCACAAACACGATATGATGTGCAGTTTCATTACCTGAATACACCCCAATTGTAAGGGCTCTATGGATATGGCATTGCTCTGCCTGGAATGTTCCACAGTATGACATTAATCAATTATACCTTACATTTACCCAGATACAGGTGGTTTTATAGCTCAAAAATACCTAGAAAAACAGGCATTCTGACTGTGAGCGGGGTTGCCTCTCCATAGATCTGACCTGTAACTTGAAGCATGAAGATAGAAAGGTTTAATGCATACATTTCAGAAGTAGTAACATCTCCATGGAGAAAAGCATGTGACAGACACTCCACCAGAAAAGTTACACAACGCACATTTAAAGGGACAGTCCGGAATTTTGGACATAGGACCTCATTTCCTAGTTAGCCAGCGTTCAAAATTTAAGACTGTTCCTTTAATTTAAAGTCACATTTTGTCCACTGAAGCTTTTTTTGTGTGATTTGTGCTTACAGATCCCAGCCAAAAGGCCCAGGAGTCATCATTAATAACTACTACACGACAAAGGATCGAGAAATGTCATCCAAAGCAGAAAACAGTCGTATCATGCAGACACTCAGAGCAAATGTAGCAGCTTTCATGGATCTTCTCGATAAAGATTTCTATAGGATGAAAAGAAACGTGGATAACTGCCATTTAATGTCAAACAAAATAAAAAATGTTCACTACGCTCTTGGAGGTTTCATATTTGGAGTAGCTGTTTGTGCACTGACTGTTTTTTCTTTTGATGCATATGTTCAGAAACTAATTTTATCTAGTCTAGTCTTTATCCTGTTCGTTGCAATAGTTTTCATATACAAGTCATGTCTAGATGGAGTTAACTTAAACATTCTAGAATTTAGGAAGAGCGTTTATTCATATGGCATTGAACTGGGCAAACTGAAGCAGCGCTGTGAGGACATCAAGGGGACTTTGGGATATGGAATTGAAAAAGACATAGTGGAAAGAATTGAGGAGACTATCAAATACCTACTCGAAGACTTATTGGCCCTCCCAGACCAAGCAACTCTACAGACCATGAACCAAGTGCACCAGGAGTATATGGAAGTATTAAAAAGTCTGGAAAAGATCGATATTTTTCTTAGTTTCTACAGAGAGACAAATATCTAAATGAGACCTGAAACTGAAGAAGAGCAATTTTTTTTTTTTTTTAATCTTATGAAATGTCTTAAGTTCCTGTGATGGTCGAATCTGTATTTTCTGTGTGTTTGAAGCATCTGTTGTCTCCCACTGTCTTCATGCAGAAAACCAGTGTTGCAATTTGTACACCACCCAAAGAGAGTTCTCCTGGGAAACCCTGGGTCTTTTTATAAATACGATATTTAACAACATTCTGTTTTCATGTTTTGTATGTGAATATACTGCCTTATTTTATTAAAAAGAAAAGAAAAAAAAGAGACTTTGACTTTCTCATAAGGGGGCAGCAGGGGAAGTTCGATCACTGAACAAAGTGGCATTGTTTGTGTATGGTGGATGCTGTATTGGTTGTTATGGTGGTTATGGTGGTTGTTATGGTGGTGGTTACTATGGTGGTTGTTATGGTGGTTGCTATGTTGGTGGTTATGGTGGTTGTTATGGTCGTTATTGTGGTTGCTATGGTAGTTGCTATGGTGGTTGTCATGGTGGTTGTTATGGTGGTTGCTATGGTGATTGTTATGGTGGTTATGGGTGTTGCTATAGTGGTGGATGCTAAGGTGTTTGCTATGGTGGTTGTTATGGTGGTTGCTATGGTGGTTGCTATGGTGGTTGTCATGGTGGTTGCTATGGGGGTTGTCATGGTGGTCGTTATGGTGGTTGTCATGGTGGTTGTTATGGTAGTTGCTATGGTGCTTGTCATGGTGGTTGCTATGGTAGTTGCTATAGTGGTTGCTGTGGTGGTGGTTGCTATGGTGTTTGCTATGATGATTGTTACGGTCGTTATGGGTGTTGCT